TCGACGTGGAAGGAGAAACCTTGCTGTCCAGGCCAGAAGGCAGTTCTACTTGTCAGTAGTCCAGAGCAAGCTCGAGTACGCCAGCACTGCCTACGTCCACTGCCTCGCTGACAATGTGAGAGATCAGCTGCTACGCATAAGTAAGAGAGCACTTAGATGCATATTTGAGCATGACACATTCACGCGGACATCATACTTGCTTGAGCGATACCACATAATTAGCTTAGACAAAAGATAATACTAAGTCAATATTCTTCGTGTTCCGTTGCATCCACAATATCTGCAGTTAACTCCTCTCTGACATGTTGTCCCTTCGCCGTGACTGCGCTCACACAGATAGAGTAACCCGCGGCCAAGTGAATTATTCCCTTTCCTTACCCATTGTGCAAGCTCAAGCTGGATACAGATCTATTTCATTCCTTGGTGCTGACCGCTTTAATGCGCTTCCCGAATCCCTTCGCACAAATCATATCCCCAATTCATTTCGCCAGGAACTTAGCAATTTCATTCATCTTGGGCACCCTGTAAGAAGACCTTAGGGTCTGTTGGGAATGCCCAAGTAAAATAATAATAAAATACAATACAAAAAAACATGTTGTCCTTCTTCTTTTCCCAATTATGTAATTGGCTCACCATCCGAGTTAAATAATCTTTATTTCAGGATTACCCAAAGGCTAACGCCTATCGGGGGGGTCTCCTATTTGTGTATATACAGTGAACATTGGAGTTGGGAAAAAAGAGAAAATGTGCAAAATGAGTTCGGAAACAGAGAGATGCTGTACAAAAGATACAGTGAAAGAACAAGCAGTGTACATACCATTGCAGTCGAACTGATACTTTGCAATGTAAATACTTAAATGACGCTTGAATTCTGTTAGGGAATGTAAAGTTGTCAATCGGGGTGGGAGACAATTCCAAAGTGCACCAGTTTTCTGTAGGAAGAGACATGAGAAAATTCGGCCATGTGAGTTAAAAATGAGCTTTTTGGGCCTACGGGCACTACGTGAGATGGTAATCGCAAAGCGAGAGAGATAGTCTGGGTGGAAATTGATGTACTTAAATAAAACAACCAGAGAAATGAAGATACGGCGAAATTGCAGGTATTCCAAGTGACACAATCTATTCAAATTAGATTTTGATTCAAAGATGTCAAAGTCTATTTTCGCAGACCTCAGGAGTCGCCGGCAAACCTTAGCCTGGAGTACATCAAGGGCCTCTAACTGAGCGGATGTGATCCTACGGGACCAGACAGGAATGGCATACACAATTGCCGGACGTACGTAAGACTTATACAGGAGAGCAATGTATGATGATGGTAAATGGCGGCCCATAAAGCATAACAGATTAACACGTTGCTGGAACTTCCTGAAGATGCTGTGGAAGTGGTTGTGGAACTTCAAACCATCACTTAGCTCTACACCGAGACGCTTAGCGGAGCGCCCAGATCCGATTAATTTAAAACGTTGTCCATGGACACAGAGGAGGATTCAGGAATGCTGTAATTGGACAAGATGAAGGTTTTCTCAGGAGAGAATTTGCCATGTATTTTCTGTGCCCAATGCTGGCAGCTGGCGAGATCCTGCTGGAGGTGGGATAGGTTCTCATCTAAGGAGAGGGATACATCATGAGCATTTAGAAGAGTGACATCATCAGCAAAAAGGAAGGGTGAGCTATATGGTTAACTATGTCAGGAAGGGAATTGATATACAAAAGAAAAAGTGGAGGTGCAAGGTGTGAACCTTGGGAGACACCACAGTTTAGCATATACTGGGATGAATGAGTTGCATCGAGCTTCACACTTAGACTACGGTCAAGCAAATATGATCTAAACCAGGCGTGTGCCTCTGGCGCCATGAAGGTATTCATGTGGCTCAGGAGCGTGGGATGATGGACTTTATCAAAAGCTTTCTGGAAGTCGAGAAATGCACAGTCAAATTTCTGCCCTCTATCAGAGAGACGGGCATTGTGATGGGTCAAAAGAATGAGTTGATCCGTAGCTGATCTTTGAGGAACGTAGGCGAATTGACTAGGCGAGATTATGCAGTGCTGATGAAGATAGCTGTTCAGATGATGGGCTATGCGGGATTCGAAGAGGCGGCTGATGGGATGAAGCAGTGAAATTGGTCTATTGTTCGTGAGCAGAGAGGCACTGCCTTTGCCCTTGAAGAGAGGAATGACCGTCGCTGATTTCCGTGCTGTGGGAAATTGTGATTTGGATAGACTAAAGTTGAACAAGTAAGACAAGGACTCACATAATAGATCGGCCATGGAACGAAGAGTCGGAACAATTTGATTACTTGAATTGGATTTTCGAGACGAAAGGTGTGTGAGGTCATAGTGGACTTGACCTGGTGAAAATGTAGGCAAATGGAACTGAGTAGCGCTAGCGTCTTTATCTATGGAGGAAGGTGAACAAGGGAATTGATTTGCTTCTTGTGGGAACGTACACTGGTTGGCGAAATGCTGTGCAAGGAGGTCCACCTTTTCTAATTGCGTGTTAATTTGACGATCGCCATCTTGTAAATCTGGTATCAATGGTTTACTGGATGAAATGTTGCAGAAGTCTTTCACTCTCCTCCACCACACATATCCAGTATGTGACAATCATCGTCATGTCACCGTAAATGATGCATGCCACGAACGGCATGTTATCACACAGACTCAGCATGGTCCTAGAAGAAGGCTCATTCTCTCTCTTTCTCTCTCTCTCTCTCTCTCTCTCTCTCTCTCTCTCTCTCTCTCTCTCTCCCTCCCTCCCTCCCTCCCTCCCTCCCTCCCTCCCTCCCTCCCTCCCTCCCTCCCTCCCTCCCTCCCTCCCTCTCTCTCTCTCTCTCTCTCTCTCTCTCTCTCTATCTCTCTCTCTCTCTCTCTCTCTCTCTCTCTCTCTCTCTCTCTCTCTCTCTCTCTCTCTCTCTCTCTCTCTCTCTCTTTCTCTCTAATCTGATCACGGTCGTCTAGAATGAGGCCTTTGAGGGGCCTGAGGGCTATGTAGGCTGCCTTTCGTAGGAAGCCCGGCTTTGCTTTTGCAGAATTATTTGGCCGATGTGTATGTACCAGGGCCACCAGAACCAGTCCGGTTGGTAAGGTTATCACCAGACCAACAATAACATTTTAGCCACCAGCACAGAGCCTCACGTCAATCCAGCAGGTGCGGAAGTCAGTAGGTGCGCTGTGGCGGAGCCGCCGAAGCCTCACCCTGGCGTCAAAGATCCTGTTTTACAGGTCGATGATCCAGGGTAGGTTGTCGTACACTTCCAACGCCTTTTATCCGTCACTTCAAATTGGCAACATGGAGCCCCTCACACGTCTAACGAAGTGCGCTATCCGCGGCTTCTTCGGTCTGCCACCGTGGTCGCGCACGAGCTCGATCTTTGAACAGCTCCGCCTCACCACCCTGGAGGACATGTTTAACATTAAGCTCCTCATCTTTGTCCGTCGTTGTCTGTTCCCCCGAGCTAGCTCCCCCTTCACCAGCTTCTTCGTGAGAGTTACTGGTGACCGCACTCGGGGAGCAGCACATCACCTCGTTCGAGTACCATTTTGGCCCGGTCCTGCGGGTCGAGTGACCATGCAGTTCATCGGCGCAGTCCTGTGGAACCAGCTCCCGCCTGATCTCCGTTCCGAGCCCAACCACCTTCAATTCTGTGCCCTGCTAAAAGCGCATCATGGCTCCGTTTAAATGCTTTTCGGCTAGTGTGTTTCTGTGGTATAGGGGACTGAAGAATAGTAAACGTGTTTTGCAATATACATGTATGTATGAAGCTATTTTGTATATACTATGTTCCCATTCCGTTTTTGCTTTGGTGTAGCCCTGAGGTTGATTTGCTTATTTATTTCTACCCTTCCTAATTCCTCTCTCCGTACTTCTGCCCCCCCCCCTCTCTTTCATTCCTTCTGTCGTCCACATGTATCAAAGGAGGCGAAATCGCCTGTTTGTGGTGCGACGTTAAATAAACTTCTACAACAACAACACAGTCATGTTCACTACTTACTATGGAGGTCATAATTATGTACCTGCCATTTCATACACCCAGTATGAACGGCACTGAAACTACCGGCCCGGACTAGGCACCGGCGGATTATGCCGGCATAATTATTGCCATAATTTGGTGGCTGAAAATGTGGAGCATAATTTGGCATCCTTTCGGAGGTAGGAGCATAACTGCATGATTGTATCCGTGACAGTTCTAGTATCATAGTAGTATGTAGGCTACACAATTGTGTACAATGCACCTGATCAGTGCTGGTGGTCTGCATGGTAAAGGGTTCGGGGGTCATGCAGATAGTGTTTTCAATGAAAAGCAGGGGAGAAATCATGGAATACATTTTGTGTGCTCCAACTCGTCTTCTCAAAGTTCTTTCTCACCCTGATACAGTACATGTGGCAGAAGATGCGAGTGAATCAGCCTTTATCAGGTATCCCGGGGCGGACGAGATAGTGATGGGTAGTCCGCAAAACTGCGCGTACATGTACACTATGCTTGTTACGAAGTCATGACGTCTGGATCTTAGCAGCTACAGTATGACTGTGCAGGCTATGGGTATTGCTCTAATAACTAAACAAATTGAGGTATAGTTGATGTTCGGTAACGATGGAAGGAGAGCTGGAGCTACGAGAGAGTTGAGCTGATTATGAGAATTCGTAGGGTGAGGGTGACATAAACTTGCCGCCGCGAGATGATATCAATAATATTCACCGCATATTTACCGCATATTTACCGCAAATTCACCGCAAATTATGCCATAATTATTATGCCGCGTTTTTTGCCGCGTTTTTTGCCATTTTTTCCGCAATTTTCCCCGGGGCCGGGCCCGGGACAGTACAGGCTAGTACATGTATGATGTAGTAGTATGGCCCACGCTGCCAAGTGCCAACACGGCACGGCCCGGACACTTGACAGCACACATGTCACTACGCCCCGAGGCGACGGTCCGTGCAGTCGTGCACCCTGGCCTGAGCTGGCTTGGGCTGTTGCCTCTGGCGCTATTTTTGGAATGGGTTTGTAGTCACAATAATACATGTATTGTCAAAAGTTTGATAATATTTTTCTGTGCAACATGGCCTTTGTTTGGAAGCAGTTCACTCGTACCTCACCTTCTTTGTTACGGCAAAGCCTTTTGTCGACCGCCTCTCGCTGCCATAGTACTGAACGCCCGTGAGTAGCTGCTATGAAACGTTTGAAAACACTCCGACAAACCCAGCCCTGTCCGGAGGGAATTTACGGAGAAGAACACTGAGTGAATGCAATTCCCCCTCACTGTGTGTGTGTGTGTGTGTGTGTGTGTGTGTGTGTGTGTGTATTATGTTGCCCGTGCGTATGCAGGGTGAATCCTGGAGATGGATTCGTTGGGAAAGATTTCTTGACGCTGCGAGACTTCAGCGCCACAGATATTCGCCACCTGTTGTGGGTTGCTCAGGACTTGAAAACCAGAATTAAAATCCAGAAAGAGGTAAATTTTGTGAAAGATTGGTGCACAAGCCGTGGCATCCACCTGCTGCTTGTCTAGAGACAAACAGTGGGAAATCTGCCTAAGCACATTAGTCAACCTGTCACATGTTCTTAGTCCAGGGAAATGGTTGGCTGGATGTACATTAATTGATTTTAATTGATTTAAAAAACCCTAAAACCCTATCAATTAAAATTCGAAAGTAATAGAGGTCTCGTGACCGTAATACATGTTCATCTTTACTTATAAAGAAGAGGCACCTGTGACGTGTGTCTGTGTGTGTGTGTGTGTCACGCTCCTTATAAAGAAGAGGCACCTGTGACGTGTGTGTGTGTGTGTGTCACGCTGCCCTGAGCACGCGAAGCGTGCGAACAGTGTAGCACAGTGTAGCTAGCGCTAGCGGCCGCAGAAGCACTGAGCACGCGAAGCGTGCGAATCGTGTAGCTAGCGGAAGCAGCCACAGAAGCACTGAGCACGCGAAGGGTGCGAATCGTGTAGCCACCACCACGTGCTGAGCACGCGAAGCGTGCGAACAGTGTAGGTGGTAGCAGACACGATCAGTACGAGTAGCAGTAGCAGCCGCGCGCAGAAGCACTGAGCACGCGAAGCGTGCGAATCATGTAGCCACCTAGCCTAGGCCATAGGTAGCACTAGCAGCCGCACAAGCGCTGCGGACCACGTGAACCGTTCTCTGCAAATAGAAACATCTGCAACAAAAGGATACAAAAGATCTGCACTGACTGCACTCTGCATCTGATCTGCAGTGAAGAGCGCGTCGCACTTTTGTTCGTAAGTTTATGAATTTTTTGAGCCGCTTCATCCGCCACCAGGTGATGGACAACCCTGACCAGCCTCCCGAAGGCGTAACAGACGTCCCTCCTTCTCCTTCCAACGATGAAGAACCTCCCTCACCAGGACTTCAGCGGTCTGGCCACCACCACGTGCTGAGCACGTGTGCTGTTCATGTACTTGCTTCACCCGCATGCCACATTCGGCCAGGCAACGCTGGCCGGGGGTGCTGCTAGTATTATTATAACTCGGAGGATAAATTATGTAGAGTGCACTTGCCCGTGTGCCGCCGTAGTTGCTGGTGTGTTGGATGAAGTCCTAAGGAAAGTTACCAAGAGTTAAAACGGAGACATCACACAGCGTCAAAGTCATTATGTGCTCTACTGAAAACATGTGTTTCCTGAACGGTGTTCATGGTCAGTTGGCCAGGGGTAAGCCCAAGCACAAATTTGTACTGCAGTATCTAGGTTAGAAGGTCACCAAAATTTAAGAACATGACTGGCTGGAAGCAAGGAGAAGATAGGAAATGAGATACGAGGACAGCTGGAATCAAAAAGGAAATAATAGGCATGAAAGGTGGTCGCTACAAGGACAGTCATCGCTGACCAAGAGGTCACAGTATGGCACAAAAAAAAGCAGAACATAGAGAAAAAACACAGCAACTGCACGGGCTAACAGGGAGAGGTGAAGTGGACAAAATAGCAGAGGTGAAGTGGACGAATAGCAGAGGTGAAGTGGACGAATAGCAGAGGTGAAGTGGACGAATAGCAGAGGTGAAGTGGACGAATAGCAGAGGTGAAGTGGACGAATAGCAGAGGTGAAGTGGACGAATAGCAGAGGCGAAGTGGACGAATAGCAGAGGCGAAGTGGACGAATAGCAGAGGTGAAGTGGACGAATAGCAGAGGTGAAGTGGACGAATAGCAGAGGGGAAGTGGACAAATAGTGAGAGGGGAAGTGGACAAATAGCGAGAGGGGAAGTGGACAAATAGCGAGAGGGGAAGTGGACGAATAGCAGAGGTGAAATGGACGAATAGCAGAGGTGAAATGGACGAATAGCAGAGGTGAAGAGGACGAAGGGAAGGCTACATGTGGATAGAAGGAAAGATAAAAAGTACTTGTATGCATGTTTTTCACAGCACGTCCCAAGAGCATGACTGATCCAAGACATGCTTGTTGATACCCTGCTTGAATGCATCGAATGGCGAACGACAGTTTGGCCGGGGAAAGACTTGAGCAGGAAGCTTGTTCCACCATTCGGTGAAGCAGAAGGGGAGCCGGGAGCAGCGAAGATACTCTGGTCTGGAGTTAGGAGTGGTATCCAGGAGCTGTTGCCAATACTGGCTCTGGGCCAGATGCTGCTGTCCGGTGCTTGAGAGGAGGGTGCAGGCCGAGGCGGGCCATTGCATTTGACCACCTTGTAAAGGTATGACAGCCTTGCGAGCACCACACTGACTTGATCTGAATGCACGCAGGAACACGCACAGTATCGGTGCAATCCCCCCCCCCCCAAGAAAGTTCTCAGTAACTCTCTACGATATGGGGTGTGGGAAATGCTCAGTAGTCGGACAAAGAACCATGATGCAGTTTGGCATGGACGATTGTGGTGCGACACCCCAGTTGGTGCACTATACGATCGGTAGCAGGAGTACACAAGGTGATGTACTCTTGGTGGGAGCAACGGTGGCTTAAGAGTACAAAGGAGCAGCACTTCAAATGACTGAGATCCCTGGGCACTCGTCCCACACATCCATGTGCAATCATGACTCCTAAACTGATCCGTAAGGGTGACTGGCTTCCATTCATATCAGTGTACAGATGGTTATAGGAAGCAAAGTGTTCAATGGGTATCCATTGGTAGCAATGGAGTACATGACTGTGGCACACTTGCAGGGAATCCAGTTCAGGTAACTTCTCCAAGCAATGATGCTATCACTGCCAATCAGACTTATTTTAAAAGCGGTCCAGACCTGTGCAGGATCTTTCGTCCTCATACATGAGGTTCCGCAAGCAAGGTGAAGTGCTTTGCTCATCTCAAACATGCAGCCCTTTGAACGAGAACCTGGCACCTGCAGCACCCTCCCCTGGCGTACGTTTTGAACCTGAGTCCTGAAGCAACCTGCACTCCCCTCAGCATTGGCCACGTAGTAGAGCTTTTGGCCTCCGTGGCAAGACATTTCCATCCTTTGAATGTGAACCTGGCATCTGTAGCACCCTCTCCCGGCATGTGTCTTGGACCTGAGTGCTATTGAAACCTGGACTCCCCTCGGCATTGGCCATGTAGTAGAGCTTCTGGCCTCCATGGCAAGACGTTTCCATCAGTTTATCTACAGGATGACCTAGGTGAAGACCAAGCATAGCCAGTTCCCTGAACTGGCAGCGCTCTCTCGTTCATCGGATACCTTTTGGCTATAAATGGCTTGTATTCTTCAAGGACACTATGTCCTAGAGGACAATACGTATTGCTCAGTCAACTTTAAATTACGAAACTAAATTCCCCCGTGCATCCTCATAGAATCCCCCTCAAAACATTCAACTCGAAGCTCAGGATATCTTTCATGGCGCGGGACCTATGGAGGATATCGTCTTTTTTCTGCCACGGCTGTATATCGGGTACATAATTATTATTGTACTGCAAATATGGCGTAGTATTCATTTTCTGTGCTGCTCGTACATGAAATAAAACTCTTGGTCACTGACACATCAGTCACATGACTTGCAAACATGCACAGGTACGAAATAAAACGCTGTGGACCCTGGCTATGCACAGGTACGAAATAAAACACTGTGGACCCTGGCTATGCACAGGTATGAAATAATGCACTGTGGACCCTGGCTATGCACAGGTACGAAATAATGCACTGTGGACCCTGGCTATGCAGCAAGAGACCCTACTGCGTAACGTCTCTTGCTGCATAGTGTTGGGAAGAACACAACTAGCCTGAAGTGGTCCCCGTTCTTCGGCGCCCGGTGTTACTGCAAATAACTGTACCAGCCAACGTATGTTATGCGTCACGGAATTTGAAATGCACTTTGCATCAGCATCCAGTGGCCTGGTCCATTTGGCCTAGCCCACAGTTTAGTGAGCCTTGTAGGTGTAGAGACTAGCTAGAGACCCGCCCTATCAAGGATTTCATACCCGAAAGGTGAACCCTACAACAGTGCGTGCATGCGTGCATGCCTATATGGTGGTTGTGGTGGTGTGTATGTGTGTGTGTGTGTGTGTGCGTGCGTGTGTGCACATGCATGTGTGTGTGTGTGTGTATGTGTGTGTACGTGTGCATATTCATTCTAGCGGATAACTCCTTTGTCCGGCAAATCAGCTGCACTGATCTTCCAGAAGAGAAGTACTCGTACGCGGACCTCGTCTGAGACAGGTACTGGGGATATGCTAGAGTAGATGAGGACTACATTATGATGAACAGGCCGAAAGCTGCTGCTGACCCTCCTGACTTTCATGTGCACTTGCAAGTGAAATTCTACTGTTAACATTTAGATTGCGCGGCGCTGAATCCGTTGGGCCCGGTGGGATGGCCGTTGTCTAGCATCGTTGATATTTGTAAGTCTTGTAAGTAATCATGGTAATCCCTACAGCACTTCCTATTGGCCGGAGCAATGTGATGCTTGGCACAGTTTCCTCGGGATCCAGATGCCGTGCTGTTTTTCTAGTCGGTTGATCTGGACTTGGCTTTGCTCGGCTGTTGTTGTTCTTCTTGTTCTTGTTGTTATTGCTGCTGCTGCTGGTGCTGGTGCTGCTGTTGTTGTTGTTTTCATTTTTATTGTTCTCGTTATCGCCCGTGTTACTGCTTCTGCTGTGGCTGTTGTCGTCATTGTTGTCCTCGTTGCCATTGTCCCTTTGGTTTCTGCAGGCTTTGCTTTGCTTGGTGGCCATCCCGCCTTTCTCAGTGCTAGCGATGTGCATCTGGGTGTCAGTGAGACCATTCATGACACAGCCAAGTAGGTTGCTATGTACTTGAGTACATGTATCTACGTGTATCTAACTGCTAATAATACCCTGCTGAAAAACAGTCTGGTGTGGAGTTCATTGTGTAGGGAGAGGGCTAGAGATGGGGTGTGTAAGATGGGACTCTTTTGGACTGAAAGTTTGGCTGCAATTGAACCAAGGGTTCACGGGAAATGCTATTTTACTCAATGTTACTGTTGTTGTCGCTAGTGTCGGCATGTACAAGCAGTGGTTGTTGCTACCCCGGGCAGGAGTGTTGATTGAGCCGCCTGCCTTTGCTTAGCTGGGTCTGAGTAGTCCATCAGTGTGTGTGTGTGTTGTAACGGCATGCCCATACCCATTATGCAATATGCACAGACAGACTCGCGTGTGTGCGTGTGTGTGTGTGTGTGTGTGTGTGTGTGTGTGTGTGTGTGTGTGTGCGTGTTCTTGTGTGTGTATTCATGTCCGGGTGTGCATCTGTTGGTGCGCGGGTGGTGCCCATCAGGGTACTGTCAGGACTTGTGGATCTGATTCTGCTGCGCTGCGACAAACATGAAGAAGTGGAAGAGCTAGCCAAACATGCCTCTGTACCTGTTGTAAAGTGAGTGCACTTGAAGTATGTGTATGTGTCTGTGTGTGTAAGCGTGCGTGTGCATGTGTGCCATTATAAAACTGTCCGAATGAGTGCATGCATGTTGTTCGTCAGCCATGCTACTTTCCGAGCTGGGCTACGCTCCAATTTAGAGTGTAATTATACGTTGTGAGCAATGTTATCTTTCTCAGTGAAGCTGTCAAACCATATGCTCACTTCCACGCTATCGCTTTTTGTTGGCTATCTGCAACATAGGCTCAATGGTAAGCAGAGTAAAGAGCATAGAAATGTATCATCTCATTTTCCACATGACCTCTGGACGTAAGACCCCTGTACCCCTAGCCGAATGCCATACGCTAGTAGACTCACAGAGTCTTTGGCTATATGTCTCTGTTATTCCAGTGGCCTTTCCGAGACATTCCATCCACTGCAGACGTTGGCTGACATCTTAACCATGAAGGTGAGCCGGCAATGTGTTGCAAACGTCTCTGTTTTTAGCAGTGCTCCTAAAATGTGTGTGTGTACGTGTATACCATCTATGCCATGATTGCTACTCTGCACTTGCATGTTTGTCATCCCGTTGCTCAGATAAAGGACAATAGGTACAATACACATAGTTTGGATTAGCAACAGTACGGCAAAGCTCAGTGTTCCTCGATACTACGCCGTGCGTGCAGCTTGGCATCAGCTCCTGCAATCTGCCATGTGTGCTGTTATGTGTCATTTCTGTTCACAGGAACACTTTGCTTCACGGTACGCCAGTCTGGACGGCCTGAATGTTGCCTGGGTGGGAGACGGCAACAACATCATCCACTCGTTGCTCATGGGATGTTTGCCGCTCGGTATCAATATGAGAGTTGCAACACCTAAGGTACGCTTTTGTGGAATTTGATCTTGCCGAATGTTTTTGTTGCAGTTAGACAATTCTGAACTGTTTGCCTCTAGATAGAGCGTTTGATGTTCGGTGTGTGTTTGACTTGACAGACTATGATTATAAAGAGCTACCTGTGGAGTCTTCAAACTGGTTTTTTCTTCTAATAAGACTGTTCGAATGCATAAAGAAAGAAATAGGACTACACCATAGCTTAGTGGTAGAGCGTTGCTGGCCATATGCGAGGGTCCCTGGTTCAAGTCCAGGTGGTGACAGTCAATTTTTTGAATTCATTTTAATACGATGCGATAGACTGAGAGTGTTGCACAGCTGTGCATGGGTCGTCTAAGAGTTGAATATTGAAATGGCTATGGCCAGCACATGCACACTGTGGTTGTGTTCCTTTCTCTGTAGGGCTATGAGCTGTTTCCCAATGTTGCCGCGTATGCCGACTTGCTAGCTAACAAGGTGAGTGCAGCGCTTACAGAGTATTTGCACGCGTGCAGAGGTTACGTAATCATGCCATCAACTGGGGTGTTTTTGCAGGGAGTTCTGACATCAGACCATGCCATCAGTTGAGGTGTTCTGTGTGGAGTGCGGGCACCACAACAAGACACAAGAACCACTTTGTCACGCCATACAAAGCATATACAATAAAGAGGTTCTGCTACACGGACCTACGTACCAAACTCCGTGTCAACTGCAGTGAAGTTTGACACGGATTTTTCGTCCGTTGCACCGGTTCTGCTGTACGGAGCATGCTCGTAGCATGCACGAACACCCCGCCACATGTACTCTGTACGCTCAGTTTTCACACGGAGTCCAGTCCGTGTGAAGCGCGCTTCACACGGAAAACAGTATGAAAAAAATCCGTATGAAACTTGATCCCGTACCGCGGCGAAGTTTCCATACGTACTTTGGCACGTTTTACCGTGTGGCAGAACCTCACTAATGATACCATTCACATACTGTTTCTTTTATCTGACGATGGCCAAGTGCCGAAACACTGTACGTCAATGGCGCTCGTTCAGATTTGCAGTGCTGTGGGAATGGATGTTTCCAGTGAGCTGTCCAGCCAAGCTCTTTTGTCATTCACACATTGTCTATAATAGGACTAGCCTGTCACCACTAGAATACATTATGTGCACTGGACAGTGACTGGTCTTTTTTTGCGTCACAAAGTCTGTTATGATGCAGTGGGAGCTGTGGTGCTAGTGACGATGGGTCTCAACAAACCTCAGCAATGGGCGGAACATAAATTGTTCCCATTCCCACTGGAATTGGGTAGATGATATGTGCAGTGTGTGTGTGTTTGTTTATGTGTGTGCGCGTGCACATGTGTGTGTGTGTGTATGCATGTGTCACTGCAGCACTCTACTGAGTTCCTAGTTACCAATGATCCACTCGAGGCAGTGCGTGGTGCAAACGTCATCGTGACGGACACCTGGATTAGCATGGGACAGGAAGAAGAGAAGGCTGCACGTCTCAAAGCCTTTGAAGGATACCAAGTCACGTCTAAGGTACCTTCAGTCAGTTCAGTGTGTCTGCATCTGCAAAGAGCATTAACCCTTTGGAGTCCATAACTTTTTTGCTTCCGCAGGATTTGTAGCAGTCACGAAAATGCGCACTCGATTTCCAACATAACTTTGGTTCTACTTCACCGATTTTGAAGATCTTGGGCTCGTTGGAAAGCTCTTGATGAGGGAAATACAATGAGCCCAAACTCGCCAAGAGCACTACTCATTGTCCGCCACAACGTGCTCCAAACGCGAGTCCAGCTCCAGATCTGAGACGAAATAGGTCTCCTGCAGCCATTTCACTGAATCTAGCTCGGAACTGTTCAATTTTTTTTCGAGTAGAAGCTTGCCTTGCCGTGGCTTCGCGCCGCGCCGGTCCTGGCACATGCTGCCTGTCGTGAAGCTGGGAAAATCCCTTTTTCTACGCACTGCTGACTGGCAGCACGCAGCGCTGAAATTTCAAAATGTTCGATCGCTCACTCAAATTTCATCGGAGAGACTTTGGAGCTGTTCGAGGCGATAGCGGAGTGTTTTCTCTACCATATAGACCCTTCGATTGTTGAATTCGGTCAAGATTTGGCCGAGAACCGAAAGTTTAACTGCGCCCACATGCATACAAAATGCCCATGGTTCGAAATCGAACCATGGACTCCAAAAGGTTAAAACAGTCGCGGGGATGTCCGAAAACAGAATGCCCTTCTGAAAAAATGCTGGCGCCTATGCCGGTTAAGTCTTTCACACCTCCCAATGTTCTCTCTCAGTGGATCGCAAAGGCCACAAAAGATCCACGGTTCGCGTGAGATTCGGCTAGAGACCAAGTATTCCGCATCCGTGGCAATGCCACCACCCTAAAGGACCAACGCGCGGATGCAGCTCCTAGCGCGGTGGGAGGTGAGTAGACCAGACCCACCACCAAAGTGGTCAAAGACCGAAAATCCCATTCACTGCATCCAGGCACACTGTATATCTTTCTCAACACCTCACCAGCCCTCCAAAAGGAGGTATAATACAATCATACAATCATGTACTTCAACTAAAACAACCCAAGCTTGCTGTACTATAGTGAAAATGAATTGCCTTGTCTCAATCATGGCTGGAGCTCGAAAGCGAGTGAAAATTAATGATACTGATGGCCACGTCACGCCAGCCTGCACCTGTGCCACACCAAGCCCGTGCATTCATAAGTTATTGACTTATTGTCGTATCGTTTGGAGAAGTAGGGTGGTGGGTAGCACTGCGAGTGTGCCAAAAATAGGGCAGAAACCGCCGAGCAACCTGGCGAAGTACCGGCTTTCAGACAGATCTTCAGCATGCAAAAATAGAGAAAGCGTGCGCTGACAATATCCGATCACTTAGACGATCAACTCTTCTAATGCGGTGTAACCTCATTTCCTGGAGTAAGTTTGGAGTGGGGTGGGATGGGGGGGGGGGGGGGGGGGGTTACCAGAGTCTTCAAGGAAGAGGGTACAGATATTTTAATAGGTGCAAACATGTGCAGGTCCGAAACATTATCTCAGACACACACACTTCAGTTTTGGACGAAACCCGGGTTTAGACAAAAAATATGATAGTGCCATGTTAGCTGGCATCGTCATTAGGTATCATAAATGTTTCCCGCCCCCTGACCAATGTGCAAAAATTAGTGTATGATTGCAGCTAATTATTATGCTGACCATCGCACCAATGATTAGTTGTCAAAATAGCACAATGGGAGTTATTTTCAGGTTGGGGCCGATATATTGAATACCTCTTTTAAAAATCTCAACCCCAGGGCCAATTACAAGGTGGTGCTCTTTTATATTTTTGTTGCCGGGATCATTTCAGTAAGTACCGTATTCAATTTCTTTTTATCCTTCCAGCCCATGTAGAATCCCGTCTGTTTGCCTATGCCTGATCTACATGTTTTGCTCATGTCTTCCTAAGTTGGTTGCGTTTCTCAATACATATAGCCAGTGGTAATGCGGATGTATGAACTTTTCTTTTTCTCTATTCTGTACTAGATGTGTGAAGAAGCAGCATCTGACTGGGTCTTTCTACACTGTCTGCCGAGGAAACAAGAGGAGGTCGCCGATGAAGTGTTTTTCTCGCCTAGGTCTCTGGTCTACCAAGAAGCGGAGAACAGGAAATGGACAGTGATGGTAAGTACAAAGCATTCCTGACATCCCATGGCCTGTCTGACCCTGACATCCCATGGGCTGTATGACCCTGACATCCCATGGGCTGTATGACACTGGCATCCCATGGCCTGTATGACCCTGACACCCCATGGCCTGTATGACCCTGACACCCCATGGCCTGTATGACCCTGACACCCCATGGACTGTATGACCCTGACATCCCATGGACTGTATGACCCTGACATCCCATGGACTGTATGACCCTGACATACCACGACCTGTATTTGTGTCGAGGGGATCTCCTGCAAGAAGAGTATGACCCTGACACCCCATGGACTGTATGACCCTGACACCCCATGGACTGTATGACCCTGACATCCCATGACCTGTATGACCCTGACATAGCCCATTACACATAAAATGTGTAACATAATATCCTCACGATGTTGATGTTGTTGTTCGTGTTGTTCGTGTTGCTGCTGCTCCACTGTCACTGTCACCATTGCTGTTGCTATCTCACTATTCTCCCTCTAGGCGGTTATGCTGTCCCTGCTTGGTCAGCATACACCCACAACGGAGCAGCCAAGGTTTTGAATCATGGTCCATCCAGCCCGACGCCATCGCTGCTGAAACTTCCAGCAGCCTATGTTATTTACGAGTACACCAGCCCATGTGTACCAGCACACAATCCACACATGCACATTATTCTGTTCAGCCCTGCATGGTAATGGACCGTGTTGAGCATGGTCGGACTATACACAACCACACGTATTGCACTCAGCACTAGTATTTATGTTTGTTACAGAGATCTGCTACCATCTTACTGTGCACTTCTATAATTGTGTTTTACCATTCACTGCTAGGGAGGTTCATAATCCTGTTCATAAAAACTAATTCTCTTAGAAAGCCTGCACGCAGAACAGTCATAGTTAGGTACTCTTCTGAAAGCCGTGCATACAGCCGTGCATTTCACAGCCTAACTTATTGACTGGTGTTAATTGTCCACGGTGCTGCGAAAGGCAAGGTGTAACTGTTACAAGTGTGTGTGTGTGTGTGTGTGTGTGTGTGTGTGTGCGTGTGTGTGTGTGTGTGTGCGTGCATGTGTGCGTGTGCGTGTGTGTGTGTGCGTGCGTGCGTGCGTGCGTGTGCGTGTTCTCCGAAGCTCTGCTATGAATGATCATGCAGCGTGCTGTGAGCAGGATGAGGGCGAGGGCTTAGCTGGTGGGCAAGTTGGCTCTGTGCATACTCGAACTACAGTGCACCATGTTGGAGATCAATCCACCATGAGAGTTATTGTGCAGGACCTGATGGAATCCTCGCAAGTCAAAAACTTTACAAGCGCCGGTGCGCATTATTCTGCCCTTTTGATTGTCCAAACGTTATGTTGCCAACTTGAATGGCCGGGAGTAGCGTTCTAAAATTGTGTTAACGCAAAACTAACCATGCCTGCTGATGAACCAACCTGTTGATTGCTTCTTTTTCGGACTGAGAAAGAAAACAGCATGCCAAGATTCACTACTGAACTTTTCCCATTCCTGGTAGTGGTAGCTCGCCCCCCAGGTCCCATACAATGTGATCAGATGTTGACCTTGTCTTGTGTCATGTCAGTAGTATTACCGGTAGCAAGAGTCCATGTTATTATGGTTATGCATGGACTCTTGCCGGTAGTGGTGATGCGGAGATTGCATGTATCACTAGGGCCGGTCGTTGTTGCACGGGCCAGTGATCGGTATATCTAGATCTATGGAGGACCTCAATCAGGCTCCGGATGATCTACTAGTTACTACTTTGAAGTACATGTGTGAACTCGGGGTACAGTCGAGTCGTGACGACTCATGTTGACTCGGGGACAGTCTACGATCATTCATGGATGGAAAAATAGCCAGAAAGGTCAAACGAGGAAGAGAATGAGATCGAGAGCGAGAGAGAGAGAGGGAGTTGTACAAACCCCGCGTTTGCGGTAGTGTAGATCTACATCCCTGTAGAACTCCAAAATTAATATCCCTGGATTTCACACCGCTTCAAGCGGCTTGGCAGTCCTCACCTTCAAGCGAATCAAGGCCTTGGCTAGTGCAAGCAGTATGTGCCGCGCCAAGAGGCGACAAGGGAGGGTGACCGGTGGTTAGTTCGGCACGAAAGAAACGTGTGAATGACGCGTCGTGGGTATAAGAGGCGCCCAGCAGCGCTTTCGCCACTTCTCTGTCGTTCCATGACAATATCGTATTACTATCCTACTCTCCAGGCCAGCCAACTGGACCGTCTATCGTCAGTATCGTGCACGGGAGTCCTCCCGTCTCGGTGCATATACTACTATGCTAGTATGTAGAAACCTTTCCTACAGTAGAAGTATTATTCTGCCAGCAACAGTCCGTGAACATAGAGACCGGAAGGCTCTCTCGAAATTTAGCAAGGAAGGACAAGTGGGCTCGGCTGGGCGACAGTCGACAGCAGTTTCGTCTTCAAGCTGCCAATCAGCGCGTTGTACCGAGGAGCAGAACTACAGCTTACTTCAAGTCCCGGAAGGACTCTGGAGAGCGGGAGGAGGCCTGCACTGCCGCTGTTCGGGTGGAGAGGAGGGTAAGCGAAGGCTTTGGACTTTGGAGCGCGGGTGATACTGTTATGATAACAATTCGTTCAAGGCGACACTGAGTATTTGAAGTCTCCTCTGTTCTGGACTCTGGCTTTGCTCGTATCGGTGTTCTCGGTGAGTTGCGTAGAATATGTGCATTTACCGATTTACAATACCGTGGCAGTCATGTACTAAACGGACAATTACGAAATTCGCTTCATGAGAGTTCGTTACACATGTACATATACAATCATGGTATTATATAACCCAATACTAGTTCAAAACTGGCATTAGATAAACCTTGTTATAGTTCACACATATTGTTAGATTGACAGCATGAAACAGGGTGGAGGACACTGTGTTCGGAAACAGTGACCTTACTACAACCTTCCGCGGTTGGCAGAGCCCTGGTACCCATATGCATATTATGGTTCAAATGGTCCGAAGGGACCGGGGCTCTGCCAACCGCGGAAGGTTGTAGTAAGGTCACTGTTTCCGAACACAGTATCCTCCACCCTGTTTCATGCTGTCAATCTAACACTATTATGTACAATCATGTAAGTAGTTGTTGTTGTTGAAATTTTATTTTGTATCGCAGGCCAAACGGGCAATGGTGCCCAATATTATGATGGCGATAAAGTAACGGCCGAGAGCCAAGGATACAACAAGCAAGCCTCCACGAAAGAGAGAAAAACACAGACAACACAGACTGCAAATACTCAAAAAAGAAAAAGAGAAAGGGGAAAAAAGAAGAAAAAAGAAGAAGAAGAAAGCACAGTTGAGTCACGACTCCAGTGAGTCGACTGACCGTACTAATAGTAATACATGTACACTGTAGATGCCTGTGGTACTAATAGTAATACATGTACACTGTAGATGCCTGTGGTTTGAAATGTCTGGCACTGTGGCAGTACAACCGAGTCGCGAATCACTTGCGAGTCACTTGCCCGGGCCCGGGATGTCTTGCACCAGACTCTGAGTCAGTCGTCTTCACAGGTAGATCTACCTTGCACATGTGGGCCAGGACCAGGGGCGTAGGAGCAAGTCCGGCGGGCCAGGGGCGTAGGAGAAAGTCAGGCAGGTCCGGCGGGCCAGGGGCGTAGGAGCAAGGCCGGCAGGTCCGGCGGGCCAGGGGCGTAGGAGCGAGTTTGGCAGGTCCGGCGGCCGCCGGACCAATGTTTCGCCCGAAAAAAAAAGAGGCAGCAAGCTCGTTTTCAACCATGCGGAGGGTCAAGTCCCACTTACGCAGTACAACCCACCAGGAAGGCCCAATCACCTGATGTTCCTGAATGTCCACAAGAATCTGCTGGACGGCTTGTGCCTGAAGAGTACCGCATGGGAATTTGTATGTGGAAGTGAGCATCGGCTCTCTCATTTCGGACAGTTTAAGCGGACTTTTGTCAATTCAAATGCTTGCTTCTGCAATCTGCATGCACTTCAGGAGTATACTAGTGTAGTAGTGGTATAACCTCAAGTCTTCCACGAGATACCACAGTATTTGTTGTGTGTTGTTAAAATCGCCCTCTTCACTCAGTAGAGTCGCAGTTGAGCGAGCTGTATTCCCGGTGTCGAAAGGCGGGCTCACCATCCCTGTATGGCAACTCCCCCATGTCTAACCCTCTAGACAAAGTGAATACTGTAGTAGTTTGTGATGTATGACGTCGCGCTATCCGCCATCCGCCGGACCATTGGAAATCGGCTTCCTACGCCCCTGTTGCCTGGTTGGCAGCATGTTAGAAGGCGGAGGGCGCACGGTGTCGAAAACAGTGCTCCTGACTACAACCATCATCGGCTGGTGGAGCCCCTGGTCTTACAACCATTTGAACCGCATGGGGTCTGGCCCCGGTTCGGATCATTATTCTAGGGATTCTTTAACCGCTCAGAGTTTGTTCAATTCATTTGTGTCTATCATTCATAGGGTTCCCTGTAAAGAAGGAGGTCCGAGTGTGGTTCTGCAATTGACGTCGGAAGGAGAAATTGCAACTGGTTGCAATGGAAATCACGCACATGGCATCTTCAGGATACAGCACAGAGAACACAAAGGCCTATCATCACCCGCAGAACCCTCATTCCCATCATGCACAGCCCAGGTCTGGCAATCCTCACGTATGGCTCTGGACAAGGCGTGCTGATGGCTTATGGGCATTCGGCTCTCATGCCCAAAGAGGATATCAGGACACCGGCAAATAGCATGCTGATGATACCAGCTCTTCGCAAAAGAAAGCGTCGTCTCGTGCTGGATCAAGACAAAAGAATTTTTTGGAGGAGAGCTTCAGAATGCAGCCAAGACCATCGCCGGAAGATCTCGGCCGTATTGCTCACATGCTCAATCTGGAGAACTCGGGTGTCAGTTGAGTACTTTGGTTGTTCGTTGTTGGATGTCAGTCTTGTGCAATGTCCTCCCTAGTCGCTAATCATTTGGTTTTCAACATGCTGTCAACCGTCCAACATGTTAAAACTATCAAACAAGGCTTACAGTCATCATACCATCCATCTACATGTAGCTACACAACTACCGTTACCCTGCTAGACTATCTACATGTAGCTACATAGCACTGCACTGCTGGGCTATGCTTGCGGCAGTTACGCTTACGTAGTGAGGGCATGCTTGGAGTTGTCCACCCCAGCCACAGGTGTCTAGGTATAGGAAGCACACAGGTGATTTTCATCATGTTATTGCCTAGCTGTTTACAGGTATACCTAACAATTGGACTGAAACGAATCATTCAATAACTCCTAACGATCACCCGGCGATACCAGTACCAATCAATAGATTGGTTTTACCGATTCTTGCCGGCTGTACTCCATGTACCTCGAACACCAGGCCATGAAGACATTTCATGATGCCGTTGCTATATTTGAATAGTGTGACCATCAGTCGAAGAGTAAAAATGTACCCAGGGTCAATTACCGATTTTGGGGTATTCTGCTGTAAACATTCGAGACAATGTGTATTACCGCAGAGTTGACACCTGTAGGGGTCAAAGGGGTGTACCGGGTACCCGACCGTTAATCTCAGGTACCGTTAGTAAAAGGGTACCCGTTTGGATTTTGATGAACCAGTCAGTACGGAGCAACACTGCTGGGATCGTGTATTCCAGGCGGGAGTCAATTATTTACAACTCCATGTTGGATACCTGCATTGCTGTTGCATTTTCGCACCTACACTTGTAGTAGATCTACTCCTGCGACTATCAGACACCAATCCATTTGCAAATCACAATGTGATATCAAAATGCAACCCGAGAACTCGTATATCAACATAAACTAGAAAAAATGTCATGGTGTTTCTAGAGGGTTTTTCGTGCCAAAGGATTACTAACTACCTCTTGTTGCCCGTGTGCAAAACAGCTGAATTGCCTCTTATCGCGGTACATACCGCAATTGCACTAGTCTGAATCTATGCGTACGAATAAACCTGTGCTTACTTAGGGGCCGTCCATAATTATCGATCTTTTACATGAAGAGAAAAAGTTTCGGATATGGGTGGGTGGGTCAAGGGGAGTTTCGTTTTGAAAAATATTGATACGTGAGACGTCAAGGCATCCGGCCACATCCTTGCTGTCAAGTCAATCTAATCTAGTCTATCTAATCCGCAACAAATTTTCGGCCAAAAATACCCAGGCCAAAAATAGCCAAAAATAAATATGCGCCGAATATTTGCTGACTTGTACTTGTGTTACAGTACAGGTGATTATAATTATTTCTTCCATTGATTGCACTTTCCATCAGTAGAGTAGACTTGGTAAGAATGGTAGGAACACTGGAATGGTAGGAACACTGGAATGGTAGGAACACTGGAATGGTAGGGATGGTAACAATACGTTTAGGACTCGGAATACCAGTACTTAGGATTCTGAAGTGGGACAAATTTGTGTGGAGCTTTGGATCTTCCTATTTCAGACATCCTCATCAAGTGAGTGTGAAGTGTTTGAGTATGAATTTTTAGACTTTTTTTGAATAGAAGATTTTCTTCTCTGGTAGCATTTTCCGGTTGGTTTCTCCTTCCTCAAGCAACAAGAGTTCAGCCATCAGCAAGCCAAGAGCAAAACACTTGCTGAACTCTGATTGGCTGAGGGCGGTTGACCAATCATTTCAGGTGCGAAGTTCACAACGAGGATGGTGGTCGGGGTTTGGGATGGCTAGAAATTTTAGATTTTCTTCTCCAGTAGAATTCTCTCTCGCTCTCTTCTCTCTCTCTCTCTCAGAATTTTTCTGGATAGTCTGGTACTAGCATTTATACTCAATTTTAATTTATAATATTTTGGCATTGTATTAATTTCTATACAACTTTAGAACGAGGTCTCTCTTGTTGTCCAGGAAACGACCAATCAGCGACATTCCCGCCAAGGGCCTTATCAGAGTTTAAAGCCCGCTCAATCGTAATTTTACTACTCTTGATGAGGGGAAGTTAAGCCTAAAATCAAAATTTCACCATTTGCAGTCTTCGGGGTGCTAGTCTTGGTCCGAGGAAGCTGAGACGCTCCCTTCCTACTTTAATCCCAATCGAACTCGCGCACTTCCACCGAAACTGGGTGACTGCGCCCTACTAGATGGGGATTTGTATGCAAAATGTCACTAAAAGCGCCATTTCGTTCTTATAAAAGCACGGATGACCGCGATTGGCCCATATGTTGTAGTCTTTTGGACGCTGAGTCGACTGGTTTTGGTCCGAAAAGGCTGCGATGCAGCGTTCGGCCCTTATTCCCAATCGAACATGGTTGAACAAGCGGTCACGTGCTCCTGTGTACACCAGTCACCTGGTCACCGTGCCTGCAGGGTACAACTTACAGCCTGTTGACCTTTTTTGGGTGCAGTCCTGTCACTCGAGTTGAACTCGAGTTGAACCTTGGTGTGAAAGTTGTCGCCTGCTGGCGCTGTGACCAGGTGACTTGGGCACGCAGGAGCACGTGACTGCTTGTTCAACCATGTTCGATTGGGAATAAAGGACCAAAACCAGTTGACTCAGCATCCAAAAGACTACAACATATGGGCCAATTGCGGTCATCCGTGCTTTTATAAGAACGAAATGGCGCTTTCAGCTTTAAAGCCTAGTTCACATTCGACAGGGTGCGATAGGACGTGACGTAAGGGTCGACGGGAAGCAACGGGACAGTCTGACGGCGTCCAATGTGAACACCAGGAACGGGAACGCAACTGTACTACCGTACGGATCGGGAAGCGACGGGAAGAGTTGGATCGATTCAACTTTTCATACCGTAGACAGTATACATGCCATCCAGCCTGATCCAGGCATGTTACATGTTACTTTGCACTTCCACAGCCGAGCGCTAGCCTTTTTAGAAGCAAAAGTGCCTTCAGTTGCGCTGAAAAGTGAAAGTGCAGGACTTCTGCATAGAGAAGTAATGATCTCCGACATTTTGGCTGCTTTTCGGACGTTTCCCTTTCCATTCGCTGTTGAACGACGCAACGGCTGTAGCATGTCGTGTCGTACGAATCGTACATGATTTTACATCTCACCCCAGCCTTCCCGACAGGCCTCTACGTCCCGTACCGTCAGCGTTCCGTCGAATCCCGTACCGTCAGCGTTCCGTTGAATGTGAACTAGGCGTAAAGCCCGCTGAATATACTCTAAACTAGTGTGTACAACTCCCTGTATGCATATAGTATGGTGCAGATAATGAACTCTGCATAAAATGTACGGTGCACTACTAAAAGCTACGCATTTCAGAAGTGTGTACGGTTTTTGCCTCCCGCACTCTTTCATCTTGCATCTGTACAATTTTCCTTTGTCAACAGCTGGCGGAACCCTATAAAAACCGAAGATCAAAGTCATTATAGGTATCGACAAGGGGCTCTCAAAGCCCCTAAATAGCTCTAACAAGCTATGAATAAGAATGAAGCTTGCAATAAGAGCCCAGCATTTCATTTGCTTCTATTCTACTTTTAGTAGTCCTCAGTGGTGCTGAGTTACCATAACTTACCAGAAGAAAATATTCTATCACACCACACCACACCAAGTCTCTCTGCACACAAACCACAAAACTACCTAATATAAAAGGTACACAAGCATAATGCAAGTGAGATAATGCATGTAACCTCGTTCTAAAATAGTTAGTGCATGGCAGGGAGGGCCTTATGGCTTGTTTGTGCCCTTCAGGTTAGCCTGAGGGCCGTACCCATAATTTAAACAATTTTCTGCAGAGCGGGGAAACACTCTGCCGTGATCATGCTGATGACTCGCATAAAGCTGCGTGGGTTTCTATCAGGGAGTGCTATTGTATTACTCCGCGGTTAGCTAAGACCGGGATGGGGAACATACGACAACGTTGTGAGTTGTTGCCGTCGGCAGACCCCATACTCAGAAAGTAAGTTGCACACTTTTGAGAGCTTATGTACTCCAGTACTACATGAACATGCTGGTTTATGCATGCCAACATGCAGACAGATATGGACACAGCTCTCACACTAACCGGGAACGGATTAAAAAAAAACACCCCAACACTAGAAAACGATCACATCCAGGCACGCTGTTCAGGTGGGAAATATATACGCCTGGGTTGCTATTTCACCGTTTTCTATTCCAGTTTCCTAAATAAAAATAAAAACCAACCCAAAACAAAACATACTAAGTCTTATGTTCAACAAGAGAGAGAGAAATACGAGTAAAACCATGCCTTACCTGTACCAGCAGGTCAGGGCCATGCTGTTAGGTACAGCTTATGGTGGTTAAGTACAGCTTATGCGTTATGGTGGTTAGGTTCTGTAGCTTATGGTGTGTTAGGTACAGCTCATGGTGTACTACTTGGGTGTACTGATGATGTCCAAGAAATTAGTTACCGTGTGATTTTCAACTTTACACCTCAACATCAGACCAAAGGCAATCACCAACACAGTCAATCCTGGTGGGTCTGCGATAGAGTAAACAGCTGGTGGGCTATATTATTATAGGCTGTCGTGGAATTTTATATCGCCCTGGTTCACGACAAGCACTAGCAGTGCAATTTCAGACATGGCAAAGTTTGCACACGGTCCTTCTACAGGACCAGTGTAGATGTAGACGCACAGCACTGGCCCTAGGCACACGTGTCGTACCAGCAGCGTGTTTATAAGGTCATAGCAAGGCATGCTACGCTCTATGGTCACCAGCTGTAGCATTGTACTGGCACTATGACTTGGTTACAGGGGAACTTACAGGGATGAGACAAGCAAGCCGTAGTTGCGACATGCATCACCTGGACGCAGCCGGAGGGGGCTTGTCCCGTACACTGCGAATCAAACGCATGATGGCCATTTGCAAGCGTAGCTCTTCCTTGTTGTTGGTTATGTAGAAGCATGGCACACCGACTTGCTGGAGACAGAGAGAAAAAGGATTGACGACATCAGGGCATCCGTCCCGGGATCCAGCTGCAGTTACCCTTACCCCCAGTGAAGGTAATACTTGCTACTAGTGTGGGTGGCTAAATCAGAGATGATCTGATATAAGCTTCACTAGCACCATTGATTACACAAGAGTTAAAAGCAGCCCATGGTTAACAGGTAGGTATACTTCAAATAGAAAGTATATGAACTCTGAAACCAACGAAGGTGGCAGGTACAACAATAGACCTTCAAGCAGCTGAGCCTGTTGGCAACAGACCCAACATGATCTGGCATAACACACCCACCCACACCCACCCACACACACCCACACACCCACACACCCACACACCCACACACCCACACACCCACACACCCACACACCCACACACCCACACACCCACACACCCACACACCCACACACCCACACACCCACACACCCACACACCCACACACCCACACACCCCCACACACCCACACACCCACACACACCCACACACCCACACACCCACACACACACACACACACACACACACACACACACACACACACACACACACACACACACACACACACACACACACACACACACACACACACACACACACACACACACACACACACACACACACACACACACACACACACACACACACACACACACACACACACACACACACACACACACACACACACACACACACACACACACACACACACACACACACACACACACACACACACACACACACACACACACACACACACACACACACACACACACACACACACACACACACACACACACACACACACACACACACACACACACACTGCATCAGAAAGATCACAATCAGGTTGTACCACATTATCAGGTCTATCAAGATGACTGTAATGTGACTGTAATGCCTGGAGCGACCAGCCTCAGTCAGAGAGTACACTGCTGATTCTAATTAAAATCATCAACTCACAAGAACCAGCTTGGCATAAGAAGAACAACAACAACCACAACAATCTCTTATTGGCCACTGGCTATCGTGAGAATAAAGATTTGAAACAACAACTAGAAGAGTAGTAGTAGCCAAGTACAAGTTCCTACTCGAAGTATTTATTTGATTTTTCCTATTTACTTGACTGGATTTGTCCCCATTGCCTTCTTTGCTTGCGCTTTTCGAATTCTTCATTCCGACACCCAGTTTGTTTTCAAATAAAGGCAAAGTTCTCAGTAGCTAAGTACAAAAACACTTTACCTGTAGAGTAGACTGCTGCTCCAGGACCTGCTGGTCGAGTTGTAGTATTATCTTCTGGTCCAGTTGGCGTAGCTCTTCTTCCAGAGTCTTCTCCAATGCCTGGTTGGATACAGTACCAAGAAAACATTGAGCAATCAGGAACACAACACATCAACAACCCACGGACACTGTCAGCAGACACCACCAGTACACCATTCGACAAAGAAGAGCATCCTAGCCTATACTGCTACGTGTAATCAATCACCAGGAAACTCGACTGGAAAGAATGCAATATAGGAGGCGCACTGGGTTTTAAGCTGACAGTGGGTATAGGCGAGGAGACAAAAAGGCAGGTGTGCTCACTAGCACCACTGTGAACGAGTTAGCGCTACAAATACCGGTGTGAAATAAGGACAAAAATCAAACAAACAGCTAACATTTCCACACGGTACCATAGCATTAAGTTGGACTTGAAACTGACAGTCAAGTCCAAGTCGTAGCAGTATCTTCTACGCGCCAAGCGCTACCTGATGTGTCAGCCCGCTATGTCGGATACCGACAGCCATGCATGCATCGACCAGGTGCCATGCGTGAGCTGGTGGTGGTAGTGAGAAGGACACCTCTGTGCCAGGGTGTAACTTAGCAGCTTAGCTTGTGTGGGCAAGCGTGCGTTTACCACCATTTGACCAGGTGTTGTCAGGAGACACAATAATTTCTAAGAAGCAGTTCTGGTGACACGAGACAGTGATACTACTGTAAACGTCCGTAAATGAGTACGTACATCATCACGGTACAATGTACTCACTTCGAACTTGGTGGTCACACCTGTACTAACTTTCGAGCACGAACTAACTTTCGGACCTGACTTGTGTGTAGCGGAGAACTCATTTTCCATGTACAGGTCAGACCTCGCTATAACGTAATCTCTGGGGGATGGGAGAAATTAGGTTATAGCGAGGTTTATGTTATAGTGAGTTGGGCACCTTATTATGCAATATGTATGTCAAAATGCCGCTCTTCACTTACTGATTACAACTGTACTGTTTTACATACAAGGATGATGATGACTAGCAAAGATGTGCACATGTGTTCAGGCTTGTCAGCAAAGGGGCGACAAGAGCCATGCAGTGCGTGTACTTGTACATGTGAGTCGTGATGTGACAAGATTAGAGCCTATAAAAAGTAATGGGAGTAGTAAAATACCGGTATTTTACTACTCCATGCTTCCGAGGTGGACGGCTCAGTCTCGAATTCGTCGCGAGAAGGCATGCATGCCGTGTACATAGTCATTTTTATACGAGTTTTTACGTTATGCTGAGGTCTCCGTGCGCCCGGGACCCAGCAAACAGTGCGTTATAGCGAACATTACGCTATAGCGGATTATGTTATAGCGAGGAAATTTTGTACAGAAGTGATGCGGTTTCGGCAGGGACATCCACATTTGTACGTTATAGTGAGGTTTATGTTATAACGGGGGTCGTTATAGCGAGGTCTGACCTGTAGATGTACATGCTATGTGCTGCATGTGCGCACCATACCGGTACATATTTCGGGCAGTATGTTTATCGGGCTGAACTTGACTTCAACTAACCGAGTCAAAAGGATGAAGGGGGTATTTATTTCGGGCAGGTACTTATTTAGCAGAAATTCATACACCCATCACTGGAAGAGGTTATTGTTCAATCAAATCTCTCCTCGGCTTGCAAGGTAGCCCATATGGCCAATAGACACATCTGACTGACAGGGCAAGATAGAATAGAGACCTCTGTTTGCTCAGCTTCATTCACCTTGTGCATTACTCAGTGCAATCCGACCGAATCATTCCCCAGAGTCCACAAGATGCATGCACCGGTAATGGCTGTTGGGTAGCTATGAGCTAGCTCCGCTTGGCAGCGGACACATGATTGTACATTCCGTAGCAGGCTAGCAGTGTAGTGCTACTGCAAGGCTATACAATGTACAGTACCGGCAATGTAACTGCATAATTATCTAGAAGCTGGTCTAGAGACCAGTCTAGAAACTATCCACGCCAGTCGAGACCTGAATGGCACAGGCAGTCATACTAGTCACTTACAGTTTTCTTCTGCTGAAAATTCGACTTGATCTGAGGAAGGCGGTGTGCCATGGTCTCGTACTTTTGCAGAGCCGCCTTGTGCTCTTTGGCCAGATCAATACGTCGAGCTGTGCGCCACAGAAAGATACAATAGTCAGCAATCCTGCTCGGCCAGATCTAGACTAAAGATGACGCCAAAGAACAGGACCAGTAGCATGCACGCGCATACACACACACGTGTACGAGCACAGTTCTGGCAACTGAAATCCGACCCCTTAACGGTGCGTCCACATTCTAGCGGTCTCTGTTTCGTAGTTTTACCATCCTGTGTTGGGTCTTTGCGATGTGAGTGCACCGATCAGGGATCGGATTTCAATTCCCAGCACTGTACTCATAGTAGGAGGTTTTGTTCTACGGAATTGCGCATGAAAATAACGTAGGAACTGCACGTAATTTTCATACGTAAAAACCAGAGCTGTTGGGTTTCGCTCTACGTGATTTCTCCACGACTGCTAAATATGCCTTGTTGCTTTGGAGATGCGTTGGCTGCATGCGCCCACCGCATGCACCACGGGCCGAAACAGCGTTTTCCATTTATATTTTGCACATGGTGTACGGTGTGTGTACCTTGTGTTTCGCGCGGCTTGAATGTTGCCATGGATAAATCCGGAAAATGCGAAAAATATTTCAAAAAGTCCTACGGAGGACACAACGTAGGAAAGGGCTTTCCTACGGAAATCCGTAGAGAGATGTACGTATGAAAGTTGCCCTCGCTCCCCGGCGCGTACGATATACAGATTTTCATGCGTAATTACGTAGAGCGAAACCTCCCTAGTGTCAGAAATCGGTCGCGTGGCCGTCCCAGGAGAGGGGAGAGAAATTCAGCTCACATGTACATACATGTACACACTCACGCACACACACATACACACGCTACTAATAACAGTTACCGGTATCACTCCATCCTCCCATCCATCTACTCTAGTCCAGATCTTGGGTGAGACAAAGAAAGGAAAGTTACCCAGGCTGCTTAGCAAGAATTACTTGAGAAGAATGTGAGGAGACAAAGCAGAGTAACTCGCATTGCTGAATACTAGTAGTTCAGAGAAGTAGTACTCCGCAGTGTCTATCAGTGTCAGCTATTGTGCATGCCTAGGTCAGGAGCACATGTTACTGACGACATTCTACGGGATAAAAAAGTTTGCAATGTGCAAATGACAAATACCAGGGGAATTTCCACGGCTAACATGGATCCTCACACTATTACATTTTCAAACATCACAATTCCAACTCATCACCACCACCACCGCTAGTCCAGCAGCAGCAGCAGCACCGCTGGAGTACCGTAAAAGCCCGTAATTAGCGCCCACCCAGTATAACGCCCACTACCCATGTACACGCCCAGGTGCCCGGTGTCAACAGTCTTGTCCCGTTTTCTAGCCCACCTCCGTGTAAACGTCCATGGGCGAAAGCTCAGGTCCATTACACAGTAGTGCAGTACGTGCACAGCTCCATGTACATGTATATGCACGGTACTGTAGTATAACTTAGTGTACAGTGCACTGTGCTAACCGTATACGTACATGCAGTAGTACGGCATGATGTGAAAATAAGTGTGGTTTCACTTATCCGAAATAACGCCCGGGCCCACATTTGCGCCCAGGTCCAAATTGACGCCCATGTTCCGGACCTTCACTAACGCTTCCGCCCAGGGCCTTATTACGGGCTTTTATGGTATGTCATCATCAATCAATACAGTCACGTACATGGATACTCAGGTACATTGAGTCACTCACTTTTGTGCTGGTTTAGTACACGCATGCGCTCATTCAAGAGGTTGCGCTCCGTGATCAGTTGGATTTCTTCGATTTCACGGAAAATCTCGAACACAGTCTCATCAGCCAGGCATGATGCCAGTTGTGCAATCACCTCTTGAGTTACAGATGGCAGGCCAGATGATCTGATCGGCACGAACAGATGGACAACAAGAAGAAACACACTCATAATGAAACCCAACACGGCAGCGGGATTGGGCCAACGCTGCTATTTCACTTTGACACGGCCCAGGGCATGACGTCAAACGCAAACACCTCTGCAGAGTGTGCAGACTGGCAGTGTGTAGCTGTCATGACTTGGATTTACGACAAGAATGATTCTTTTTCACGACGATATCTACACAACTCACTGGTACTACACAAAGCTGGCTGTGTTACAGATATCTGCAGGGATACCCTGGTCGTCTTTCAACATACGTTTAAAATGCATTCATACACTGGCACTTCTTTCCGCTGTACACTACTAAGCTTACCCTCGCGGTGTTTTATCCGAAATTGCCTGCAATCGCTGCTGAATTTTCAACGTTGCAGCCATGTCCGCAGAGGATGTTGTTGCGGCAGCTGGTGTTTTCGGGGTAGGAGAGGTGGGTGGTGGCTGTGCAGGAGTGTAGGACAGAGAGGATCCAGCGCCAGTTTGCCCACCAGATGCATGTGCTGCTGCTGCTGCATCGTAGCGAGGCATGGGAGAGCTCGGTGATGCAGGCTGATAAGTCGGAGCTGACCGCGAGTAGCCAGAGGTTGCCGAGGCAGCAGTAGACGAGCTACGGGATGAGGACATGGCCGAGTACGAGTAGTCTGCTTCGTAGCGCTGTTCTACCGGTGACTCGGAGCGCCGACGATGAACTGGCGGAGCGTACGCTGGCACATCAGAATACGACCGCTCCACACCAGCAGGCCCGGTGGGTGAGGATGATGATAAGGGTGAAGAGCGGTGTGCAGTGGATGATGATGGATATGATGGGTATGATGGTGCACCATAGCTAGATAGAGGCTGGTTATGGTGCTGGGAATTTGCAGGGTAGTCTCTTGACTGAGATTGATACTGGTTTGAATTCGCCGAGTACGAGAACGAGAATGACGATGATGTTGCTGCACCCGATGCCGATGCGTCAGATGGCTGTGACCTACCGGGTTGACTGGTTGACTATGCATATATCATACAACAAATAACAGAAGGCACACAGGAGAAATGGAGCGCCATCACACAGCAGCATAGCCATAGGAAGACAGAATTTTACCAGGCCCCGAGCATGTATAATGCCAGGGCCCATCTTTGTGATTGCTACCTCCTGACAGTGATACTCGCACCCTCCCCGAACCGCCAGTGACCCCATTAGTAATGCCTTATCACCACACGTGCTCACAGTTAGAGGTGAACCAAGTTCACCGGATGATGCACCCAGTGTGCTGAGAGTGCTCAACACGTGCTCACTACCTGCTCAATACCTGCTCACTGCCTGGCATAAATACCGGCATGGCCAATAGCATCATCATGTTGCCCGATAATTGAATAAGCATGAAACTCAGAGCAGAAGCAAACTAGCCTTGCCCGTTGTCGTTCTGTGTGATGAACCAAGTAACTAATACTTAGTTCCAAAGTCCTGGACGACCGTATGACATGACTGTACAATCATTTTCACTGTACTCTGTAGTGTAGTGCACATGGTGTGACTGATTGTAGAATGTAATGTTCACAATATCTTACCCACTCAGGCTGAGGTGCACTATCGTAGTCTGACGAAAGAGTAGACCACGAGGATCCAGTGAAGGGCTTGTAAGACATGACGAAGTAGAGTCGCTTTTACTTTTCACAAACTATCGTCTTCGTTGATCCAAGCAGCGGGGGATTTAGGCCACTATACACAAACGGCGTTGTCGCTGAGAATGACAAAGTGCCTAGCTCAAACAAGGGGCAAATACAGAGCTACAGCTATTGCTGCTCAAAACGCTCCTCTACAAGGTAGGACTACATACCATGACATACCGAGGAAAGCATAAGTGCAACAGTGAATCTTTGGGCATTGCTTGTGACCTGAAGACGTGAAGTGGAGCGCAAGCAAGTGAGCTCATAACTCGAATTCCGAACAATTACGGGTAGATCTCTCTGGGTAAGGGATGTCAAGAAAATGAATGAACACAGCTCCAACAAGCCAACTGGCCAATTGCCAAGTCTATTGAATGCAAACTAGAAAACGCGACGCATATGGATGATTTTGACTGATGATGACTATTCGATTTTGAACTGTCACAAACAAAAAGAATGTACGAAACGAAGTGGGAAGGGGAAACCCCAAAGGGCCCAAGGCAGGACGGATCGGCCTGACGTAACCATGGTGACTGTAAAGTGCACAAGTGCAGCCCCGTATTATTATGAGGTTCGCCCCCTATACTATACTATCTATAGTATAGAGTTCATTGGTCCAAAATCCAATACTACTACTAGTAATTGTTGTAGTACGGTACTAGTACTAGACTACTAGTCTACTACATGGTATATACATGTACAGAAGCCTTGCTTGGTAGTTAAGGTGGGACACCACCTTCCAGGGGTCAAAAAATCAACTTTCGATTTGTCACCTTTTTGCTATTGGAAATCAAAGCATATGCCCTGAGGTGTCAGTATTCCAAATTTGAAGCGATTCGGACCAACCGTTGCAGTCATATGACCGTTTGAAATTTGAAAATATTTGAAAAATTTGTACACATCGATGTTCGTACACTAAAAAGTTGAAAAAAATTGTACACATCGCGATGCTCGTGCACTAAACGAGCTGTCAAGATTGTGGCCGTGGAGTTTGGGAGTTTTGAAGCGCTTTTACTTCCAAATTTTCTTGCCATGGCAGCAGTGACCCGTGCCACGTGCAAAAAAAGTGCAAAAAATTCTTTCCCAAAGGACTTCTTCGCTGTTGCAGTTTCGAGCGCGATGCACAATGTCAATGGAGAACAAGAAGAGCAGGTCGTGCAAGCGTCCTGCAAAGAGAAGATTCTCACTGCACGCAGCACCTGTCCAGGAAGCTGCTGAGGGAGTTTATGAAGCTGAAGCAGTGCCAGAGTCCGCCTCGAAGCGCAAGTTGTACGATGGCGTTCCAAAAATAAGAATACAGTGATCATAATAAAAAATTAATGGATTCAACTGAGCGATAGTGAGTCGGATTCGGAGGAGAGCTTTGATGGATGTGCGCTGGCCTCGAACTCAGACAGTTGCTCCCTCAAGTGATTCCTCGTTCTCTGAAGACTGTCATGGCCCAATCGCTGAAAGTTGTGATTCAGACGCCACTGGACTTGAATTGTTTACGAAATTTGATTTTCTCTGCTTGCTCGTGCAAAATACTGTGGAGGTGAGCTGACCATTGCTGAAACTGCACGTTCTGGCCTTGCATCCACTGTCAGAATCACATGCTGCAATGAAGAGCCAGTGTTCAGCAGGCACCAGCCTGCCAGTGGTGGAGAAGTCAGGACAGTTTTATGAGTGCAATCGCCGCAGTGTTCTGGCATTGCGCACGCTGGGAATTGGCCATGTTGGCTGGCAAATTTTTTGCGGCCTCATGAATTTGCCCCACCTGTTCAGCTATCTGCATTCCAGCGGCACCAGCGAGCATTGTGCAAGGCGGCAAGGTCAGTTGCGCAAATCAGCATGAACGAAGCAGCAGATGAACAAGACAATGGACAGGCCTAAGCATATAACTGCTGTCACCTATGATGGTACGTGAATGAAGCGCGGGTTTTCCTCCCTACCCGGTGCGTTTACTGCAATTGACTGGCAAGTCGGGAAGGTCCTTGATGTGCATCTAGCTTCCAAGTACTGCCATGGCTTCAGCTTGTGGAAAGCTCGCCAGGCGCATAGTGAAGTCACAGCTGACAAGTATGAGAAGTGGAAGTCGGGCCATATCCCTCTCTGCAACCGCACCTGGCGTTTTTGCAGAACGCCAGCTCATGTTGGATAGTATTAGAGTGGCCAAGGCTGAGAAGAAGATGAAGCAGGAGGAAAAACAGCAAAGGAAACAAAGGAGGAGGTGCAGGAAGGGAATTGAGGAGCAGATTGTGGAAGCTGAGGGTGTCACATATGACGCTGGTGGGTTTTAGTTGGAACAATAGTCTTAGAATCTATGAAAAGGACACCTAAATGTTTGTGCTTTTTGGCCTTTTTCTGCCTTCTTGGACATGATTGCGGCTAGTGTGTTTATTTTAGACCTATCAACCCATACATTTTTGGAATCAGTGACTTGTTGCGCAGGGATTGAACTACAATGGTGATCATAGGACCTTTTACATTGGATTTTGAGCTCCCACAGTGCCTTCTATTTTACGCGTTTTGCGGCTCGTCCTGTTTTGTCTCTGCATTTGGGGTAGTAATACCTGTCAGATAGAGTTCATTGTAGTTCATTCCCTGCATAGGCATATGGACTGGGTTTTGCTGCATTTTGGAACTGTCTATGTTGATACATCTTGCTGCAAAGTTGTCCAAAAAAATTGCTGTTTGTGCGCACCCGTGAAGAATTTGTGTAGCCCATCAAGCATTACTGGGATGAACTGTAAATTCTCTTTTCGGTGCCTACATTGTGGAGCAGTATATAGTGATTGAACATAGAAAATTTGAAGGCAATCTGCCAATCCATTTTCATGATATGCCTATTTCAATTGTATGCGGTCTGATTTGGGCCGCGAATGGTGGTGTCCCCCCTTAAAGGGGAAGTTAAGGCAAAAATTAAAATTTCACCAGTTGTAGTCTTCGGGGTGCTGAGTCGAATGGTCTTGGTCCGAGGAAGCTGAGACGCTCCCTTCCTACTTGAATCCCAATCGAACTCGCGCACTTCCACCGAAACTGGGTGACTGCGCCCTACGAGATGGGGATTTGTATGCAAAATGTCACTAAAAGCGCCATTTCGTTCTTATAAAAGCACGGATGACCGCGATTGGCCCATATGTTGTAGTCTTTTGGACGCTGAGTCGACTGGTTTTGGTCCGAAAAGGCTGCGATGCAGCGTTCCTCCTTTATTCCCAATCGAACATGGCTGAACAAGCGGTCACGTGCTCCTGGGTGCCCAAATCACCTGGTCACCACGCCAGCAGGCGACAAATTTCACACCAAGGTTCAACTCGAGTGACAGGAGTGCATCCAAAAAAGGTCAAACAGGCTAGTAAGTTGTACCCTGCAGGCACGGTGACCAGGTGACTGGTGTACGCAGGAGCACGTGACCGCTTGTTCAACCATGTTCGATTGGGAATAAAGGAGGAACGCTACATCGCAGCCTTTTCGGACCAAAACCAGTCGACTCAGCGTCAAAAAGACTACAACATATGGGCCAATCGCGGTCATCCGTGCTTTTATAAGAACGAAATGGCGCTTTTAGTGACATTTTGCATACAAATCTCCATCTTGTAGGGCGCAGTCACCCAGTTTCGGTGGAAGTGCGCGAGTTCGATTGGGATTCAAGTAGGAAGGGAGCGTCTCAGCTTCCTCGGACCAAGACCATTCGACTCAGCACCCCGAAGACTACAACTGGTGAAATTTTAATTTTTGCCTTAACTTCCCCTTTAACATGTTTTTCGATTTTGACAGCATGTTACTCTGCCAACCGGTTTATGGTTGTAGTCAGGAGCACTACGCGTCCTCGCCTTGTAACATGCTGTCAAAATCGAAAAACATGTTAGTCTACTACATGTACGTTAATGCATTATCACTCCCTGACTATTGACTCCCATAGATTTTTGCCATACCTAAGCAATCAAATATTCCTGCATATTTCACTCCTTGTAAGTTGTAGGGCTATATTGACCGCTTATATTAATTTTGACACCTTTTTTGCGATTGAACACATGCTTTGGTTAGTCGTGATACATCTAATATTGACTTCGTACTTGGTCAGTATAGGAAATAAAAGACCTCGTAAAAGACCTCAGCTTCGCCTCGGTCTTTTACTCGGCTTTTATTTCCTATATTGACCTCGTACTCAGTCAATATTAGATACGTACTAGTTACTAAGTACATGTACATGACTTGTACTATAATAATTATAAAGAAGCCTTGCTTGGTAGTTTTAACCAGGGAGTAGACATGTTTTTTGATTTTGACAGCATGCTGTACAAGGCGAGGACGCATAGTGCTCCTGATTACAACCATAACCCGGTTGGCAGAGTCCCGGTCTTGCGACCATTAATTTTGAACCGTATTGGGAAAACCCAGGCTCTTTACTCTAGGGGTTGGTAGGATGTAGGTTTTTCTTCTTTTTTTGTTGTGTTGTAGATGTCGTCGTGTTGCCGCCGCAGTTGTTGTTCACGTTGTCGTGTTGCTGCCGCTGTAGTGTAGGGACTAGGGTCCGGTGGATTCTGCCGGCAGAAAAACAGCGCAAACCAGTCTCAATTTGTAAAACGCAAACATTTATTGTAGCAAACGTTACCCGTTTTACAGTAACGTCCGGGCCCAAATTGACGCCCGGGCGCCCATGCTCTTGACCTTCACTAACGTTTCCCGCACCTGGGGGCCTTATGACGGGCTTTTAGAGTAGACCATACACTAGATACAGTACTCGCACAGTGAAGTTTACCTGGAGGTCACCTGACCACCTGACCACCTGTTCTATTCTTTTATTTCAATTCGCTCAGGGCACAGGCAATACTGCCTTCTCACTTCTCACCGGAGAGAGGACAACCTCAATCCAAATCGTCGAGACTTACATGACATTGTACATGTACATTAGTGGCTTGTCTTCTGGCACTAGCCATCAATTTTGCCCATCTTTCAATGCCACTGCCACATGAACACGCATACGCACACCACACACACGCACCCCCCCCCCCCCCCCCCACACACACACACAACGGATCCTGCTACCAGAGCACACAACCATCACCACGATCACGGCTAAAAATAATTACGCCAGGGTTGTATAGATGCCCCCAGACTGCCATATTTTGAAGAACGTGTAGTCATTTTCACTGGGGTCAAAGGTGTAAATGCTACAACAGGGGCACATTTCTCACCATAAAATAAGCTAGTTTGGCCAGAATGACCGTTTCGGCTTTCAATCCAGTTTGCAGCTACATACATTCATTTCCATACCAGTGGAAACAAGTTGAAACAACCAAAAGCTGGGGGCTGCTGATAGTTTTGCCACCTCTATTATGGCCGAGCAGGGCATACACTGCTGCTAGTCACGCGGCACCCTACACATACCGTAAAGTCGTGCATAAAAGCCGCGGCTTCTATGACTTTCTTGGTGAAATTTTGCAGGCTTCTAGTTCTATATGGGACAGGCTTCTATACAAGACAGGTATTTCTATGCATGTCAACACTAAAACCAGGCTTATGTGTGATTTGATGGGCCCAAAATTGCGGCTTCTATTCGAGGGCGGCTTCTATTCAAGGGCGGCTTTTAAACAAGACAGTTTACGGTATTTCGGGTCCATGAAGGCCAGTATCTGGTACATGTAACTGTTATATACAGCCGTGACCACACTCCACAGTCTTGCCATGTATGATGGACACGACTGGTGATCCTCACTGGGCTAACACAAATCACAGAGATTTCGCCTGACACATCATTGTTATGAGGAATAAAAACTCCCAATGATCCTCCAAGGATTCATCAAACTCTAACACTTCAAAAAAAAATCACAGATCCTAGTTAGCTTTACCTACTGCAGCAGTTGATTAGAAAAAGAACATGCACCTCTTGTGATGGACAGAAGCGGTCTGAGCTGCTGGAATGAGGACATTTGTAGATGCTGCGGCATATCCACAAAGCTAGCCAAGGGTGTGAGGGGGGGGGGGGGGGGGGGAGGTGTGAGAGAACTCATTGAAAAAGTAGAAAAGCACAGCTGCACACAACCTAGATATACATGTATGAGCAGAGCTGTCTGGTCAGTCACCCACTGAGCAAAGTTACAGGCTATACAATTGGAACAAGTAAAGAAGAGGCTAGAATAGAGAGAAAGGAACAATAAAGACAATCGGAAGGCAATGAAGAGTACCGATTCACGCACTCTTCGTGTGCACTAGTTGTCACCAGGAAGAATCGTGTCCGACTTCTTGTAAACAGCGATTGCCAACAGTCCAGCCACGAGCTAGAGTAGTATCCAGGTTCCAAGGAGACAGAACATGCACGCATATGTACGCACACACCACACCACACACACATACCACACCACACCACACACACACACACATACCACACCACACACACACACACACACACACACACACACACACACACACACACACACACACACACACACACACACACACACACACACACACACACACACACACATACGCACACACACCACATACACGCACACACGCGCGCGTGCGCACAAACACGTGCAGAAAGAAATACGCACAGTCACGCAAAGTTACTGCATGTAGTACATGAAGTGTGAGTCAAGCGGTCATGGACTCTACTCCTAGCCGGCCCTGCCGGCATGTAGGCATGAGAATCACACTGAAGGAGTGATTTTGCCGCTTGAAATGGTGGATATTCTGCCAACCGCATGTTAAGGGCTCCTAAGGTCAACTCTACTAACAAAGTAACCGGTACCGCCACTCCAAAGAACCCTTCCCCGTCCCCGTTCTCATGTTGGTAATATTAGGACATTGTTTGGCTGTGTTTGCATACCTGCTGGAGTGTACGACTCGTAATACTGCCAGAGCACTTGCATAGTGTATGTCAGTAGTGCCAAGACTGAGCAAAGCAATCCTCAACCACCCACTGCCCCCACTGTCCACAGCTGAATACCTAGAATAGAAATAAAGCTGTCTAGCAGGATGACTTTCAATGTCTCAATCTATCTCCCATACCAATGCTGGTACTGTCCGTACTATGCTACCAATGCTGTATGGTCTGTACTATGCTACAAATACGGTTGGTCTGTACTATGTATGCTCTTACCCAGAGGGCAAACGATAGCCACGTAAAGAACACACCAGCATTTGGCTCATCTGCTGTGACGGACAAGTCGGCATACTCGACGGTGGTATAGATGGCGCATGCAAACCAGACTGCAGCAATGACCAGTGACAAGCCAAGATCAATGAGGGCCAAGGTGCGGCGACGTCCACCTGGCAGCACAATCAGAGCCAGAGGGCCGGGAAGCACTAGGGCCAGGACGTTGACGACGGAAAGGATCAGGCCGACGACCAAGGATACGGCACCCATGCCAATGCCAAAGTCGCACGTTTCAGTACCAGATGCCTGATAGAAACATACATCAGCTGAGACACCAGATATGGTGGGGACTGTCACTTTAAGTTTGTCCACAATAATGGCCAGAACAATGATTCCACTGACCTGCAAGTAAACAGAAACAAGCAGCAAGCAAACGAGAATATTTACCAGGTACTAGTATGCCGCACGCATCCACAGCTACCTTGCATAATCAGCCAGGACTCTACATAACATGTAGATGATACTTCAAGTACGAAGTCTTTCGCTCAGCATAAGCTTGGTTCCGTCTACTCCGAATAAGTCTGTACTCAGTCTTTCGCATGGACAAGGCAAGACTGTACTCAGTCTTTCGCATGGACATGATGGACAAGCCGGCAAGACAGAAGTTCAAGTAGAACAGAAAACCTTATGATGCACACTGCAGGCCCTGCAGGCCAAATCACACAAGTTAGTTTAGAATCTACACCAGTCCAGGTATGCGAATTTCCATCCATGCAATAAATGGTATCATGCAACCTCTGCGCATAATGCCGCATACGACGATATACCGAGCATGCATAAAAGCGCGGTGTGAAAAGTGACTCATATTAAAGGGGAAGTGCATCGATTTTTCGAGTAGGGTCCAGAAGAAAGACAATTTGATATCGGTTCGAATGGCATATCTCTCGCTTCCATACGATACGCCAAATTTGCCAAATCGCCAATTGTATGCTCACATTGCCATAGCGACCAGAGCAGTGATGACGTATGAAAGGCTAAGCTCCTCCACAGAGAAGGTTGATCACTGCAGAAATTGGTCATTTTCAATTGTCTTATTGTATTCACGATGTGAAAGAAGTGCTGTGTTCAATGCTGTTAGTGCCGTGAACTATTTATCACCCTTCTCATGCATTTCCCTAGGCTGACTGTGCCTAGGAAATGGTTTCCTCCAGGACAAGATGCTTGGAATTCGCCATCTCTCCTGAGACATTTTCAGCAAATTTTCAAACCTACGACATTATTTCATTCGTCAATCTCCACCACCCGTCGTCTCACCTGGCTTCAGAAGATGTTACGAGAGATAGGAGAGTCGCCAGGAAGAATCACATTCATCTTCAGGAAGTGGAAAGAGCAAACGGCATGGTCCTTGGTTGGGGGAAATGCTGAACGTCTGATTTGTCCCAACCAAGATTTCAGCATTTGGTTCGACACTATTCTCGCTTGTCTGCTGGTGTGTCCGCACTCCAGCTTTCTCCTGTCGGTGTCACGTCCCAGTACACAACCGAGAGGACTACTAACAAACAGTTCACTGCACTAACAGCATTGAACACAGCCCTTCTTTCACTTCGTGAATACAATAAACCAATTGAAAATGACCAAATTCTGCAGTGATCGACCTCTGTGGTGGAGCTAAGCCTTTCGTACGTCATCACTGCGCTGGTCGCTATGGCAACGTGAGTATACAATTGGCGATTTGGCAAGTTTGGCTTATCGTATGGAAGCGAGAGGTATGCCATTCGAACCGATATCAAATTGTCTTTCTTCTGGACCATACTCGAAAAATCGATGCACTTCCCCTTTAATTAAACAAAGTGGAAGCTCAGTACTCTGCTGCAGTAGGTCATTCTCACTATGGACCTTTTAATTGCATGTCATGTGCTAGTTGTGGCTTGTAGCTGCTGTGTAAATGTTGTCTGAAAATAACAATACATTCTCGACGTGAAAATTCATAATTAGAGAAGGGTTCACATGGTTCTTGCGCTGTCAGTTATCATCGACTTGAAGAATTTGGATCTACTCTGGGGAGGTTAATGCACAATTCAGCATGCATGTGTGCTCGTTAGGTGGAGGTGGAGGGGAGGGTAACAATGACATTATTACAAAATTTTACTTTATTTCAGTTTACTCTATATACGGACAGTCTCAGCAGGTATATGTCGCGAGCAAGTACACATACTTGTAGATTAGGAAATGGTTCTAGATTGGCGACTTAGCAGAGATCTCCATTTCTGACCCAGTGCAAGAGGGTAGAGACAGCCACCATTGAAAGGGCTAAAAGCAGCAACCATCACTATCACCCAACAATACATTTGTACCGGCGTGCTAGTGAACGGATGTCCCTGTGTTGTAAGGCCACCACCACAACGTTTACCTGTATAATTGTCAAAATACTACAATGTACTAAGATGTTGCAATATCGGCGGTAATTAATGAAGAAAGTGTCAATCAGTTGGCAGGAAGCACGAGCTCCAACGTTTGAAGCAGACACATTCTTCACTACAATGTACTTAGAAGTAGTACTTTAATTCCCGTAGCTATGCAGAAGACGTTACTTCAGTAACGTCTGGCGCTAGCCAGGGTCCACACAGCTTTAATTTGGTGTTTGTTTGTGTGTTTGTTTGTGTCACGCCTGGCGCTATCCGTATCTGACGGCAAAAAAAGCATAGGATGTTATAATTTTTTGAATTCTCCTATTTTTTTTCTGGCATATCCTGGGATTCGAACCCGCACTATCGCCCTACATGCATTCCCCCATACACTTCGCATTCATACCCATTCTTCCAAGTTGCTTCATGTTATTATCTTGCGTTTGAAAGCCCTATTTGAATATTGCGGGCACCTGTATGTGGCCAGCTGTGTTTGATGGTACTGTACGGTACGGGAGACGGTGTCGTATTACCCTCGATAGTACCTGTCCCGTTCCTATCCCCTACCGTACCGTGCCATCAAAGATGGCTGGCCACAATGCATATTCAAATACGGCTTTAAAATGCAAGATCACAATGAGAAACAACTTGGAAGAATTAGTATGTATGCGAAGTGTATCGGGGGATGCATGCAGGGCGCGCGATAGTGCGGGTTCGAATCCCAGGTTATGTCTTTAAAAAAGGATTTTTTTAAAGAATTTATAACATCCCTATGCTTTTTTTTGTCTAGGTCATCAAGGCAAAAAAGCATAGCGTAGGGCCCTGAGCTTCCAAGCTCTCTCGTTCCAACAGCAATGGAGCCACAATAGCGGGGAGGGGGGGGGGGGGGGGGAGGGGGGGGGGCAGCTGCTGTCCGCAGAAATTATTATACAAAGTCATGCATTGTAAAAGCAAATTTCGAACTGCGAGCTTTATTTCAGTGCTTCAATGGTTTCTCTTTCATTCCTTGAATTTCAACATATACTTTTGTGCACCAGCACATGTTCTCCAGGCGTCAGGGCCCCAGCCTCCCCACCAATCCGACTCGCCGCACACACCAACGCAACTGAACTAAAAGACTTTAAAGTTCTACATAATTCCTTGACAAGACGGAGGCGGACAGATAAGAAGACCGGACACGACGAGGCAAAACTGATAACTAAATAAAAAGACAAACATCATGGCAGCATATGAGCATGCACGCAAAACAATGCTGTGCACGTGACAATGATGTAAGCGCTCCATGGTGCAGAGAAGACTGCACGTGCAACCCAAAACAATGCAACAAAGTCGAGACTAAAACACTACAAAATAAAACTAAAGAACCACACTCGCAACAGAAAGAAGCCATGAAAAGTCTTGCACAGTAACTAACCCGTTGCGCAACATACACAGAAACACTGATACACAGGTTCCCGGAAAAGGCGACTACACTCCTATCTCTCGTATCCGGGCAGTCTGGGACCGGGCACTGGCCATAACTTGGAAGTGCCCCTAGCTCTGAATCTCATACAATTTTGATGGGGAAGGGCCAGAGATCTGGCATGCGACGTCGCTGTTCGAACATAACTTGGCAAAGAGTAGAAATATTTCCACACCCAAGGGTGCCCCGTAGACCGAGGTGCCCGTAACGTTGAGGTCCGGCTAAGAGAAAATAATTGGTGTACTTCTCTATCCAAGATGTCAGCTAGCCTGAGAAGTAATGGTCTTTTGGCCCACATTCAGTACCTAAATTTGTGTATTTCCTAAGATTCCCCCGAATATTTTTACTTCGAAGTATCTACATTCACATCAGCAGAGGCAGCAGAGATTTCTTGTACTCACAAAAGTATTCTCCTTCTGAAGATGCTTCACATAGAATTGGTGATGTCATTTTTATGACATCACCATTGAACTGTGTTTTTCCATTTTCATGTCCAGGTGACCAGGTCACCCTCATCCACTCAATCAGTCTGATATAGCCTCATTGGGGCAAGCTAATAGTGTGTCTAACGCACGTGACTTCATAGGGCACAGTACACCCTGGAATGTAGTGTAATACATGAACAGTGCAGTACAGTTTAGCAGCAGCACCACAACATCAGTGCTTTTGGAATGTTGCAGCATGCATAACAAAAGAAAGGCCAGCACCCATGCACTTAGCTTTATTAGACCAGCATGCACACACCCATGTGCATGGACCGTGGCATTGGTGGGCCCTTTGTATAGAGCTTGTGCAATGTGACATGACAGCAGTATTACACCAACCCATGTGCACATGCACAGGCATACACACACACATACACGTGCACACACACATACACGCGCGCACGCACGCACACACACACACACACACACACATACACACACACACACACACACACACAAATCTAACATCACCTGGTAAATCGCCTACACCCAGTTCTATGACTACAGTATGACCCAGTATCACAGTGCTACACCACGTACAGTCGTCCCTCTCCAAACGGATTTTTTCAGTTCATTTTCTACGTTTTAATCCAGCACTTGAATTCCAGCTCCAACACCAATTTTCTAGAACAAATTGCTCAAACTGTACATAATTCGATTTTATATTCCAGCAGTCCTACATCGCATACCGCACAGCTATGCCAGTTTGGTCAGTATATGACATGCATGAACTAACTAACTACTTCCAGTACTTGTAGCAGGAAGCATCCTACGCATGTAACACACAGTTGAGAATAGTTATCATACCTATGGAGTATGGGCTGTACAGGCATGTATTCCCACAAAGTACTTGTACTTGTACTGACAGAAACACAGGCTGGGTTTTGACGTATGACACAGATACACATGTTAGATAGGTGGATCGCGTTGGCTGGCGGGATTTGATAATCCAGCGCCCTTGTTTATCCAGCAGAAAATGCCATTTCACAACGTTACGTACGGGATTAGAGAGGAAGGGCTGTAATAACACTCAACAGTTACATGCAGTACAACATTAATGCATTACTGCCCTAGACTAGACTAGACTAGAGCATGTAGTACACATACAGTCATGTACTACTAGTACTAGTCACCCACTGATGCAGTCCACTGACCCCAATGCATGTGCAACTGTACCCTTGCAGACCAGCATAGTACTAGTGCACTAACCCTTAATGTACCCCTTGAACCTGAATTAGCTGTTGGTCCCATCAATTTTGGACAAGATGGCCCTACACGTGGACAATCACCCTTTAGAAAGAGGATTGATGGGCAATTACTGTCCTACTTCAACTGCACAGCACTGCACTTCACTTTGTAGAGCACTAGTCAAGCGCTGTGGCTGCACAGTGCATAAAAGTAACTTAGGTACTGTACTCGTAGTATACTCTGAGACTAGTTCTTTCAGTGCTATACATCCTTCCTACATGGCAGTGGTTGAAGATGGTGCATTCCAAGAATTTGTTACTAGGATCATGCACCTGAGAATGTGATTGGATGAACTCCGTTAGTTTCTACACCATTGGGCATTGGACATACACAAAACAAAACAAAATACCAAACCGTCATGTGCTCCAGTCGGTCCCTATTCCTGCTGGACACAAACAATAACATTGTTACTATGACCTGCAGTGCAGCAAAACTGCTCGTTGACTACACCCTCATGAACTCATCTACAGTAGCTACTATTTTAGTAAAGTACTTGCATCCATTATCACACACCCGTGAACAAGAGCGAAGATGCACGCATACTGCATAGTACAGGCTGATGATACACCCATACATGAGAGCAGTTCTATGCCTATGCCGAGTATGCGGCTATGGAACCGTTTGCACTTCGCAGTGGTTCCGCCTTGAATGACCTGTGCATACCACCTGCCCCAGTTTGCTCTCGCACGTAGAGCACCTCCAACCTTTCCACCCTTGCTCTCAACCAAGGCAAGTGCTGTACTAAGTCTTGTAGGTCTACTACGAAGCTTTCACTTTCAGAAGGCTAGATAAATGTGCAGCACACTGTAGTAAGCGACGGCAAAAACACGCGCGCCAACGTGCACACCCATGCCATGAAACATTTGCCTACATTGATTATGGGTAGCGGTATCCTACGACAACAGAGCACTGAACTGGAGTGGACGACTAGTTAGTTCACTGCTTGTTCCGCTACGTACACGGATCCTCTATGCCACTTCAATAGAATGATCTTGTTTTGCCCAAAACAACAATCATTATTGATATGATAACTCTTCCAACACTCATCGTGAGCCCAATCCAGGGCAGTTGATGGTTGCCAAACCTGATCGAAGACAGGAAAACAAAAACCCAACGTTTCCTTGCTGGGGCACTCCCCCAGTCGTCCAACCAAATGTAACTTAGCAGTGCCTTCTCCCACATTTTAAAATCCTCGTCATCCAACAAACAAATTCTGACCAGTCACAATAACAGAGCCTTTGGCCAACTACGTTCTTGACTTCAACAGTTGAAGCGGGAAAAAAGCCCACTGGCACTTCTAGTTTGAACTTCCTCCTCCTGTCTTTGACGATCTCGACCCACGCCGAAGCTAATGAAAGCAATAACGAAATTAATAATAATCAACCGTCGACACGTTGCGTACACAACCGCCAAGCAAACAACTACATGACCAGTGTAACGACACAGTCGACACAGTCGTTACATGACTGTTACGTTCTAGTATAGTAACGCATTTTCAGGCGGGGAGTCTTCACCACACAATACAAAATCACTCACAACCAAGTGACACATGGAGCATAGCAGGGCCACTTCTCGTCACAGCGGAAAGCGAGAAAACAAACAAGCGGCAGCGACCACGCGAGGAGTATCCACGTGTAGCAGGCAACACGTGTTTCACTTACTATGGCCAGGATGCGAGCCACCAGCTGGATTCCTTCGAACTTCTTGTCCACCATGATTGCGGGAGGAAGAGCGAGCGTTCACCAAAGTAAAAGTCAAGCCCGATAAGATCGGAAGATAGTTGTTAGAGAATGGGAAGAGGAGGACGGAACACTATGCACTTTCAACTGCAAGTACGAAGCAAGTAAACTCTTTCTACCAAGTACAGCGGCTCGAGTGCAGAACTGGCCCACTTCTCCTTCTATTTCTGAGCATACTGCAGCATCTACTTCGCCGCCTTTTTACCATGTTTACTACGTATACTACTAGCCACAGCACTTGCACGATTTCTAGCCGTAGCGCCGCCACACGTCCCCTACTACGGGCCCTAGGCTATATCGATATTCCAGCCGGCCCTCGACTCGAGATGTTCGAACTCGCGCTATTTCGACCATACCGCGTAGACCATGTAGACCTACCGGCGGTCCCCAGATTATACAATATTATTGTACGTACTGTAGATCTACCACACGTTTTACATTGTTTTACTCGAGATGCTGGTGGAAGGTACAGTGGTCCCTCTATAATCCGGCACCATTTGTGCCACGAAAATCTGCTGGATTAGGGAGGGTGCTGGATTAACAAATCTGATCTACTGCTGCAATGTGCATGAAGAGGACATTTGGCTACTGAAAATTGTGCCGGTTTATCGAGGGTGCTGGATTATAAAGTGCCGGATTAGAGAGGGACGACTGTATTACTATTAGTACTATTACTATATAGGCTGTGCTGAGGAGCTCTAACACTTAGTAACAGTAACACTAACAGAGTGAAACAGTTGCTGTCCACAGATAGTACTATGGCCCGATAATGATCTCGTAATGACGTAAGTCATAACATAATCCAACTGCACTCAGCTATGCAGACTCACTTGAGAACAATGAGAAGTAATATAAAATAATGATTAGTTGAGTAAAAAGGGCTACACCGCAGTACACCATGGTGCATGTGCTGTGCCTGGCCTGGCTAGCCCAGACATGATCTACCATGATCTACAGCCATCCTACAATAATATTGATACAGCCTATTGTAGCCTATTGTTGCCCAGAACTCAGAAGTGCCCCCCCCCCCCCCCTCCTAGCCCTACATGCACTTACATGTAGATCTACGTCACCATGGTCACCGGTGAACATGGTGAATAGGGCTAGTATAGGGGGCATTACTAGTACATGGCATAACGCATAATAACCCCCCTCCCCATGCCCAGTGCAGGGTGCATCGTGTGAACGGAGGGCAGGTTGAGAGATGATGCTGCGGACAAACGCTGCTCGAGGCCAACCCTTGGTCAGAAGTAGGGGAGGCTTCGAAGTAACAGTTTGATCATTCTTGAAGGAAGAAGTACATACGGCCCTTACGGGTGCGGTAGATCTACGGAGTGGGTTGAGTCCAGGGCAAAGTCGGGTCACGTGGATGTGATGTGGCATAGAGTGTGATGTGTTCTGGGATGGTTTCGTCGATTTTCGAAGGAGGCTATAGTAGGTCTACTAGTACTTAGTGAAGAGCTCAACAGACCTTGAAGCTAGGCGGTTTGTGCTAGACTGCAGTGCAGTGCAACACGAGACTAGCGCGCAGTAGCTGCGTTTTCTGAACATTCCTCGCGTGCAGTGAAACGAGGTCCGAGATCGAAGAAGGACAGTTTTGAGTGAAGAGCGAAGTTCAAGAATGAGGGCTGAAGGCCAGTGAAGTGCGCATAGCTGAAGGCCAGTGAACTTGAAGTGCCCATAGTGGGGTTCAACTTCAAGGACACCCTACCCCTTACAGCTGGTCTGTGCGCAGCGCGGTGGCGTAGCTGTTGAGAATGAGAGGGTTGAGGCCGGCCGCTTCGATTCGGCTGATTTGTAGTATCACTTCTTTACAATCATTGAGATCGAGCGCGAGGCGCAGGCTAGCTGTTTCGTTGTGTTGCGTGTGGAGGAGTGGACTGTACGCTCGGTTCAAAGTTCAAACCCACTACACTGTAGATCTACTGTACTGTACCGTTATCAGTGGTTATCCCCCGAAACTAGCCTGGCCTGCTGGGTAACACGTAGATCTACGTTATGACTCAACTGCTGTTACCAACGCTTGCTGTTATACTACTACTAGTCTTGTACATGTACTAAGTCTTGTTCACCAGGCCGGGAGTCGTAGATCTATCGTTGTAAGGCTCCCTGTACAGCTGTTGCCTGTGTTGGACACCAGCACACGGACCTGACTCGGTCGACGCCTCGACGTACGTGAGCTGAGGGTCGTCCTTCATTACACAGCGCTAGCGCGCGGATCAGTGTATCATGTATGCTACCAATTTTAAAATAGCATACTGGCATTACTGCATTACTGCATTACTGCATTACTGCACTGGTACTGGTAGATCTAGTACTGGGCCACGGGTGGTATAAAAATGCCGAGCCCTCTACTACTAGTAGGCTCTAGCTCTGATCAATGCCATTCCACCTGCACAGGCCGTTTCTCAAGTAGTACTAGATCTCTTCAAGCGCGAGAGTCATCCACACACATGTACATTCACAGACACTTCTACTTGAGTCTACGCATTATGTGTGATGCTTAGCTTATCTAGGGCCAGTCCTGGCAGATACAGAGGCAAAGCAACGCTCTGCCCTTGCTTGGACATAGTCTGTCATAGAGCGCTATTAATTTTGCAGCCAGGACCCTAGGCTATGGCCACCAGCATTCCCTTCCCATGCAGTGCATACTCTAGTGGCGTTTAGGTGTAGTCTACTGTAGTTGCCTCGTTGCTCCAGTTTCACCACCACAGTTGCGGCTGCAGCCACCTCTAATCATGCAGCGTTCTGTTTTCGAGGTTCGTGGTTTCTCGTAAAACTACCAGTAAAAACAATCAAAACTTTCCCGGACTACCGGTATGCATGTACATGTACTGTATGACTATGAGGCATATGCCTACTGATCGACTACTGCCTGTACTCTCTGCATATTTTGTAGGACAAGGAGGAGTGCATGCAGGAGTATGCATGGTATGCAGGTCATTGGGGGGGGGGGGGGGGGGGGCTTGCCTGGGGCACAGTCAGTGTTACTGTTTGTGGGGTATGTGACCCAGTGACATACATGTACAAAAATGTGTACAATGTGTGCAATGTGTACATCACTACATACAATCATGTACATGTACAATTATAACCTATAAACACTGGTTAAAAACCAGTATTAGCTGAACCTTGCTGTCAGTGTCAATCTAACAATTGCATGTACAATCATGTACAATACATGTATGATGTGTGTGAAGAAAGAATCAGGATAATTCTGGTCTGGACGTCTTACCGCTGTGCACACCTCCACGGCCATGATCGCCTCTCATTTGCTGAGGGAAAACATGGATGCCAGTGATGGAGACATTGACATACATGTACCGGTACATGTACTGGGTACATGTTCACATACATGTACATGCAGCGTCATTCTGGCCTTCTCTTGTGTCTGCAGTTTTCTATTCTCTGTGGTCACTTCCGAGTCTTGACCGACACTACACAATGTATCATGTAGATCTACAAGTCGATGCTGATTGGCCGTCGGATGGCAACAAGCAGGTGATATGTTTGAATGCACCTTTTGATTTTTTGCTATAGCCTTGTAGTTGTAGGCAGCTGCTTTGCGCTGTAGACCAACCACCCATTGGATACTGCATGCCCTCCCGGATCCCGTCATCCTACTTCGCCCAGATAAGACGTATTGTGATAAGTTTCAGCTCCGTGCGCTCTCGGGCAAGCCCTCGAGCGCATGGCTGAAGTTTCGTTCTGAATCCACCACGTCCCCGACCGCCACCCCTATAGGTGTCTTGCTTTTAATTATTTAAGTGTTGTACCTTCATGCCCGCGTGCTCAGTTTCAGCTCCGCACGCTCTAGCTCGGGACATGGTGATTGGCGTTTGCTTGTTGATGTATCCGGTATGTTTGAATCTGTACATCTATTCTACGCCTCGCGGAAAAATTTGACTGCCTATCGCAGCAGGCAAAACGAAACCCGGGTGCGTAACTCACCCATCACGGCAGAATATACCAAATCTTTGTTATTGTCTGAAACCATTGCAGCTAGCGACTTCAGACATTTTAATTTCAAGTACATTGGTTTCCTTGCCCGCCACACCCGAGGTCGAAAACACCAGTGGCAGTGGGGTGAATGATGCTCTCTCCACCTGGTTGACTCTGGCACCATACGCCGCCTTCTTCATTCTCTCGTGTGTTCTCAGGTGGCTAAGGATTTCCGGACGAGACAGCAAGGTCGGCCCAAGATCAGTGACCCTTTAATCAAAAAAGGCGTCCTGCTGCCGCGACCAGAAACCCTACTGGGCCCTAGCCCGTATGTCCAGGCGTGCTTCTGGCTGACGCTTAGCCGAGGCGGCAGAGATGTCCTCACCGTGTATGGGGAGCAAACCTGGCTCAATCTCCACATCGGGCAGTACCTCCTGCAGTACGCCGGCCAGGAGGTCCCGAAGCTCGTTGTGGCGACCTATTACTAGTTACTACTAACGTTAGTATCCCTCGACAAAAGAAGCAAATTACTTGCCTCAAAGTGCCGCTACGAAAATAGATACCGGTGCGAGTCGTACCTTCGCAATTATTTACTTCGAACATCCAACAAGCATCCCGTGATCAAGTGGCAGGCAACAAGCTGCTACTACCGTAGTATGCTTATCACTTGAAAAGTTGAAGTATCAATCACGCTACTTGTAGGATGTAGTGCATGCACTGCTGTGTTTCACACCTTTTACCGTAAATTGCGTAATACGTAATACGATGTGTGCCTATAAACCAGCATCCAGACTGTTGCCTGATGATCGTCTCATGCGTGAAACTCGGAGTTGCTACGTATTCATCCTTTCTACTTCTTGTTTATCATTAGACAATCATGATTGTGACATCCGATACATTATCAGGTTAACGAGCAGAGTGAACATGGTGAATGTGGGAAGCCACACAACCACCATGGAGAGAACAAATAATTATTTAATGTTGATGGTCTTTGACTGTCTGTACAGTACTACCGCCGTACCGGTACCTCAAAGTCAGTGAAGGTAAGATCAAGGGCCAAGGCACGAACATGACTCATGTGCAGAGTATCCATGATTACTATTTAAAATCAAAGCTGCTGCTGCTGCTCGACTAGAGCTCCATGAAAATGGAAGCATGCACGCCATGTCAGTAGTGGCACGAGTACATACATGTACATGATTGTAAGCATGATCACGGTACTCCTTGTATTGATAATTATACAAGTACAAGTAGCAATAGTTATGTGTAATGCATGCCACACAGTGCACAGTGCACAGTGGTAACATAGATTATTATTACGAAGTACTACACATGTGACATGTTTTCCCGATGATCTAAACTCCCTAAAGCAGAAATAGCCATCAATTGTTGTACCAACTAAAGCTGCACGAGAAAAGACTGGCATGCTAGAGAGAGAAAGAGTGAGGTGCCATGCAGACAGCCCTAGTCAATGTTCCACTACGCGGCAGATGACGCAGCAAATAACTGCACAGTGCACGAGGCATAGTTATACAGTACATGTATGTCGTTTCAGATAAAAAATAATTAGAACAGTTTGTGTGCTTGCGGTGGATCACAGTGCTGCCGGGTGCCGGAGAACAGAGTCATGGCCAAAGAACAGCCGGAGTGGAGGGGGGGGGGGGGGGGCAGGATCGTAGGCGATAACTATGGGGCCGGGCCATCATCAAAATCCCCGCCGCCTAAGCCGTTCATATTCCCCAATGCACCATGGTCTATGTGTAGTTGAGTGACTGGGTACACACTAGTAGGTGAAACCCTACCATGTTCATTCCCCGGCGCCCTGCATTACTATATACCATGTTCATTCCCCGGCGCCCTGCATTACTATATAGAGCTATAGAGCAGAAGAATAATTAAATTTTCTCTGATTAAAAGGATGTAGATTTCATGGGTGTCTCATTTCCAGTTCTTTTTCGTCACAAGTCAAAATGAGTACCGGCATCGCTAGTCGATCATGGTCGTCTCCAGTGTGATCGAGTACTTCTCCTCTTCGTTCATCCAGCACAGGAGTTCCGTTCTGTCTGGCATTGTAGCACACTGCGTAATGCGGAGGTCACCGGACTTGGTCACGGTGTACGCAGAGCTCATCACCGACGCGGCAGGACTCGCTTCATCCTGTGTCGGTGTTGACTCCGTACTGTTGGGTGTCATTGGCGGTGGTGGTGGCAAGGCCTCTGCCCATTTCGCCTTGGATGCTTTGTCGGCAGTCTTCTTTGCAGGACATGAGATGGTGTGGCGGTAGCTTTCCTCTTGAGGCTCACAATGGATTACGAGTCTCAGCTGTCTCGCGGAAAGGCTTGCATCATCTGTATCAGGAAATAAGATGGCTCAAATCAGTTTGGAGGTCGATTTAAAAATCTACTTTGACAGCACATGTACGAGGGGAGATGAATAATTGGATCTGGTGGGTAGGTCCATCATGTTGCATGTTGGTGTGACTTGCAGCAGTAACCCTGCCCGCTCAGTACCGGCGCATGTGCCACCTTTCTGCTAAAATAAACCGCCAGCCCAACTTGATTTTAGAGTGTGAGGACCTACACAATATTGGAACCAAAATATTAGAGTTGTCACTGTAATGATATGACTGACAGCACATGCATTTGCCATGACTTGTTTACCTTGATATTGCTCCCTCAATCATGCAGTCTAGTATGATGTCACATGATCCACTTAGATACAACTTACACAGCAATGTTCCCCTCCCTGCTAAATGCTAGTACATATACACTGTGCATGTAGAATATCTAGTGTACTTGTTCCTACTCCCGGGGATTCATATCAAACACCTGGAAACACAGAATCTTGCTAGACCTAGATCAGATATAGGTCTAGCAAGATTCTGTGGGCTCCATTGTACGAATACGGCCATATGACAAACTACTGTGTGGAAGCCATGTCTTCTCTGCAACCCTCTGGTTTTGAGATCGGATCGAAGTTGGAACGTACTGCTCGCACAACATACAAACTCGGATTTCTGAATAGCCAGTGGTATCCAGTACTATATATTTTTTTCCAAGGCACGCACTGGTTGAACTCTACAACTGTGTGTTCAAGCGAGGGCTGGAGACCTGCGATGGCCACCTGACTTCAAAAGTAGCTGGTCTCATTTTGTAGTGAAAGCTTACTTCAGTAATGAAGGGTTTCCTCGAAATTTCTACCTACACTACTTACAAGAATGGACTTGCATGGAGAGCCAAGGATAAATTTATAGTAAAGAAAAAGGACCAAGAAACTACAAGCGTAACTTGTAGTTTCTCGGTCCTTTTTTCTTTACTATAAATTTACACTACTTACGCATAACATAGAACGAGGTGACGGCGGTGCTGGACGGTGGTGCCTGTGTCTGACAAGTAGTGGTGGTGGCCGCATCCAGTTGACATGTGTACGTTCCTGCCATGATGGGCGTGCTGAGGTGAATGGCCGAGCGGCACCGCGATCGGGACGTGCGCACGCTGCTGCTCTCGCTCTCCATCTCACGGTTGTTGTACTTCCAGACGCGCCGCTTGCGTGCCTCGCTGCTGCTGCTGCTGCTGTTGCTGTCGTCAGCCGGGCTGCAGCCTGTGTTGGCGCAGTGCAGCTTAAGAGAAGCATTACAAGCTTCCTGAATCATTGGCACGAAAATCTCCATTGAGCCTTCCACCATTTTGTGATACTCTGCCAAAAACCAGGCAAGCCAATCAACATCAAAGTTTGTTTTAAAATAATGATTACTTCGAAGTACATAATTACATGTACATGTTTTCTGGATGTGTGAACCGGCTTTGATTTGACTTTCGGCACGACAATTTAATGACTCCAATGTCTTGCATGTGAAAACGACACGTACGGTAAGTGCAACTCTTTGATCCGCACTGAAGGTTGCAAACATGCCATAAGCAGCAGTTTTTTCACAGCAGTGTTTCAACACTGTCCTGTCACTAAGGCTTTGCTTCACATTACTTCAGCTGGTCATACATATAGTTTAGAATCAATTGAATCAGTTAAAATTAGGGCTGAAACGATCGCGGATTTTCACCTATCGATTACTCTTTAGGTTACCGATCGATTAATCGATTATAATCGTTAGCAAAAAGTGTCAACATTTTGTGCAAAATTACTCTGTTTCCACAAGCTATGTCTTCGTAGTACCCAAATATCTGCATTTCTGAAAGGGTACCTTCAAAGCACAGCAGTTTTGAAGTCAATTGAACCTCAGAACATGAACCATACCCCTGGCAACTGCATATTCACAGCAGAAACTGATGCAAATTTCACAAAAAGCGGGGATTTCAGTACTTTTTGGACTCAAAGCCCCTAACGAGTAATCTATAACATAACGATTAGTTGATTGTTAAGGAATTATCGATCGCTTACCGAGTAATTGGTATAATCGTTTCAGCCCTAGTTAAAATAGTCTTGAAATCAGTCTCAGCACCATCAAGTCGAAGACACAATTATCATTCCACGTACTTTTAATATCCAGTCTGGCAATGTCGGAGAGAACATTTGTGTTGTCCTTTCTGACCTCGCAGCGGTACTGGCCGACATTGGCCGACTGAGCGTTGAGTATGACCAGCGAGTTAGCGTTGGTGATGATGATGTTGGAGCCGGCGTTCACCCTGGTCATGCTGTCCGGCCGACACGGCTTGGAGCCGACGTCGCGGCAGTACAGCCAGTGCAAGATTATACTATCGGTGCCGGTGCGCTTCTTCAGGCGACACTCAAACATGGCCGGACTGCCGGGAGCGACGAGAAGGTCCTTCGGATGGCTGATGATCTGCGCCTTAGCTGGAGTGATGTATCAAACACACAGGATACAAATGTACATAACGTTATTACAAGTCATGTCATTTTCTATCAGAACGCACATGTGCACACATGTACACAAAACTAAAATGTGAACAGTATCCACTGATGAGAACTGGCACATGAGTGACTGGCTTGAAGTGTGCACATGCTCACAAACGCATGTTTTCGACGTACTTGTTACCCATAAGTATCCGTCTTGCTCTAAAGCATGACCTTGCGTAACGCATCACCCCAAGGCTACATCATGACAGACATGCGTGTACTGCGGTCTGCCGTGATCCAGTACGGCCTGAACATCAACAGCAGACGATGGGGGAGCGGATTGATTAATAACAACATTGCTAACTAGTGAATATCAGCTAGCTCATGGTGAATATCCTATACACTTAGTATTGGCATGGGTCTAAACCTCGGCGGACTTAGCTAACTTACAGACCACAGCTAGTTCGATAGTCTCCGTGGCTTGAGATATGTTGTTCTTGGCCACGACTGTGTACGGACCCTTATCTTTCAGAACAGCTGGTGAAATCGTCAATGTTGCTATATTCTCGCTCGGCTTGTGGGTGCGAGTAAAGCGCCTCTTGTTGGCTGGTAAAAAGACACAGGAATTGACAGGGAACACGTACATACAACAATGTATGATGCTAAGGTCTGGGGCAAAATTACCCCCCCCCCCCCCCCGTCCCACACCCACCTGGAACAAACATAGAGTACATTTAATGTTTGTTGTCTAATGCTAGTCAACAAAGCACATGATCAGGGTCCATCCGTACACCACTGGTGGCCGCTGAATGTAGGAACAGGGGTCATCATTTGGAACGGGAAGTTTCCAAAGACAGAAACGCTTTTTTCTTTGCGATACATGAAGCCCAAGAGTGCAGGTAGCAAAATCGTCATCATGATCACGGTTGCGTGCTTATCATGTAAAGAAGAACCTCCCCAGTGTTTCTAGGATTTGCACAGAGAAAACTGTGGAGCTTACACAGGGTGTGTAGATCGTCCAGTACACCTCTCCGCCAAATGACAGAGCTGGCATGTCGGACGTGCAGGGTGATGTTGATCTCTTCGTTTACGTTGACAAAAAATATCGACTCTTTGTTTTCGTTTTTGATGGTAACAACTGCACATGATGAACGAAAGAAGAAACACACAGAACAAGTACATACCCAGATATCCGATTACATGGAGAAAGGATATGTTGCTGGAGTTGTAGATTGTGTATTAATGCACACAATGCAGTGAGCTGTTGAAAGGTAATTTTTCTCTGATAGTAAGCAGTCACAAGAACACATGCTTGGACAAGAAAACATGCTTGGACAAGAACACATGCTTGGACAAGAACACAGTGTATACCCAAGTAGCATGCAGCTAGGTCGAACGGCCGGACTAAGACTGACCTGGACCGGCCGGACTAAGACTGACCTGGACCGGCCGGACTAAGACTGACCTGGACCGGCCGGACTAAGACTGACTTGGACCGGCCGGACTAAGACTGACCTGGACCAGCCGGACTAAGACTGACCTGGACCGGCCGGACTAAGACTGACCTGGACCGGCCGGACTAAGACTGACCTGGACCGGCCGGACTAAGACTGACCTGGACCGGCCGGACTAAGACTGACCTGGACCGGCCGGACTAAGACTGACCTGGACCGGCCGGACTAAGACTGACCTGGACCGGCCGGACTAAGACTGACCTGGACCGGCCGGACTAAGACTGACCTGGACCGCAGATATCTGTGTTTCCATGTTCAACGTCCTGAAAGTACCTAGACACAAAAGCAAACAAATAGAGAACACAACACGATGGTGAACATCAGCAAGGCTTACTACTCACACAAACACACACACACACACACACACACACACACACACACACACACACACACGCACACATACATGGTAAAAAAGAATGAAGGGGATGTATTATAATGCGTATACTATGTCTGCACGGCTCGTAGGGACCAGCTTCAAGGAATGCCAGTATCACTGCTTCACGGTGCACATTAATGGTTTGGGCAGGATGGCTTGTTAGAACCACACTTGTACATCCGTAACGTCTCTTCACAGTTTTCATAGTTCAGTTGACCCGATTGTCTTTTGATTGAAGCGGCATGATGAAGTCATACAGGAAAAGGCTGTGAAAACCAGTACCGTACTTTCCAGGATCTGCATTCATCTCTGCATTCATCTCTGCATTGCATGCACACAGAACATGTAACTGGGTACAAGGTTGGTGTGGTTTCTAAGTACATGTGTCAATAGTAAAAAAGAACAAAAAAAACAAAAAACAAAAATGTACAACACTAATGTACTTCATGGACAGCACACTGCATACTGATGGTCAGCATAAACTGCACATGGACTAGTCTAACTGACCCGATCGACCCGTTAGACTTGCGAGCATTGCAGGTTAGCCTTGGAATGCATGTACCGCCGCTGTCATGAAAAGGGTCAGGACACCAACCGCAGTACGGGTCTCTGGTCTGCACACAGGAGCTATACAACATATCCAGATTATACACACACGCATGCAACACATACACATACACACGCACACACACACACACGCACACACACACACACACACACACACACACACACACACACACACACACACACACACACACACACACACATAACCAACAAGTCTCATCTTCCCTGAGTGCTGCACTGCACACCGTCTCACTGATTCGGGCACTGCATATGATTCTTTTTGGTGGATGCGATACAGCTTTTGCAACGTGTTTGAAGATGCAGCCTGGACCTTTGCGCTCCACCGTCATGGAAAGCTGAGGAAGACCACATGCCCTTGTGATGCCTGATACGCCACGGTCAGAAGACTGGGTTTTTTCAACTTTTTTTCGACAAACAGCAGTCGCTAGTGCTGTTTTCGACATACAGCAGTCGCTAGTGTTTCTGCATGTACGCAAGCGGTCATTTTGACACTTGAGAACTGTGCGTGTCACAATGCACCGGACATAGCAGGCTCACTCGCAGCGCCACTTCTTTGACTTCTATGATTCTGAAGAGAAGGACAATTTATATTATGGCGCTAACGTGTACGAGCAACGTATTTTCCCGAGTGCAAGCCGCACTTTAAACACCAGTAATTCACCAAAAAAAGTCGGCGCTGCTTATACTGCGATGGTCAAATGAACAGTGATATACAGGGTAGCTGTCTGTATTTTGTGACAAGACATCTGGGTGCGGCTTATACTCCAGTGCGGCTTATATTCCGAAAAATACGGTAACTGAATCCAGAGCTAGGCGGTACAAGAACATGAGAGAGGTAAGGTTGGAGCTGGGAAACTGGCGCCATGCCCCTAGACGAAGGTGTAGTAGCATGGTTGCGGGTGAAGTACTCATGTCCTGCACTAATGATCACTTACAAACACGAGGTCGCGTGCCAATAGCAGCCTACGATGGGCAAACGGACAAAGTCGTCGTTGGTCATCGCAATCAGGGTCAACTGCACATCGACCGATTGGCGGCATGACGGATAGAAAGCAGCACAGTGCAAGTACACACACGCACACACACACACACACACACACACACACGAACACACCTGGTTTAAGATCTTGTCGTTGCGCCTCACCCATAATTGTGACACGCCCTCTTTCTTGTCATTGCTTGGCTAACAAACTGTTCAGGGACTTACTGCTATTTGCCCATTTCCCATCCAGGCCAGCACATGTTTCCACATTTGGTCAACACGTTGTAAGACTCCGACTGAAGGTGGCATGGAATAAAGTATCGGAACTTTGCAAGCAAAGCTTCCCAAACTGGTTTTAACTTTTGATTTCCAACACAAATTTAAAATTGTGTGGATGTGACTGGTGGTACCCTTGCTGTGCAGACTTTAAAAATAACTTATTCATCATATGGCTGCACCGTAATAGGACTGTGTAGGTGGTCACCTAGTATAACAACTAATATAAGTAACGCAAGCTCAGGCACTGCATCACGACAATTTGTGTTCAAGTGTAAAGTTATCAGTAACGGGTAAGCCGCTGAAGAAAGGGAGAAAATGAGCCAGTCATGGCTGTTCAGTGTTCACCATGCAATCCATCCAGGACTCCAACATCCGCAGTGCAACGTACTCGATGTCACTCTTACCTTTGCTGAAGTCAAAAGCTTGTTAACGCTGGAATTGGCCTGCACAGTACAGAAGAGTAGCACACAGTGGCTGGAATCAGCACATTCTAATGTTAACCGGTCTACCGTCACTCGCGCTGCGCAATGTTGCAGAGCAAATCTCCAAATCTTACCATGAGATAAACCATGCACGATGGAGTGAAATACGATGGAGTGGAATACAAGGTGCAGAACTGCCCTACAGTACTGTGGGTGACCGAAGAACTGGGACGGAGGTCAGCCTTCTAGCCTAGACCGTTCTTATTTCCATGTACTAAAGTCAATCCGCAGCTGAGTCACTGTGTATACATTGGTATGCTGTGCTTGATGAAATTCTAGCCTGTTTGTTCTTCGGTGGTCCGTTCTTCGGCGCCCGACAGTACTGTAGTAGTTGATACTATACGTGTGTGTGTGTGTGTGTGTGTGTGTGTGTGTGTGTGTGTGTGTGTGTGTGTGTGTGTGTGTGTGTGTGTGTGTGTGTGTGTGTGTGTGTGTGTTGTAGTGTGCAGAGATTGAGAGATTGAGTACGCTACTCAGTGTATGTGTCCAGTTAGATGGGTTGTAGTGAGGAGTGCTGTGTGATAAGAATGGATACACCTACCGAGAGCAGAGTTGCTGAACATTCTATTCCCAGCAGCAGGCCTCTCTGAATACTAAAATAGGTCACAAGTGCATATGCATGGTTACCAGGCAGTGTTTGTTCTCTGCTTAGTACAACTGTACTCATTATCATATAACGTTACTAACTGTTACTCACATGCACACACAAAGGTGCCAAAGCGCATGTACTCGTGCTAATACGTGTACACGTGTGTCCACACACATGCATGAATGCGCGAGCGCACATACACATACACACACACACACACACACACACACACACACACACACACACACACACACACACACACACACACACACATACATACACATGCACGCACACACACAACTGCATGTGATCACAACAAGCATGCATGTTTGGTGTACATGTACACGTAGATGGTACATGTACATATAGCTTGAAGTTACGTACCACTTTGATTCGGTCAATGACCAATGTGCGGTAACGTGGTGCCTGATACCGGTACTTAGCAGCCTTGTCAGTAGAGAGCACACGGGTGGCCTTAAGTACCTCTCCAGAATCTTATGGAGTTGAACAAGATCACAAACAGACAGACACACACACACACACACACACACACACAAGCACATCCACAACCACCACGCATGCACAGACAGACAGACAGACAGACAGACAGACAGACAGACAGACAGACAGACAGACAGACCGACAGACAGACAGACAGACAGACAGACAGACACATACACATACACACATACACACACACACACACACACACACACACACACACACACACACACACACTGATCACGATGCAAGTTATCATGCAAGAAGGCAAAATCGCGTGACTAGTTTTAAAACACTACAGTATAAGTAAAAGCGGCAGCACAGCAACACACAGCAACACACAGCAACACTATCAACAGTTGCATAATGCTGGGATGACGACTACACCATAGCGCAGTGGTTAGAGCATCGCTAGCTACAAGCGAGGGTCCCTGGTTCGAGTCCTGGTGGTGACAGTCAATTTTTACTTCAGACTTTTCCCGTTTGTGTCTTTCCCTCAAACTAGTGAAAATAATAATAATGATAATAATAACATGTAGGTCAGTGTAGAAGCATGTGTGTACCAAATTTGGAGTTGACATGCCAGAACTTGTCAAAGCTATCATGCAACAACATGTAGGACGAGGTGGCCGAGTGGTTAAGGCGATGGACTGCTAATCCATTGGGCTCTGCCCGCGTGGGTTCGAATCCCATCTTCGTCGTTTGCAACTTTTTTGATTCACTTTTGATCAGCTTGGCAACCCTTGGACGAACATGTCACACCACACGAAACAAAGACTGTGTGGGGACGTGTGGTGTGCAGCTTCTGGTTTTTTCTGCATGGGTGTCTGTCACGACGAAATTGCTGGATTACATCATAGTTGGTGCAGATACGTGGTGGGAATTGAAAGTGGTTTAGTGTGTAGCAGGAGCCTACTAAACCTGCACCACTCAAAAAGATGTAGTCCAGGATTCTTGCGAGAACAGCTGCACGTTCGAGCTTCACACCCCCTCCTGGTTTCATGCCGTCTTGATCAGACAGGGTGACAGCATACACAGGACATGTTTGAACATGCACCGAATACCACTGTCACTGAGTACCTACCTGTGCCCAAGAAGAGCACGTCATAGGGATCGGCGTCAAGAATGGCCAGACTGGTTAGGCTACAAACAAAGAAAAACAAAACCAAAGGAAAGGAAAGAAAGAATAATGGAAAACACTTCAAAACAGTTCCACACAGGATTGCTCTATCCGGCATGCGCTAGCATTTGTAGCAATAAAACGAAATAAAGAGCACTTGCATTAATCATTGAGGATACAAAAGTCAAAAAGATGGGAACTCTCCGGCATGAACTACATACAACCTGACTGACTGTCGTATCTCACCCAATTCTTTCCAGCATGATGATAGCATTGCCACTGAGCTGCTCCTTAAGATACAAGTATGTCTGGCTGTCGGGTGTCATCGATGTCTTGCGGCATTGCTAACAGTGAAAAGAATATAATCAGCGAAATCAGAGACACACCGACACAATAGTGATCATTGCTAATCGTGGCCTCTCATAAGATTTTTAGCACGATGCATATACCGGACCAGAGTGGCACGTGCATTTCCATGTAATGGGCACCTCTTCTATACATCTGGCGGCTGATAGGATAGCATAATGCTGCTATATTCACCCATCAAGAGAATGTGATTCAGAGTTATGAGCGGAGCCTGGTCCCTGACCGACCGAATAGACGAGGCATGAGTAGATAGACGCTAGGGAATTGGCTAGGACGGATTGATATGCCCACTCCAACAAAAACAACAAAAACATGGGATACCTTACAGTACACCATCAGTCCGTGACCAAAGCAAACTGTCTCTTTGCTGCACACTTCTATATCTTACGATTGAGATGAAGAAATTTGCAGCAAAGAGACCAGTAGCTTTGGTGATGGCGTAGGGTTTTCCTTGTTACGAAGTGGCTGCAGTGGAGCTTATGCACCCTAAGAAATGTTTCACATTATTAAAAAAAAACATTGCATCTACATGACTGTATGTTTTCAACAACTTCAAAGTGATATGGCATATCCAGAAAAGAATCCCTTCTTGGTGCACTCAGTTGGCAGTCATACCTCAATATCCGGCTCTCTTTCCCTCTCCAGCCAGATGTTGTTTCCTTGGTTGTAGATGAACGGTGATGTGTTGAACTTCTCCACGATATCTCTCAATGGATACGCGCAGACTGCGGATCCCTGGGGAGCTCCCCTAGATGCAAGCAACAACAACACAGAGATCATGGCAATGCAGTTACAAAGAGAGATGCTGCAAGCTATGATTGATCCTCTCCCACCTTTTGCTGCCCCCCCCCCCCCCCCCTCAGTCGGTTTTGTATTGTAGGAGGACGCGAGAACTAGATCAGGGCTGTGAGGTCCAGTACAATGTACCGCACCACAGCATGGTATGCATGGTATGCATGGATGGCTGCATGGTATGCATGGACATTCAGAGTCAGTCTCATGCTCACTCAAGTACAAAAGCTCTACTACTAGTACTACACAATGCTGGATGGTGCATGTAGTGGATTACCGGCCTGCACTGGCATGTGTTGCGCTCAACTGTGTGCAGTACAGCTTACACAGATAGTGCATGTATCAGTTCAACACCATGGTGTAGCAGCGTACAGTAACCCCATTGGGTGCCCAAGAACGGGCAACCGAAGAACATCCAGGCTGGAAAGCCACCAAAATTTAGGAATGTCACAGTCCAGGCTAGAAGAAAAGATAAAAAATAGAACCCCAGTGTGTTTTTCATCTACCAGTGCATGCACAGTGCACCTGTATGCACAGTGTACCTACCACTGCATGTACAGTGCAGCTACCACTGCATGCACAGTGCAGCTACCACTGCATGTACAGTGCAGCTACCACTGCATGTACAGTGCAGCTACCACTGCATGCACAGTCAGTGTACCTACCACTGCATGCACAGTGCAGCACCTGTACTGTCATGTGGATACAAGTATAGTAGGTCAATGGGCAGGGGAGGGGAGGAGGAGGAGGAGGAGGAGGAAGAGGAGGAGGAGGAGGAAGAGGAGGAGGAGAAGGAGGAGGAGGAAGAGGAGAAGAAGGAGGAGGAAGAGGAAGAGGAGGGGGAGGATGATGAGAAGGAAGAGGAGGATGAGGAGGAGCAGGAGTAGGAGGAGCAGGAGAAGGAAGAGGAGGAGCAGGAGGAGGAGGAGAGGGAAGGGGAAGAGGAGGACGAAGAGGAGGAGAAGGAGAGATTATAGTGGGGAAGGAGGGTCAATGGTATCTTGCAGTATGCTTGTGAAGTAGGCAAACCATTAAAACAATTATGCAGCATCAGGCAGTAGGTACGTGCTTCATCACATTTCAAGTGTTTGTGTGTTGGTATCTTACGGTGGAAGGTGGAATGTTGCATACAGTAGCATCTCACGTTCGTCAGGATTGTTGATACTACCCATGGCGAGAACAACCTTTGCTACAGATGGAGAAGAAAGAAGTGAAGAGAAGAGAAGAGAGAGAGAGAGAGAGAGAGAGAGAGAGAAGAGAAGAGAGAGAGAGAGAGAGAGAGAGAGAGAGAGAGAGAGAGAGAGACACACACACACACACACACACACACACACACACACACACACAAAATATTTATAGTATTTTTACAAGGAAAATCAAATTTCAGACACTCCACAGTGTGTCGCCATCGCATTGAATACCAAAGCAATCAAGGGAGAAGATAGCAAGGGGCCAGGTCACGATACACTACTACCTGAGCTGGACTACCGTCGCCCATCGGCTGCTTTGGAAACCATGCAAGCATGCACTTCAGAGTAGACAAGACCTGGTGTTGATCGACTGTCGCAACAGTATTCTGTACTTGATGGGGATCGGGTAAGAAAACTGAATCCTGGCCGCTTTATTTATTGCAAAGGAATGTACACGTACCCTGGTAACAGGAATTAGGATTCAAGTACTGGCTCTTTAGCCTGTACAGTGACTATAATGGCATAAGAGTTACAAGCAGGACCACTGTTCCGGTACGTTGACTATGCCATAGAGTTGTACAGTAGCACATGTCGTCCTTTGCAAGTTCACGTTGCATGTACTTGTGCATGTAAGATCTCATGATATTTTGCAGTTAGATATGACTGTTTTAGTAACTCACTGACAAGGTCAAACGTGAATGTGTCCGGGTCACCGTTTCTGCACACCATTCGCAGCTTGAGGAATGAACGGAACACTTCGCCAACTCCTGGATCTCTCTGCATTGGAGACCGATCACAGGGAAACAAGCATGCACATCCGCCGGCATACACACCAATACAAACATTGAGTCGATCAGTAATGCATCACTGTTATGTGGATTGCACACGGTGAAACATGCATCACGCAACATTATGTGACAACATGCACGCACATATAGTAATGCATGTGCAGTGTGTCATTTCAGCACGGTATGCACGTCTCAGCGGCTACACTATGCAATGCGCCATACTCTTACTGTAATGTTATCACACAACTATCACCACGGTCTATCAGACATGGAGCAAGAAAGTCAAAGGTAGGTAGGTAAGCAGGCAGGCAGGCAGGCAGGCAGGCAGGCAGGCAGGCAGGCAGGCAGGCAGGCAGGCAGGCAGGCAGGCAGGCAGGCAGGCAGGCAGGCAGGTAGGAATATTATTGGCCAAATGTCACCTAAAAGAGTCAGTCAACCTCACCTTGCAAAAGCGTACAATACGTGATACCACCTTGGACTCCTGCACCGCACATGAAGACCATCAAAACAGTAATACTCAAATCAAATCAACTTTATCGTCATGGAGATAGACAAGTTCCAGAACCTCCTCGGAAGTAAACATACATGTACATTGAAGCTCTCCAAACCACCAAAGATGATTACAACAGGTCTACAAAGGCCAGAAGCTGGCACTGCCAACATACATGACTAGGCGAGCATTCTTTATGGTTAGCGTCAAAGTTATCCGCCTTTTAATCAGCTTGGTAAATTTCTCGCAGTTAGAGCACTCTAATTATGCGTTCTTGCCCATTATAATGTAGACCTCATTGCAATCAGCTTATGCAGTCTAGCCAGACTGAGCTGTGCCGACGGGATCTAAGACGGTTGAAACGGCGAAATGTTCGGAGATTGAGTTCAGGATAGAGTAAGTCTACACAGCTTCCGATTCGTAAATTGTATTCACTGCTCAGTCGGGTCCTACATAGTATGAAGCAGCTGAATATCATACTGCACAAACACTTACTGATGTCACTTCATGTGCAACCTCACGCAGTACCATGTAGACAAAGTCACCATGTTCAAATGAGTCGATAAACTGTGGATCTACATAGAGAACAGGAGCAGAGCATAACACAGGTACACCAGCAAGCTATGTCACACATAGACAACGCGTGGAATCATGCTCAAGCGTGCACCCAGGGAAGGACTCGACAACCCATAAAACATATATGTGGGCACAGTATGTGACATTATTTTCTTGGAACACCATCAGGGTTTTAGGCTGGGTTGTAGCATACTGAAAACACTCAAACATGCATAGTGTTTCTTGTTGCTCAGTATCACGGTCAGAGGCCACCAGTCATCAGCTAGCTACGCAGCGGTACAGTGCACGACCACACTCACACGTTCATATACATTCAGAAGCACTCACGCGTACCGACATACACACATAGACACACACGCACACGCACACGCACACGCACACACACACACACACACACACACACACACTTGTACTTCTACTTGCTCATTGCCAAAACTGGTCACGTGGGTCTCCCAGGAGAGGAGAAAGAGACTCAAAAGGAATCTTGGAAAGCTGACTCAATTGGCTATAGAACCGCCCAACGGCTAACACCCCCTTAAATCCCCAAACTTGGTGTGGACTTGGAAATGATCCCGCTTATGGGCTCACCACACCACAGTAAGTGAGTGAAGATAAGGTGCAGAAAAAGGATCACACATACTCACACACACACACACACACACACACACACACACACACACACACACACACACACACACACACACACACACACACACACACACACACACACGCCCCCCCCCCCCCCCCAACACACATGGAGAGAAAGAGCTACCGAACACACAACTCACCATCTAGCCACAGTGTATCCTGTAGTGTAGATAGTGATGGGAAGGATCTCGTGATCATAGCCTCTTCCAGGACACTGAACGTTCCAGCAAACACGGTGTCGTTGCCTGAAACACCACAACATCACAGGCCATCACACATGCAGACACATGGCAACCCAAGCAGAGTAGTAGGCGAGCCCAAACACTACAAAACAGCAATGGTGGAGCAGTTTAGAAATGAGCAGCCAGACCAGTTCACAGCTCCAAGCCTAACAGCTCATAACAAAACACACCAGTCACTGCCTATGTAATGCAGTACTGTAGGCATGGTTTGGTTGAGACCAATTTTGGACATTTATGAAGAATCACTGTATTTCCCATAGCCATCCATCCCAGCCCGGCAGTGTACATATAGTTGAAGCAGATGCTTACCAATGAGCATGGCACTGCTGACACGCGGCAAGTACGGGCACACCTTCTCTGCTGCTGGCGTAGGGTAGTTGATGATGTCACCATTGCTAACCTGCATCATGCACAAACACAAACACATAATATACGAGAGAGCTTGGAACCTCAGGGCCCTACGCTATGCTTTGTTACTAAGCTCATCGTTGTGGGAACTGATGGAAATGTTTCCTGGGAAGGCGCTGACTCTGCCGAGCACGCGCGTTCTGGAGTCGACGGGATCACTCTGCCGACATTTCCTGTGACCGGCGCTGACTCGCCCGTTCACGCCTATTTTGGAGACGACGGGATCTCTCTTCCAAACTATGTTTTTGCTGACGCATCCTATCACCTATTCGGCAACTAACATCCATTCTAATTCCATTTCCTCCTAGTCTCCCTATTTCTTTCCAGAAAGTCTCTCTATACATCAGGGAGTCGTACTGTATTGGCAGCTACCCTAACGGGTCACGCCGCCCACCACCCAAGCATGGGTATGATGAGGGACAGTGGCACCAGAAACAAAAAAACAGCAAGCAGGAAGAGAAAGCAAGAGAAAGACGGCGATAGTAGTACATCTGGTGTGCGACGTATAGAAAAGAGAGATGACAAGAGATGCGCACAAAATAGGAAACAATAATTATTTTTGCAGTTCCGAAACAATCAACCAGGTGATGGAGAGTGGGCACCCGAAGTCCCACCTGGACTCCCCTGGAAGAACATCCCACGCAGGGATATCAGCGATAGGCCAAGCGTTGAAAAACAGCCATGAGGACACATCGTCTAGAAGTCCACCGCGCTCGAACTGAAATTGCAGGTTCAAACAATTTCCCACGCGGCGTCAGGCAGCGTAACTCTTCTCCCTGCATCACCATCCATCTCCAGTAACCGTCTCCACTCACAGCTCATGCCTCTGCCACCACTGTACTCCTCCGAGCTTCGCAGTTTGAAACCATTCGGGGGTCAGCTACACCACCGCGAATGGAGAGACGAGGACGACAACGGTCGTGACTGAAAAGACACTGCCTTGGCGACCGCGTCGCGGAATCCTCGCCCCAGCAAATTCAGAAATACGCCAGGGGCAACTCTGGTGGACCCAGAGCCACCCCCTTCGCAAGACTAGTAAGAGGAACGACTGAAAACTCAGATAAAGCGGAGCTACAAAAAGTGCAACCGTCCCCTTCAAGCACAGTTGCAACACACAGGGAGTCGTATACATGTACATAATATTGTGGCCAGCTGTTTGTAGCCAGCTGTGTTTGATGGTACGGTACGGTACGGGACAGATACGGGAGCCAGCAAATGGCCAGCTGTGCGAAACGGTACGGGACAGATACGGGATAACGCCAGGCGTGACACAAACAAACAAACAAACAAACAAACAAACACCAAATTAAAGCTGTGTGGACCCTGGCTAGCGCCAGACGTTACTGAAGTAACGTCTTCTGCATAGCTACGGGAATAAACTGCCCAATGCTGTAGACAGCAAGTTGTTTCGGCCATAAAGGCCTCATCAGTACAGCTACGAGCTAAATAGGCCGAGCTACCAGCCATGGTGCAAAGGAGGCACCACAGACATTAAGATAGCTCTTCGCTCTAGCGCCAGAGTGCTCTAGCTACAAAAGGTAGCGGTCATTGCGTGATGCAGCAGCACTAGAGCAGCCTATTGGGAGTGCTCAACAAGACGAACGCCGAGGGGCGTAATACCCAATGCTGTAGACAGCGAGCTGTTTCAGCCATAAATGCCTCATCAGTACAGCTCCGAGCTAAATAGGCCAAACTGTGCGGTCAAACCTTTTCAGACTTTTCAAGTTGTAGGGCGTATTACAGACAAGGGGCTTATTAACATTTTCAGCTCCATAATAACACCTAGCAAACACTTCCGTCTTGGAAGAAGATAACAGTTACCTCTTTGTGTTATCAAGACGCCATGTTTGCTGGCATTACCATTAGCAGCTATTAGAGGTTTTTTTCGCCTTCCAAGCCACATCCAACGTACGGCAAGCAATTTTGAGTTGACAGACTGACCACCCCACTAATGATAAGTAGATGATAAGTAGGTGTCAATTGGCCCCCCGCAGGAAATACTTTCGGGCAAGGCTGAAGAGAGTATCAGCCACCTCTCAACCCGGGGCTGACCACAGGGAGGCACCTATTTTCAATAAGTAACATCTTACTTTTCTCCAGTTGCAGTAGGGCTTGACTGCACCAGTACCACACTCCAGATAGCGGGTGTTGTTCACAGGCGAGAAGCCCAACACTTGGTTGTGATTGCGACACTCCTAACCGCATTACAGCAGAAAAAGAAACCCAGAAACACACATACACACACACACGCACACACACACACGCACACGCACACACACACACACACACACACACACACACACACACACACACACACATAATGACGCACCCACAGTGTTGAATGAGTATGATGACCGAACAAGTCATCAGATCATGTGTGATAATAGAAGTGCTACACCCTTGTCCACCTAGTCCGGTGTCTTTTGAACTAGTTTCGCACCAGCCTTAACCAGTGCAGAACAGACGGCAAATGAGTATGTTCTGTTTTTGAAAAATGTACCTCTCATAAATCCGGCTGGCAAATCTCTCCTCTTCGTGACAATGTCAGTAAAACCGTAAAAAAGAGAGTTGGGAAATGTTTCAGTTGAGCAGCACACACAGCACATGCAGCTCTGCTTCAATCTGCATCCAGTATACACACGGAGACTTGTCAGGTTGCACTTCCTCCACTGTATGCATGTCTGCCCACCAATTCTGTGTTAAGCCAACTGCAGACTGGCAGCATAGACAACGAGTACTTCGAAGTATTAAAGTTACATTGCGTCGCGCTAGCACAGCGGTCACTCACCGTCTCACTCATACCATTCCTCAGGCATACTTGTCGCTGGTGCTGCGAAGGAGGTATATGGATCTGGCAGTCACACGAAGACATAGAAAGGATGCGAAAATGCGAGTCACCACATGATGCTATAGCTAGCATTGCAAACAGAGCAGCAGAGCATTAGAGCATTAGAGCAGTTGAGTACATCTACGAGTATATATTGATGTACCATGCAGCTACCGGCAAGAATCTGTGTGTCCAGAGATACACTGCACACGAAGATTCTTGCCGGTAGCTGCGTGGTACATCGATATACATGTATACTCGTACGTGAAAGATATTACCCGTCCGCTCGAGTCAGGACCTCATTCTCCCGCTCAGGACCTGAAAGAAAGTTTGTCTTAACCGAGTTTTACTCTGCATGTATGTGGATGTCACGTGAGCAATGTGAGCAATGTGCTGGGTAAGACTTGTACGGGTAGAGATCAGGTCAACGCAGTCCTCAGATTGGCTCTGCTTTATCCTACAAGAAGTCAGTTGGAGAAACAGCTACCTGCTTCAAAAGCCAGTATGTTCTGCATACGGGGAAAAATGAGTTTCATTGCACATGTTCTTTGTTGATGGTATCAGCAGTGTTCTAGGGTATCCACTCAGCCCAGCTAACCGGCATTAACAATTTAACATGCAACGCAGCGGGCCTCGCATTTACAAATCAAAGGTCCTTGGGACGTGCACAGATAGCATAGAGTCAGGGAAATTCTATCCTGTTTCAAACTGACGCTGTGCACTGACCAGAAGTATACTCGTACACCATGAACTTACAGCTTGTCGTATTCGGAAAAACAACGGGTAGTTCACGTCAATGTGAAGAATGAAGTCACTGCAGTGAAAGATGCAGAGAATAGCAACCGTGACACACCATGTACCACACACACACACACACACACACACACACACACACACACACACACACACACACACACACACACACACACACACACACACACACACACATACACACACACACACACACACACACATATACACATACAAACACATACATGCACGCACACCGCATGCACATGTACACACGTACCACCCCCCCCCCCCCCCCCTCCCCCAGCCGACCCGGGTGACTGCGGACTCACTGCCATGCAGTGAATTAGTGATGATACAGGGTAGCAAAGATTGACGGCAGCAGGGTATACATCCTATGATGATTGATACGTACTCCCTGTCTCCGGTTACGGAAGATAAACCAGTGATAAACTAGATGCTAGTGTGGGTTACTCTATCCGAGTGGACGGGATAGAAGCCGCTTCACTGGCATCATTGCCGACACAAAGTGAATGATGGACAAATGCTCGGAGCATAGGCACACGTGATGGCCACACATGGATGCATGTAGCAGACTCTCTTCACATTCCCAGACAGAGCTGCACCCTTTAGCTCTCTTTTCCATACTTGCATAATGGCACACACTGACAGCATTCCTCTACAGTGCTGCTCAATGAAATCCAGTCACGTCACTCAAGTTTGCGCCTTGCACCATTTCGCAGCCTAGGGTTTGCAGGTCTATGGCTGTGCAACACCCGGCACTTACTTGAGTGAGGCTGTGACTGGATTTCATTGAGCAGAACTGTACTATGTTTGTCTAGTGAGTGTGAGTATACCTTGCTCCAACAATGATGCTGTCGTCGCTGAAGATGATATTTGAGAAGTTCAATTCTGCATTCCTCAGCACCCTGAACTGCTCAGCATTCTTCGTCATCTTCTTGAAAGACCATACTCTCACCGACCCAACACCATCTGTCCAGGTCACAGAGAGCGGTTAAAAGGAAACAAATGTAATTCATGTACACACACGCCGTCAGCCGATTCGCAACTCAGAGAGTTCTACATGCTATATGCACTATGCAGTCAAGGTAAACCTGTGCAAGCGGCCACCCCCTGCAGTGCAGAGCAAAACTGGCCCTTCTAGACAGATGGTCTTTCGTCACAGGATGTCAGCATATAGAACATACATGTATGGCCCAATGCCCAAAATGACTGGTCTCAAAAACAGGTGGCCTTTCTGCACAGGTCAGCATGTGTGTCAAGAACAAGTCATGGCGGGTCCAGTGCACAAAATGACAGACGGTCTTTTACAAAACACAGGTGATCTTTCTGTACATGTCTGATTGTCAGCATGTACAGATCGGCATGTGTGTTAGAACTCATGAGTCATGGTGCGGTGCCTGAAATAACTGGGTCTCAAAACACAGGTGGCCTCCTATTGCAGTGGTCGCCGTCGCCCAGCACAGGCCTCCACTGTACTTATACATGACATTGTACTGTTCACGGCACAATCCCTGCAAGCCATCGGGTCCGCGGGGCACCTTCCAGGCAGCTCCCTGCAAATCATGTTGGCAACAAAAATAGCACTCGCCGATGATAAGTAGGATTCCTGAATATCGTGACCCTCCGCCTGTAACTACAGTGTTGCTCAATGAAATCCAGTCACGTCGCTCAAGTACGCGCCGGGCTTTGCGCAGCCCTAGACCTGCGAACACCGGGCTGCAAAATGATGCAAGGCGCAAACTTGAGTGATGCGATTGGATTCCATTGAGCAACACTGTACATGTATGATCCTTGTGCAGGAATCTTTGATTTGATTCATTCAAGGGAACCAGAGCTTCAGATAGTAACCCGGCGCTGAAGACCCGGCGCTGAAGACCCGGCGCTGTTGCAGGCTAGTGTTGTTCTTCTTTTCAAGATTTGCAGTACCTTCGTCCCCTAAATCTTTCCTTCCCGCCGTGGCACGTTTTGGTGACCATCTAGCCTGCATGAAATGGATGTTCTTTGGTGCCCGCTAGCTGTTACTGTAGTAAGCCATCACAATAGTAGTACATGTACCCAAATGTACTTGTAAGTAGGGCAACGCATGAAGGCTGCGCTGGGGAACGCGCTGGGGAACAATAGTTACACGCAGCATGTAGCATGCAGCATCGTCAGCACTACAGCAGTCATTGATTGGGGTCTTACCAGTCTGGCTGGCGGTGCATTCCTCTCGCTCCTTAGCCCATTCCAGGACGGGTCCTTTCGCTGAGACACAAAGCAAGGATGCTGCTACTACCACCGCTGTGAACAGGACTGTCGTGCACGTGGAGCGCGACAGGCGACCGCCCAGCAACAGGGTCCAGTCCATTGCGCTGCGATGCCGAATTACGGCGCAAGGCTGAGAGACGAGATTCACTTCTTTGTGGTAGATTTTCCCTCAGAAACAATGTCACAGAATTATTTGCCAACACAGAAATTTCTTCAGGAGAGATGTTTCGAGGTGTCCAAATACACTGACTTGCAAGCTCCCAGGCCAGCCTTCTTATCGTCACTGGCTGTCCCTCTCCTACTTACAGCGGTCTCGGACTCTCCAGGAATTCGGAAAGCCAGTTCCGTAGAATGCTTGTCGATGAGCGCACAGCGGACACTGATAATGTCCGTCCTTGTTCCCACACTCAAAGACGTTTAGGTGATTACAACAACCTGTCAGTAGTTGGCAGGCACACGCTGCACCAGGGTTGTAGGTTAATACAAGTTTAGCGTGGATTGTGGTAGCTTTCCTGTCCGATGCTAAACTAAAACTAGTCGGAGAGCTCCCTCAGCGGTCCATCCGCGGTAGGCTACACTGTCCACCCGCATTACACGTAGACCTACTTGACGGAAAACACCGCACGTCGTCAAACACACATCTACTGGGTAGATCTACTGGCAGTGGACGATCTACCCCCTGGAATGGCTGGATCAAGGACTGCACGGGGAGAAATAGTTCAAATACGCTGACGGGTGTAACCAGCTTTTGGACAGTCGACAGCGCTTTGCGTTCCAACTCTCCAATCTCTCGACATATCCACAGGCCACACGCGTATGCTTGGCTAGGCTTGGCTATCCTGCCATCTCTTGCGTCAGGTCCATGATGCATGATGATGATGCGTCTAGAGCGTCCGCTGTCCGGTTCGTAGATTGTCAGGGGGGACAATGGAAAAAGTAAACCACGCATTCTTATGCCAACCGCCTTCTCGATTGATCGCTCTCACCCTTGGACTCGCTACTCGTACATAGATCTACTCATGCTCAACGCGAAAAGCTCGTGTGATTAGGTGTGAATCGAGCGACAAGTCTACGCCCAGATACGTTACTGGTGTTAGTACGTGTTACTCCAACCCTTCTCTGGCAAGGAACTAAATTTAGTAGTCGGAAAGTTCGCTTTACAGTGCTACTCGCATGCAGTCACTCTGTCACCAGTTTACAATGGTTTATCACTTGACTTTTTCTGTACTGTCGGTCAGCGGTTTGCCGATCCGACCCGAGTATGCCGAGAACTGGCGAGAAGTGAAATCAGTCATACCAAGAGTACATAACCCCCCAGGGGGTTATGTAGACCGGTAATACGTGTAGATCTACATCACCTAAAGCTAAACTAACTTTTTTTGTCCTTCTACTACAACGATTATGTAGTAGAAACTGCTAGATCAGAAAAAGGCCATGTGACAGACTCAGTGGAGTGGTGTAGAACATGTGGACAGGAAGTAGGCCAGGCTGGTTGTCATGGTTATACAGGCATGCAGGCATGGCAGGGCCTAGGGTCGCAGGGCGTTAAAGGGGAAGTATACCCTAAAATCAAATTTTCACCAGTTGTAGTCTTCTGGGTGCTGAGTCGAATGGTCTTGGTCCGAGGAAGCTGCGACGCTCCCTTCCTACTTGAATCCCAATCGAACTCGCGCACTTCCACCGAAACTGGGTGACTGCGCCCTACTAGATGGGGATTTGTATGCAAAATGTCACTAAAAGCGCCATTTCGTTCTTATAAAAGCACGGATGACCGCGATTGGCCCATATGTTGTAGTCTTTTGGACGCTGAGTCGACTGGTTTTGGTCCGAAAAGGCTGCGATGCACCGTTCCTCCTTTATTCCCAATCGAACATGGTTGAACAAGCGGTCACGTGCTCCTGCGTACACCAGTCAGCTGGTCACCGTGCCTGCAGGGTACAACTTACTAGCCTGTTTGACCTTTTTTGGGTGCAGTCCTGTCACTCGAGTTGAACTCGAGTTGAACCTTGGTGTGAAAGTTGTCACCTGCTGGCGCGGTGACCAGGTGATTTGGGCACCCAGGAGCACGTGACCGCTTGTTCAACCATGTTCGATTGGGAATAAAGGAGGAACGCTGCATCGCAGCCTTTTCGGACCAAAACCAGTCGACTCAGCGTCCAAAAGACTACAACATATGGGCCAATCGCGGTCATCCGTGCTTTTATAAGAACGAAATGGCGCTTTTAGTGACATTTTGCATACAAATCCCCATCTAGTAGGGCGCAGTCACCCAGTTTCGGTGGAAGTGCGCGAGTTCGATTGGGATTCAAGTAGGAAGGGAGCGTCGCAGCTTCCTCGGACCAAGACCATTCGACTCAGCACCCAGAAGACTACAACTGGTGAAAATTTGATTTTAGGGTATACTTCCCCTTTAATTTATGCCCAGGAAAAGGAATACATTGCAAGCCGGCCATTCTTTCAACTCTTCCAGCAATCAATAGTGGTAAATAAAACTCATACATGTACAACAAGCACAATCATGTACACATATCAAAAGTGCAATGCCAGTGTCAGTGTCTTCGTCAAAAATAATACAACCACATGACTTGTGTAGGAAGTACTTCAACCCATGATACGTTAGAATATGCAAGGCCAGAGATCTAGGCAGCGCCCAGGCTGTTGGAATTTCTGGGACAGTTTCACCAGTCATTAGTGGTTGTCAATCAGTCGCATTGATGCCAATGATGGATGCCAAACTACACCACTGACAGTCGGATGACATGACTCAGTGAGCTGAGTGACACACAGATGACACAGTACAGTACAGGCATGGCAGGCGTACATGCATGTGCTACATCATGTTACTAGAATTCTACAACTCCAAGCACTACATGTAGAGTAAAACCTGTCAAGGCGGCCACCACTCAGATACCACTCAGATAAGGTCCAAGAAGACCACTGCAAGCAGGATACTGAAAGAGGTGTTACATGCACTTCCAGCCAAATGACCCTGGATGAAGAGACCATGATGTTGAAGGCCTCTTGAGCGGTCGTCTGAGACAGGGTTCACTGTAATGTGTCTTTACTATACTAGTCATGTGACGTAACGCGTTACACGTATGTCTATGTCTACATTGTATGTTGTTGTACGGTATAGTAACTAACTTAGTAAGTTACTCTATGTATATGTGCACGACAACTCATGATTGTGGGGGTGGGCGGGGGGGGGGGGGATCTTTGGCAATTTCCAAACCATCCCCTGATTGCAGGGCTTCATGGCACACAGTTTCTCAAGTCACAAAACATTGCAGAGCATGCTAGGACTTTAGAAAAATGGAATTACATGTTACTGATGTACATGTAAAATAGCTCCCAATTGACGGTAACGGCTTTGCAATGTACTGCCAAAACCCGCGCCAAGCGCACGCGATTATACACAGATACATACATGTACACACAAGGGATGCGAGCATATCTACTCCCCCCCCCCCCCCTTCCTCTCCAACACACACACAGTTCATGCACTGCACCATCTACAAGAATTCTTCTCAAGAAGGGATATTTTTTTTTAAAAGCTCTGGCTCAAGGCAGTTGAAAGAAAAAAAGGACACGTGGCAAACATGTACATTTCAGTTCATTTTCCTATTCCATGACTACCTTATAGCCCTGGTAATATAGGCAATGGGAAAAGGATTGAAGCCTAAACAATGCAGTGGTGAGTACTGGGATAATGATACTGTTTGTTTGCCTAAGTGACATTTGATCACTGCCTAAATGCACTCTAACTGAACCGAAACTCAAACAGGGCTCATAGGCCGCACTGATAAAACACTCAGGCGAATGGCTGACCTAAAAAAAAGGAAACAATAAAGTCTTCATGTGGTAGGGCTGCTTTGGGCGTATAGTATAAATACTGAACAGGTTACTTGGAGAGCATGCAATGCAAAATGAGCATGCATTCGCTACTATTGATAGAACATGTGTGCACTAACCTTGGATAGTGCATGACGCTATGACCCTACTTTACTAATGTCAAACATGTGGCGTCATGTCACAAACTTTCCAAGTAATATGTGTGGCTGCAAAGCACTAGGACAGGAATGCACACGATGGTACGCACATACACACACACACACACACACACACACACACACACATACACATATACACACACGCGTGCAATTTAGCCAATGGGTCACTTGCCGAGATGCAGCGCTTATGCCTCCACAAGATGTTGAACGCTTCGCTTGCGTTGGCTGCAGAGCGCATCGGTGTTTCGCCTGTTACATGAAGGGCAGGTAAAAATCACATAACGTTATATACATTTACATCCTGTTGTGCATTGCCCACATCAATTTAGTTGGTAGGTGGCAATTGTACTGCACTAGTATGAGGACAGATCAATAGTTACTTTTCTTCAAATGCACTCTACTCAGAGTACACACGACGACTGCACTTTGCAATGTCCATTGCTGCTGGCATGATTCCTATGCCACCCACCCCACTCCTCCAGTCACCTATTATGATTTAGCCTTAGAAATCAACACAGTGCGACCTATGGTAGAAAGAGATCATCCTGCTTGAATAGCAATGTTGGTGTTTCCCCAAATTTAAACATATCATTCAGGTGCATGCACCCTTACTATCTCTTCCTCATTGGTAGTACATGTATTCGAAAGTGAACAGCAAGAGGCAATTCCTCGCAAACGGCGCAAAACGAATCCTGACAACAATTGTCAGGAGCAGATCGGTGGTGGTTGACACTTCTTCCTACAGTCTATATCGAATCAACACACAAGTTGCAAACACAGTTCCATGATCCGTACCGTATGATCTTCACAGCCGAGACTTTGGTGGAGAAAATCCGTTCCTGACCGTCAGCCACACCGTTCTTGCCATTGCTGCTGGCGGCATGCGTAGCTGTCACCTGCTGCTCGCCACCAATAATGACCAGGTTGCCATAGAACTCAATGATGGCCGAGTCGACGCAGGCTTCCGGCAGGGTTGAGACGCGGCGCCATTCTCCGTTGACGCCATCCCACCAGGACACGTCGCTGTTGCGCGGATCACCGCCGTTGTGTGCCACCAGCATTCCGTAGATGTTGGCTGCCGACGGCGCCAGGCATGGCGTCTTCATGTAGCAGAACATTGTCCACTCCTTGCCTGGCGTGTCGCCAGTCACGCTCAGGGACAGCGCCTCGTGACGGCCCATCTCCGGGTGGTCGCTCTCATTGTCCGTGGGCCGATCTGATCCATAGCCCTGCACACCGCCACACAGTACTAACTGATTCTCGTTGAACACCACCGGTGCTGCAGCGTACATGGGTACGGGCAAACTGGGCCAGTGCACCCAGTCATTCCGTGAGAAATCGTAAGCAGATACGCTACGCTGGGTTGCAGAGTCGCCGCCACCAAGCTTCCCTCCAGCGGCCACAAGGAAGTTGCCGATCAGCGCGAATGTACCGCACCGATGGCCAGCAGGTACCACGCAGAATGGTGTCCAGGTGGAGCGCAACGTCATCTCCGCTCCTTCATTGTCTATTGACCAAACACACGTCGGACCATCTGATTTCACACACGGTCTCACCACCAGCAGCAGCTTGGACTGCATGCGCTCCACGCACAGTCCATCCACGGTGTGCGACGTGTTGACCTGCGGGGCAGCCACCGGGTGCCAGCGACGCAGCGACGGGTCCGTTACGAACAGGGCGGCACGGTACACGGTGCGCCGTGTGTACAGCTGGCTGTCGCCACCGCCACTACTACTGCCATTGCGACGTGATGCCTCTGCGCTGCCGCTGTCCGTGTCTGCAGAACTGCTGCCTCCAGCAACCTTCTCCAGCTGCTCGCACTTGACCGTCGTGGCAACGACCAGCCGGTCCTTGATTTGCACAGCATGGCACACCCCCGCAACACTGTCCTTGTCCACTGGCAGGTGCGGGTATTCCGACCACTGCAGCATCCAGAACAGATATCCGCAAGCCCATGCAAACAATAATATATTATTATGAAAACGTTAGCCTAGAGATTGAACGAACTCCCATGCATTAAATTCTGCAAAACGAACTCTCGATTTTACATAGTGCATTGGTTGGGCAAGTTGGGGCGACAAAAAAACCCCAAGCTCCACTACCTAGTGCTGGGGGGAATTAGCGAATCGATTCATCACGGTTTCATGACACTCGATTGATAGACAGCAAGGATGAAAACAGGATTTGTGTAATGACATGTGGACACAGTACTAACGTTAGTACACTGCACACCCACGCGAAGCGGTTGCTACTACTCAAGAGAGGACAGCCCGCCAAGCAACGTGACATCTCCTTCAATCTCCAAGACTCGATATGTACAACGAACAAGTAACTGGTTACGTCTCAAGAACCACACTGGCCCACACTGGGCCACAGGTCGCTAGCTTTCTCACTCACAGTAGTAGCGGTGAACAGAACGTTCAGCTGTCCATGTGCGTCCATGCTCGCAGCCCGCGAAAAACTCCGCTGCGGAAAGCTCAGGTTAGGCCGACAGCAAAACTATAAAAATAAAAAAGGGGCTCTGGCTCTGTCCACAAGGTCAACGGACGTTACTACGGTCGGAGCTGAGACACACTTCGTTGTGTTCACTGCGTTGAACGTTGAAGTAACCAACCAGTCCCAAGCTGTCCCATCATTTTTTTCCCCTTCTGGTTTGGCGGATAGTGATGTTTCCATCCCTTCTATTCCACGGTGTCAAGAAGCAGGCATCGCTGAACACCCTAGTTGGTTTGCGATACTTTGACTTTGACCGGTGGTCGAAACATTCGATCGCGCGCATGCAGTCAGTGCCACGCCGTCACATGCTTCCGCAAGTTAGTTCCGGCAGGGCAAGGCGCGACCTGATTTTGTCGTAGTCTACTGACCGTGGGCAGGTGAGTGTGCTCAGTGTGCTGGTAGATCTACATGGTGTGAGTGAACACTGAACACAGGCTATCACTGTATCAGTGTCAATATCATGGTCCATAAATGGAGCTAAATGTAGAAGGTCATAGTGCATGCTAGTGGTCCGGTTTCAGACAGGAGGCGCAGCTTGATCATACATCACACCCCAGATCCCATTACACCAGCCACCGTCTGAAATAGCAGTCATCTTCTTCCAGCTTCACTTTGACATACCATCACTCACAACAACGTACAGAGTGTAACACCTCAATCCTCCTCCACATCCTGATTATAATCTACTGTTGACGTCATCTACATTTTGGACCAATGCCTAACATATTCAGGGTTGTAAATAGGGGTCAAAGGGGTGTTCCAGGTACCCTGGTACCCGCCCGTTAATCTCCGGTACCGTTAGTCAAAGGGTACCCGTTGGGATTTCGATGATCTAATCAGTACGAAACAACACTGCTGGGGCTGAGCATTCCAGGCGGCAGTCAATTATTTACAACTCCACGCTGGATGTCTGCATTGGTGTTGCATTTTCGCACCCAGTATATCTACTAGTACCTCTACAACTATGAGACACAAATCAATTTGCGAATCATAATGTGATATCAAGAGTACATAACCAGTGCCGCTGGTATGTACTCTTGGTGATGTCAAAATGCAACCTGAGAACAGATTAATTACTATCATGATTTATGTGAAACTGGCGCAAAAATAAAACATGGCTGCTAAAGGGAACCCGTTAATCCGCCCGTTAAGAAAATTACCCGTTCGTTAGCTAAAGGTACATCCGCTTGACCCCTAGTTGTAAAAGTACAGTACTGTCGAGCGCGGAAGAACGGAGCGCGGAAGAACGGAGCGCGGAGGAACGGAGCGCCGAAGAACGACCAGGCTAGAATTTCATCAAGCAGAGCATACCAATGTATACACGGTGACTCAAATGCGCATACCGTATTATCTCCATTTTAAGCCCAGCGCTTATATTTTTTCAACCAGTCCGGACCCCGGGCTTCTACAAGAGACTGGGCTTATAATCTTTCAACCACCTGGTACATGCACATTGCTTATTATTCATTACATGTATATCAGTAGCACAAAGTTTCCCAGCAGGTACCAGGACTTGCAGTTTTGTGCTTGTTGGTACACTTAAAATAGAGACTGGGCTTCTACAAGAGACTGCGCTTGTAATAGAGATAATACGGTGGACTGCATTAATACATGAAAATAAGAACGGTCTAGGCTAGGCCATAGGAGGCTGCCCGGGGGGGGGGGGGGGGGGAGGGGGCAGTTCTCCCGCAACCGACAGTACTGTATGTGTGACACGTGCACACTGCTGCTGCTGCTCAATGAAATCCAATCAAGTGAGCCAGGTTTGCGCCCTGTACACTCGTCATGTACATGTACATGTATGATCGGAAATACGCTGATAAGCTGTATACGCATGCCCTCTCAGGGCTGGTTTTCCCCAACAACTGGCTCCACACTAGTGAGTACAAGCAGCACTGCCACTAGGCCTCCAAGCATTTGGCTCAGGAGTAAGGTGCTGGTTCAAGTACTGAGTAGTGAAAACTTGCCCCGTGAATACATGTACATGTATAACAATAGTACGGGGCTGGGGTGGGGGGGGGGGGGGGGGGGCACCTGAAGCCGGACTTGCTGCTATGCAACGTAGGCATACTTTCAGATTTTACTCGCAATACTGACAGTGTATGGATGTCTTGCAATGATAATCATAAGAACAGTGTACACCGACATGTGACACCTGCACTGCCTCAATGCACCATCCAAACATCTTGTGATGTCATGTGCAGGGGGGCTGATGTACCAGTCCTGTCTGCTAGTGCAGAAGGTTTGGTTACAATAATTATAATGTTATTTTTTATCAACTAGCTTACCTAGAGTAGAAACCCAGTCAAGGAGATACACTGGAAATATGTCAGAGTGTGATCATCGTAGAAAGGCTCTGAGTAAGTAGTGTGCAGCTGCCTATGTTAATTACCTGCTTCCCCTGCAAACATGGAACCAAAAACGTGTAAGTTGTTGTGTAACACACTGTGAACAGAGGCAAACACAGCACTCAAAACATTGCCCCCCCCCCCCCCCCTCTCCTTCCCCGGCCACAGCAATGTGTAGCATATACACGAGTACATGCACCGGGAACACTGCCACCATCCACAGCATTTCCAAACACACTAGATTCCTCCGCAAAATTAATGTCTTACCTTCAAAGAAGAGACAACCTCCATGTCTTTTCGAGGCGAGCCAACGCGATGTTGCTGGATACGCAAGCAAAGAAGAAACAAAAGTGTATGCACGAGTCAACAAACAAGAAAATAATGTACTTACGCTGTATCAGAACTTGAAGAAAAATTGCACCACAGTGTATAGAGAAAATCAGTTCTCTTTGATGTCTAGAAATTCATCTTTCAAAAATCCCCACAGTGGACGAGTTGTGAAGTACCACCAGATTCGGAATATCTTCCATGAGTGTGAATGTCACTCATTCTCCTAAGCAAAGTTCGCCTAAAACCTATCAAACACTTTCGGATTCTAAGTTTCTAACAAATCATGACAGAACTTACTCGTTGCAAAGAAGGCAGCGGACGTGGGAAAACACCAGGGCTTGGAGTTCTACTGCTGTTCACTGTGACCGCTGGTAGTATGAGCGGGTCGTGATCAGTCCAGATGGAAAAGTCGAGGCCGTCGACAGGTAGAGGTGAGCGCTAGCAAACACATAATTAATATAGCGGACAAAACACATGCAACGCAGCATATTGGAATCATACATAGACGATATTGTTTGTCAGCTGCCAGTGTGCTTTGGCAAGCAAGTAGTTATATCCTCTTTTCCTGTTATATGTAAACGATGCAGAACAGTGTTTGGCCCCAGGCTCCAGTCTAGCTGTCTATGCAGACGATACAACACTCTATGCCCTAATCAGAAACCCAGATACCATCGCTGCTGCTTGCAATAGCCTCCAAGCATCTATTGACCGCCTGCAGACTTGGGGTGCCCAATGGAAGATAAAGTTCGAGCCATCAAAATCTCAGGCAATACTCCTTGACCGCCACAGACCATCCCTGGATGTCCCACAGCTCACATTTGATGGCATGCAGGTGCCTGAGAGCCCCCAGCTCAAGCTTCTAGGAGTGTTATTTGACAGTACTCTCTCCTTCCGGGCCCACATCCGTTCCCTTGCCGTTAGAGCCAACCAGCGACTCGGCCTGCTCCGAAAGGCATCTCGGATCCTGGACAGTGCAGGGCGCCTAACTGTGTACAAAGGATTTGTACGGCCTATAATGGAGTACGCCCCTCTCGTCTGGGCAAGTGCGGCACATTGTCACCTCCATCAGCTGGACCTGGTCCAGCGTCGAGCCATGAAGGTTATTGGCCCCTCATTGCTCCCCAGCCTGCCAATCCGAAGGCATGTTTACGGGCTGTGCTACCTGTATAAGCTGCAATGCATACCAGGTCCAGCTCTGCTTACCAACATGGTATCTCCCGCAGCAAGAGTTAACGCTACACCCCGGACGCGCCGGCAACGCCAGTCCCTCGGTGGCCACTCTTTCCAACTCGCAACTCCTCTGCCAGCCTCCAGTCCAGAGTTCATCCGCCGCTCCTTCCCATACTTTGTCCTGGAGAGCTGGAACACACTGCCTGCCCCAATCCTCGCCGAACGCCCAACTCTCAAGAAATTGCCGACATTCAAGACCAAGGCCTACCATCACCTCCGCCAGACCAATTGGCTATGGGCCACTGACGTCCACCAGCACTGAAAATAACCGGTTGTCTCTATTATTATCATTTTCTGTTTCTCTCTCTCTCTCTCTCACTCTTCCTCTCCTGGGAAGCTCCTCATGCTCATTCTCCCTTTCTCTGTCCATTTCTCCTTCCTGATGCGTAGACCAACTGTTGAACCCGAGACCACTAGGTCGGGGGAGGTTGACCTACCTCATCGGCACGCATGCCAGGCTCCTCTGTGTTGTCAATGTTCGCTTGTCCAATTTTGTCTACCTCCCCTTTTATGTTGCTGGCCAGTGCTTTGTAGTAAAATAAAATAAAAAGATGGAAACAGCCAGGGATTTACTTCAGGTGGAGATTTCTTCTCTTGATCCATCCTTTGCAATATTGTCATCAGTAGGATATCCAACCATCCACACAATCCTCCTTACACCAGTGTCTCCAATTTGAGATAATACAGAGTGATATTACAATCCCTTTAGGAAGAACTTTTCTACTGATAACGAACTTTCGCTAATGGAGAACACACACATGTACATTGTAGTCAAGACTCATAACTCTTATGGACAGTTCTCTTGAGCACTCTAATTTCAGAAATATTAGGTGCTCAATATTTTCGGTATGAGGGGAAAAGGCCAGGTTAGGTGGACAGAAATTTTCGGTACAGAGAAGCAGTTCCCCATTGGATTATGTGTGTTAGTGTTTGTCTGGTTTATTGAAATTTTAGGTACGAAACAGATGCACCGAAAGTACCGAAAATAAACGTACACCAACAATTTATGAAATTACAGTATTCGCTGTGCATAGCCCTTGGCGGATAAGAGGACCTGCTGTTGTGGTGAAGAATTGCAACCGGTTTCTGGGTATTCGTCCTAACACGGGTTTGACTGTAACACCATTCACGACAAACTCATTGAATTGCAATAGCTGATACTATTGCCCAACATGCTCGATGGAAAGAATACGTCCTGATTGGGAGTTAAGGTTCAGGTCATCCGAGCCTAGGCTAAAGTATTCACACAACAGATTGGGGAGATTTACTATCATCTGGTAACACTTTGACCAGTGAGGAACAGAGTTATGCAACAGATCTGGGGGTGTCACATACGTGTATCTTTAATGCTTTTGGTTATGCAAACCAGGTATGCTTGGCTAGCTTGATTGAAACAACATGGTCTGTGCTGTTCGTCTACAGAGTACTGTGCGGTGTGTCAAACCATAGTCACACACCGCACGTGTCCTTCCAAGAGATGTGGCGAAGAACCAAGGGCGACCGACTAATCCTCTTGGGACTTGAAAGTCTCAAAGACAAGACAAGAAAAAACTCCTTTTTAATAGTTTGCTCTCACACATGATTACATTTAATTGTGACTTGACGTCTCTACTGTTGAAATAGATATAGCCAGAGACACGTGAATTACAAATGCTCCGTCAACCAGTGTACTGCACCTCTTTTTGATTACCCCCCCCCCCCCCCCCCCATATGTAGCCAAAGATTTCTCAGACTTGCAGCTTTCACAAATGGCGTGCAACTCCTCCTTTGCACTGCACTGGCAAGTGAGAGGCTTATTGGTCTGAAAAGAACATGCTCGCAACACCTCTGTATGCGGGGGGGGGGGGGGGGGGGGGTCAATCCTCATATTGTGATAATTTGCTACTTCCGAGTTCCCACTGTCAGCTTCAACTTCAAGTGTCCTCAACAATTCCCAGATACTCCTAGGCTACAGTACAGATCCTCTGTCAAGCTCTTCTGCTGGAGTCTGAATTTTTGAAGTGCATGTATGTTGGTACCACTCCTTGTTCTGTAAGTGTAACTCGCTTCAAGAGTCCAGTGTCCTTGTGTACAAACTACAAGTACTACAATATTCAATAAACTCTGTGGACATGATTGTACTAGACTGCATGCAGTGCAATGTCATCATAGACATAGTCATACAACTAATTACTTTGGCTACATCAGTCATCATGGTTGTTCCTACACTACAGTCTACAGAAAGCCCATACAATGATACATGTACACACTCAGACTGTCAGAGTGGGTGAGACTGAGTGAGACGGTCAGTGGCAGCACACAGTTACCAGTGGTTACACGTGGTCACTGGGTAGACCTAATACACATACATAATATCGGTACGTGGTCGTTCTGCCATCGCTCGTCTTGAGCCACCAATCAATCGAAATACATGTACACAACTATCAATGCACTAGTGCCGCCCTGTTCAGCGCAAGAGACGTCAACATCGAACGTTGAAGGGGTTGGATAAACACCATGGGGCATGACAGAAAAAGACACTTTAAAAATAATTAATTGGGCGGGTCTGCAGGACGTAGTTTGCTCATTTCTTTCACAATCCTGCTTTGCTCGACTAACAACCCCTTACCTGTTGCAGATACGCGTCCTGAGACTTCGCGCAGATCTCTCTGAACACACTCAATGTCATCTGATTGCAGACGATGGCGGAATCCAAAGAAGAAGACGCGGCTATGATCTGGTCGTCTGGGATATGACCGCTACTGACGACGGCACGTGAATCGACACCACGGATTCGACAGTCGCCGCCGACGCTGCTGCTGCTGCTCCCATCTGAAGTACGGCCTTTGGCATCTCCAATTCCGGGTGCTTTTGAGGTGGTGGTGATGGTGTTAGTTTTCGCCGAACTGATCTCATCGCTTTGATGGCAGACTGGAGTTGGACTGTTCTCAGCACTGCCGGCATCGCGCACCTCTGTTATCGGAGACGGACGGCTGGCCAGTTGATTTTGTTTTCTGTGAGCAGCTGTCAGCAGTCGGAGGCTGCTATTCAAACTTTTCTCGTCGATGTGCAGCAGCTCGGACACCAGAGATCGCAGAAAACTGATCTCCAAATGATCCGGTGGCTGGCTAGAAAACATTCCCTCAGCGGCACGACTAGTAGTAGTAGTAGTAGCACTAGCAGGAACCGTGCGCGAGCACGCATCACACACTCCCTCCGACCCTGCCATTATCCTATTCCACCGGACTAACGACGTCCACAAGCACAACTTACTACAACTTCAAAATCTCTCCCTGACCCACACCCACAATAAAACACCGTGCCCCTGACATTTCTCACCTTCTCGCGTGCTGATTTCCAATGCTCAGCCCAGCGGCGGAGTACGGGTGCACGCGGATCCGGGGTATCAAACCAGGATTCAAGAGGGACACCAAGGTCACAACACGCCAGCGGGAAGTTTACACTTGTCACCGCTGTGAACAGACTCCGTGCAGTAGCTGTTCCGTGCTGCCCCCACTGTACTGCCTGCCGACCATGCCACCCTCTGCGCTGCAACACCATGAACTGCGCGGGTCAAGTGTGGACTCGTGTCGATTTCTCTAGCACCTGGGGCTGTTATCCTGGTTATGACTTATGTTGTCCTGTACTGTCCAATCTAAAAGAACGAATGTGACCTGACGGATTTGCAACTAAGGACACCATCTGCATCTACAGAACTTACTTGAAATTTCTACTGCTAATCCTGGTTGGAATACTACTATCTACGAATAAAGCTGAAAACATCAACTATTCCGTGTCCATGTCGGCGCAATTTCTCGGAACTTTTCCGACTTATCATTCAAAGCTGCAAGTGACTGTGTTCTTCCTCTGCTGTTGCATTTTTATGTGCAGGCACTCAAAGTCATACTGTCATGGTAGGAGACTATCTTATCTACACTACAGCCTAGCCGTCGATGGGAGAGCTAAAGACCTGTTGTATTGCACATCTCGATCAGATCTGCGACCCTCCTAACTTATCTGCGCTGCGTCTTATCTTTGCAGGGTAGTACGGCGGTTTCGAGTCGATACAGTTTTAACTCCGCGTTATTTTTTACTGTACTGGCGGTGTTGGCCGTGTTAGTGCCTAGTGGTGCATTCTTGAGTCATGATAACGAGCAGAAAGTCGAGGCTGCGGGCCAGCTGTGACCAACTGCTGGCAACTCCGAGAAATCCAGGTTGCTGTCGATCCGAGTCGGGATCTGAAAGACAGAATGGGACAGGACAAGTGGAGAATGAATGTGGTCGGTGCACCGACTGTCCGTCTTCGGCCCTCTGCCCTGGTCTAGGTCGAGAGCAGACAGCACATGCGCACATGCTGCGAATCTACAGTGACCAATGACCATGGTGACACCAAGATCCAAGACCAAACTACAAAGAGTGGCAAGAGTACTACCGCCCCTTTCTCGCACCAAATTATTATTTTTGCTACCTGACCATGCACCCCCCCCCTTTTTTTTCGATGCCAGGTTGCAACGCTAACGCCGAGACCCCTGGTCGGTCGAGTTGCTCCCTGTACATCGGCACGTCGTCCCTACATCCCCTGTGTCTTGTCTTGTGTTTGTCTCCACATGTCTCTTTGTAGGGCTGTGTTCCCAATAATAAAAATAATAAAATAAAAAAATAAAAATAAAAAAAAACCTGTACTATGATACTTCAAGTACTAGTGGATCTACATGATTGTACAGTCATGTACCAGTCCTGCCCCCCCCCCCCCCCCCCTGTCTCTGAGAGCCAATGAAAAAAACCCTCTCTTGAATAGTGCCCCCCCCGGGAGGCAAGTTTGGTGTTGTTTCGCTAATGTTCTTGTTCATGTCCTTGCGCTGGGGGGTTCAGGATCAAAATCGCAGTTCTTGTTGCCTTTTCTGTTGAGTCGTGAACTTAGGCTCTGTTTTACTTTGCCTTCCCTTGCTTTTATCTGGATGACGAGAATTGGAAAAATAGTGCCCTCTTGAATAGTACATGACTTTTGTACATATACATGTGTGATCGTGATGATGGGCTTACTCAATCTGCGGACAGAACTGTTTTGTCCTTTGTGGACTCATCAGCGCAGCACAGAGGAAATGAGGCCGATGAAGTATGATGGACTTAGAAATTTAGTGCCCCTGGCCCGGGGCACTAATCACGCGAGTACGGTGTGTGATCACCATGGTGACGCTATCCACGTGCACCAGTACTGGCAGTAGCCGGATTACATGAGCTCATGACATGAGGCTCATACTATCAGTGTTGCCATGGCTACTAAGGCTGGGGGTGATATACAGCGCCTGTAGCTACTCCGGCATATTAAACGTAAATATTTTATTTATTTTTGCTTTGTTTTTGTTTACTGCCATGGTTGGCTACCGCCCCCTCCCTCCATATTGGCCTATATTCTCTGGCCACGGGAAGGTGAAATAAATAAATAAATAACGTTACATGTACCGGTAGCTACCACATCCAGTCTCCTAATAAGTGATGGTGATACCCTAGTCCTGTCCCCGGGGAAAATTGCGGAGAAAATCGCAAAAAACGCGGGGAAAAACGCGGCATAATATGGCATAATTTGCGGTGAATTTGCGGTAAATATGCGGTAAATATGCGGTGAATAATATTGATGTGCGGCAATTTTCAGTGAGTATGTAGTGAAATCAATCAGTTACAAGTCTCTGGTGTAAGCACTCGTCATAATTATTTGAGTAAAAAGCCGCCACGATGAGACGTTGCTGACCGAACAGTGCACTGTGTGTACGTGTAGTGCAACAAAAAAGTTTAAAAAACGCGGGAAAATCACGGAAAACGCGGTCTTTTAAAAAATCGCAAAAATGCGGAAAAAACGCCGCCGCGGAATCGCAATTTTCCCGGGGACAGCCCTAGTCCCTAGGCCCTGCGTTTACCATGGTTTACGTGCATGAAACTCTGACTGAGCAGAGACAGTTTCACCCCGTGATACTCTCACTGGTCTGTACTGTGGACCTGTGTGTGCATTGTAGATGTACATGCCGGGTGTAAGCAATGAGTACTACATGAATGTACAAGTCATGTACAGGTACACTGCAAGTGTGAGTCAGTGAAGCACTTATGATATGGCACGAGAACAAGAATCAAAGTTCTGCTACACGCCATGCATCAAGAAATCATTGGTTCACATACGAAGTAATGGCCTACACTGGCTATACTACAATCATTTGTATACATGTACAGGACAGCTGCTAGTGTGCTAGTCGGCAATCCAATGTGTTCCTGTACTACTAGTATTGGCGTGATGTTGATCACAGACTGATGTTGTTATGTCACGCAACACCCAGTAGCGCATGACTGTACGCCAGGGCTCATTCTTTGAGAAGCCAGTTGTACTTTCCGTAAAATACTGCATAATAATGATAGGTTTTCTCTATTCAATGTGGTCAATAATGAAGTCTTTCCGAGCATATTTCAAGTGCCAGTCTGAATCCTTGAAGGTACCTGCCATCAGATAGAAAACACGGATGCCAGTTTTGAGTGTGAGTTAATGCTGGACACGGACGCAATGCATCATGCTTGTTGTGTCTTGGCTCGCTGGTACGTGCAACGTTGCATGGCCATTGTGTGTCGTATGTGCTTCAGCCCGCGCTCTTAGTCTTAGCTCTAGCCTCTAGCAGCTGCATGGTGACACTGGGTTTCTTAGGCGTGTCTGACTGTGCGATATGTCTTCACTGGTCGTCTTGATAGCCGATTTCCTTGATTTGTTGATTGACTCCACTCCGGCAGCTTCCATTCAGGTAACAGACGTTTTCTCTGTGGGAATATTTAGAAACACCAAACGTTGAGGAGAGCTCGAAGGAAGAACAAAAGATGACTAGGTGAATGGATGGAAAGAATAAACAGAGACAACCAAGCGGTAGACTACAAACAGAAGGACGGACACACACACACACACACAAACACACACACACACACACACACACACACACACACAAACACACACACACCGGCACACACACACACACATACATGTACAGACATACAGAAGGGCACAAACATTTACATGTAATAATGATTGGCTATTGTGCAAAACCTCCCTGCCTTTTCGGAGTAATGAAGAGCGGGCTTGAGAATCCCAGCCGCAACCCTCAAATTTACCTCTATGACTGCCACTTTTGCCTCATAAATGGTAAGCTCCCACAACAACCACTAGATAAACTACTTCGTCCATGTGGGTTATCGTCATTCTCATCCTCCTCCACCTGTGTGTCAGTGCAAACTTGAAACTCCATATCACATACATGTGCTGCATGATTAAAACGTTGAGTGCTCCACATACGGACATAACCAGGCATGCCGCATGAAGCACGGCATTTAATGTAGTGAGCAAATCACTCACCTGGTACCGTAGCCATCTTTGAAATGTGAGACATGATCAAGCTGGGGAAAGGGGTGACACAGATCAGGCATCAACAACAAACACAAACACACACACACACATATGCACACATACACATACAACAGAATAGTCCAGTTTACCACTCCCTCTGTGCTGAGCATTACCAGTATTGGCAATTAACACTCAGGTAAGTGTACCTGCATCAAAATACCTGTAGTGCACTCTGCAAGGGAAACCTCCATTCAATGTAAATTACAGTCAACTACACTTCTAACTATCGTGCATGCAGCAAAGTCTGTGATATAGCCATTACAGGGAAGGAATGATTGCCCATGTGCCTGCTTAAACTCATAAAAAATGGACCCTTTGTAGCGAACCCCTTTTTTTGGCTCTATCGAACCTTCTTGGGGAGCATGTAAAGTTGTAAACCAATACACCCAGGCAGGCATGAGCTGCATGCATGAAGTGCTGCTTGGATGGTGTGAGTGGATTTCTGCTGTAAATATAGAAATAAAAGGGGGTTTGTCAACTGCCGGACAACCGCTCTATTTAGCTGCTATTCACTCCTTAGATGCAGCAAATGCAGTTGCGTGATGTCCACCACTTTCTGAACAAATATAGAAACGCGGTTTAAATTCTTGTCAGCTTGCCGAGTCGAATAACATTAGAAACTGTGTCATACACCAGATTGGCTGGGAAACCGGGCATCAACTGCTACTCATGCCACTACTTGCAGACAGTGCGAACACACTACGAGTATGGTAGAGTAGTCATCATTCAGCCACTAAATAGTGGGGACGTGGCTGTTGCAATACAATAGCCACTGTAAAATGCATTTGACCCAAGGCCGTCACAGCCGGGGCGGCTGGATCGGCTGAGGCCGCCCCACTTTTCGGCCGGTTTTTTTTTTTTTTTTTTTTTTTTTTAGCACATTACAACAAAGCACAATGCATGATCGCAGCTTAGCGCAAACGTGACAAATCCTTGTCCCCAATCGTGGTTTGTTGCAGAAAAAAGTCTTTCATTGCAGTTACACTGAAATGGCACCAAATGCCTGGAAATGCTTGCAATTGGCTTCAATTTTTGAATTTTTTCCCGGGGAGGGTAATGTTTGTCCCCGATCGTAGCGTCTTCTTCGTTTGTTGCAGAATCAAAAAGACTTTCATTGTAGTTACCGTACACTGAAATGGCACCAAATACCTGGAAATGCTTGCAATTGGCTTCAATTTTTGAAATTTTCCTGGGGGAGAACCCCCCGACCCCCCTTCCATGGCCGCCCCACCTCCAAAGTCGGTGCGACGGGCCTGTGACCACAGGCCCCCTCTCAGGGAGTGCTCAGATGATAAGTCTAAGAACTTAGTAAAAAGTGGTAGTGAATGCTAACAAGTCACAGATCACTATACAGTGGTTCTACACATTGCTGCAGTTTCATGATGTTATCCATTGCAAGGCACACACTGTATGACACACAGGCTTTGTGTTTACTCACGGTTAAGTTCTCCCTCTCCTTACTCTAGCTACATAATGTAGCACTTTCAAGCCCTTCTACAAACTTACTCTTTCTCTGATGATGGACGATTGTACCTGTGCAGAACCTGGGCCAGAACATTTTCCTGTCCCTGCATTCACATGCATTCAGACCAAACCAGAATAGACTGACACATTCGTGCAGATGGCCATGCACTCGTCACGGTATATGCATGCACGTGCACACACACACACACACACACACACACACACACACACACACACACACACACACACACACACAAGCACACATACACACACGAGCACGTATACGTGCACACACATATCATAATTATAATATGATGTGTGTGTGCATCACAGTTATTCTGCTTTGATTCAACGGCTGACGCTTCCTTCCCAATTGGACATACTAGTGTGATGGGGATTTTAACTTTCTAAGAATACATGCGACCGACTGCCATGCAATTAACACTGGCCATGGCATTCAAGTTGCAGTAGATACGTTACTGGTGATTGAAGACCATGAGAAATGGATGTTATCTGGTGCAGATAGACAGGGGTAACTCTCACTCACCACTCATGTACATTGAAATAATGCCCCCTTACCAATCCATCCATCCACTTTCTCCAAATCCGGCATCCATCCATCCCCTCCCAATCCATTCATCCACTTTCTCCGAGGCCAAATCCATCCATCCACTTTCTCCGAGGCCAAATCCATCCATCCACCCCCTCCCAATCCATTCATCCTGCCCCTCCCAATCCATCCATTCACCCCCTCCCAATCCATCCATCCATCCCCCTCCCTATCCGAGACATCGATCTCCCCTCCCAATCCATCCATCCACCCCCTCCCAATCCATCCATCCATCCACCCCCTCCCAATCCATCCACCCCCTCCCAATCCATCCACCCCCTCCCAATCCATCCACCCCCTCCCAATCCATCCACCCCCTCCCAATCCATCCACCCCCTCCCAATCCATCCATGCCCCCCCCCCCCCCCAATCCATCCATCCATCCACCCCTCCCAATGCTCCCATTCATTCTCTCCCAATCCATCCATCTTCTCAGTTAATTAACTTCACCAATACAAACCATGTACCCCCCCCCCCCCCACCTTTTCTTTAACTGTGTTGTGCCAGAAGTGAGCTTTGAGGACAACTTGCTTTACATGTGCATTAATCTGTCACCCTCTCAGGCCAAGCAAAGATCTGTTCATGATTGCCAGAGAATGACCCAACAATATCTGCCATCTCTGACAATTCTTGCAAACAACTTAGTGTCAGATAACGGCTGGTTTGCTTTCCGGCAGCTATTCCAGAGGCTTAGGCCGCGGTCACACATGCACTATTTTTGGCGGTTCCGCCAAAGCGTGACTTACGCTTCCACCGTTGCCTCGGCAACAGCGGAGGCGTAAGTTGCGCTTTGGCGGAAAGTTTGGATTTCGCTACGCCAAAAAATGCGAGCGGAACCTCCGCTTTCGTGGATTCGCTTTGGCGGAACCTGCATGGTGATGGCTTTGGAGTTTGGTGTGCTACTTCTGCACTGAGTTCTGGTGTTGTTTGGTTGCCGTTTGGTATTCAGTTTTCATAATTATTGTTCTTCTTTGCCAGTGAACTGTACGCTCTGGAGATATTGCAAACGATACTGCATCGTTATGAGTGGATAGTTGGTGAGGGAATCCCTCTCCCAACTCATTGGCCCCGATCGCGGACGATCTCCAACTCTCTCCTTCTCTCTCCAAGCAATGCGCACACCAGAGTATGCAACACTGCAACCAGGGAGTAGTACTAGTAGAGTACTCTGCCACACCCTCACTGCAACTGCAGGCATCCACGCAGTCGCTGGGGTCGATGATGGATCATGGAGGAGGCAACGACACCCGTGTTATACAACTATTTGAATTTGATATTGACGTAAACTAAACTAATATTCAAATACACCCGTACTGGGCCGCCAGCGAATGTGCCCCAAATCCACGAGTGTACTGGACAGGAGACATTCAGCAGCCTGTCAGCGATCCACGATAGCTCTACTTGTACAAGCGAAGGTCGCTTCAACTCGGACAATAACATCTTTAATTTCATAGTATAGGACGTGCTGCATTTGCATTCCCTCCGCCAAAGCGGAGCGTTGAGGAGCACAGTAGTCTACATGTATGTGTGACCGCTGTATCGTGTGTTCCGCGAAAGCGGCTGCGGCAGCTACGCTTTTCGCCTCTGCAAAAGCGGTGCAAAGGTTTCATGTGTGACCGCGGCCTGAGTATTATACCAGAGAAAATCTGAAGTACAGTACCTTGCACAAGCGATCCACCATGTCTATTCTCCTCCTGACACGCTCACACTCAGCCTACAACACAACCAGCAGAAAAAAATCCTTGGGCTCTGTACTAGAGCCACGTTCATGCAAAGCACCATTAAAATTTGCGAGAATAATTGCATTATTATACCCACCGCCACCACCATGGACTTCGCTGATAAAAACCTACTTCGAAGTATCAAGCACACAACAACTCCATGCATGTAGTTCTCCGGCCGAGACTCTGTATAAAGATGGTCAGGAGCTAGAACGTGCTTTGTGTCACAGAACCTACAGACTTAATAGTACAGAAAAGGGCAAAGGAACTACAAGTTATGCTATAATGTCCACTAACACCACCAGTAACTTGACAATCAGCTCATGCGATAACAGTGCACAAAACTGACCGACGGTACTGACGTTCTAAAACTAACTGGCTATCAGCTCTAGCACGTCTTGGGTGCGCACTCAAACAGCCTTCTAACTTGGAAGATTCTAAGTTATAGGATAAAATAGGAGGGGAAGATGCTCGGAGCATGTTATCGCATGAGCTGATCGTCAAGTAACTGGTGGTGTTAGTGGACATTATAGCATAACTGATAGTTCCTTGGTCCTTTCTTTATTATAAATTACTCCTTGGCTCTCCATCCGAGTCTATACAGACTTTTTCTTTCCCAATGCTGCTGTGTTGGATTCCATGAACTTATGACCATACTGGAATAGTCAGGGCCACTGATGGAAGAAAAGCCACAATAGATCAACAAAGTGAAGAATTTGCTGCGACCATAACAAGTCTGAGAGAAGAGGGCTACAGTCACTGTAGGGACTGAAGAACTGGGGGTCAGCCTCGTAGCCTAGGCCGCTCATATGTTCATGTACTATGGTATATGCACAGTTGAGTCACCGTGTGTACATTGGTATGCTGTGCTTGGTGAAATTCTAGCCTGGTCGTTCTTCGGCACTACGTTCTTCGGCGCCCGGCAGCACTGCATGTCAAATCCTTACCTTGGACTCTGTCACCTGCGTCTGCAGTGAGTAGAACTCGTCACTTCGCATCAGCAACCGCCGCTGCTGTTGCTCGATTGCGTTCTTCGTCACTATTGCATCTAGAATCTTTGGACACAATGATTGCAGAACCCCAAGAAGAGGCAAAACAGATACAGGAGGCTCTCACGAATCATATCCAGTTTCACAAAGAATCAGTTTGAGGTTTCTTTTGTTTCTCTTTTTTACAGCCGGTGCCATGTAATCACTGTGAGCCAGAGCACACACACTTTTATTGAGAATGAGAGCACCCATTGGATCATCACAATGAACAAAGGTACGCATACTGTCACTGGCACAGTACAGTGAAACCTCGTTAGGAAGAACACTGATAAGACAAATGTTTGCCTAAGAAGAACTAGTATTCGTAACTGTATTAGATGAAACCCTGTGTATTCACTGGGTAAAACACATGGATAAGAAGAACTCCCGTTATTGCAAACAAATATCATCGGTCCCTTGATGTTCGTCCTAAAGAGGTTTGACTGTAGTTCCAAAGCCAAAGGCATGTCGTGCTTTTGACCAGTGACTCACCTTTCGTTGCAGACTGTCCACTTCCAGAACCCATTCAGCACCGCTGGTTGCATCGCGGAGTGCCTTCCGGCCCTGGACAATGCCACGCCACCTCTGTGCCCACTTGCCCACTAGAAAGGACACACATGATGTAGCACGGAACAAAGGTGAGGGTGTAGACTTGAGTCAGTTGACCATCACTCGTATGATGGCACATACACAGAGTGATACAAATGTACACACATGTTGCATCAGAGACTAGCACTAACAAAGAACCTAGCCATAGCATAAACAACCAGGGGGGGGGGGGGGGGGAGTATCCTTGACATGTGACTGGCTTTGTCACACGTGTTGCCTCTAATCTGGTGTGCCCATGACAGAGTGTCGACCAACTCACATAATCACTCCCAAAAGCAATCAAAAGTCCAATGTGCCTTTACCTTACTCTGGGCTTCCACGGGTTGGAACAAAAAAAAGAAGAAAAAAGGTGATCTGGAGAGGTAAGACCAGGCTGATTGACCCCTAAGCCCTGTGAACCAGTGTGTAAACAACTATTTTTGTACAATGAAACTTCAGAAAAATGACCAGCATATGCATTGACGTAAGCAGTTTCTTTTTGAAGGCAGTCTCAGCTACTAGTCTGATATATTTTCTATGTGAGACTGTTGTGTGTATAAAGGGGAGGGGGGGGCATTGTGTGGGACCAAGATGATGGGTCATATTTCCGTGGTGCTCGATGAAAGTGAGGCGGCGCCTGAAGTTCCAATGTTTCACCGTTCCGGATCGGATCACTTTGACATGTGAGTAAAATGCCATGCTTTCTCACGCATTCGCAGTACGACCCATAGTCTAGTCATACGTGACAGCATGGATCTACAGATGCACTCACCAGCATCTACGTAACTGTGCATGTCTCTGGCCTGCTGATACTCCACTTCCACCCTACAGTGTACATGTACATGCACAACACACGAAGCACAGCAACACGGCATCATCAAAATCACCAACACCGAACTGAAGCCGAAGGTGAAGCTGTCATATACTTGGAGATCCCGGCAAGCAACAACAATCCTCAGGCATCAATAAGAAGCAATAACAGCAAACAGGAAAAGGAAAGTGTAGCTCTATTATGTGCCGGTAATGCAGGGATACTAGACATGCACTAGCTAGAGAGGTGTGGGCTGAAGTGTAAAGGGCGGATGCAGTGGCATGAAATCATTAGGCAGTGGATATCACAATAGCGGATCACCTACAGATCTCCTACACCCAGATCATCCAGATTTCTTGACGGTTCACTTCAGCATGTTCGGGTTGGGAATGCCGAATTGTAAGGGCATCACCCTAGGCTCAAAAAAATCAACAGTAAAGTGAAGGCTAGGCCTAAGTCAATGCTTTCCGACTTACGACTTCAGTGCCTTCACAACAACGCCAGCCTTCTTCTCGAGCTCCTCAATGTTACGGGCAACTGATTCCAGGGTTATATCGGCAGCATCTACAGGTTTGGGCTGCGATGTTGCCTCCTCGCTGGTCACGACATCATCTGGTAGAGTTGAGTCGTACTGTTCCTTTAGCTGCTTGTACGGCAGTGGTCTGGGCGCGTCCACCGTTGCTTCAAACAGATCACCAAGATAGTCCTCGTACTGTTCCTATTGGCAGTTTCGATAAGTGTCACATGGCAAGGAGAATAGTATTGTTAAATCCATTCGAACATCCAAGATGTGTACACTGTATTCCTACCATTGTTCGTGGCCCTTACCAATGACTGGTCCATCGCCTCTACGCTGCTCATCGATTCATTTTGGCAGCAACGTTGTTGAACTGGAATTCCGTCATTGTATAGAATGACGGTAGCTGCTGCCGGTTATAACCCTTCTTCTGATGTTGATGATCGTTTGTATTGCAATGACAAAGCCCGCGGCCTATCATCACTCCGCTGGGATGCCTCTGTTTTATCATTTTCAACTTGTCGTAAGATGTCTGTGGGAATCTCTGGTGGGAAGTGCATGCAGATCAAGGAAGTCTTGAAGGAAATATCACACATCAAAAAGGGAACAGATCCTGATTTTAAACACATTCCAAATGCATGAAGTAGACCCTTTCCCGTTACCTTGATCATTTCTAGCGTGACAACCAGGTCCTCCAGTTTCATGGCAGCTAGAATTTCATCCCAACATTGGCGTGCTTGGAGGAGCTTCTTAAACAAATCCTCGTCCTTGCTGTCTTCAGCTATCCTTCTCCAATCCTGCAAGTGGGATAGGAGAGAGTGAAATTGCAGGAATCTTCTCTGCTACTAATGTTATAGAAGAGTGAGAAGAACAAGACCCAGGATGAAAATTGTAGTCAAAGTGAAGTCCGGCATACCAGGTCTGAAGGATTGAGTGAATGCATCAGGTCAACAAGGGCTCGGTATCTTGGCGGTATCACACCTCACACTGTTGGAGAGAGGCCACTGTAAAACCGGGAATTTTTGGTGGTGCAATATTTTCGGTATTTCCCGCCATCAACGGTTCGGTACCGTGAAAAGTTTGGTAAACTAGTTTTATACAAAAGAGAAAGACCAAGGAACTACAAGTTACGCTATACTGTCCACTAACACCACCAGTTACTAAACAATCAGCTCATACGATAACATTGCACGACACTGACGTTCTACAACTAACTGGCTAACAGCTCTAGCACATCTTGAATGCGCACTCCAACAGCCTTCCAACTTGGAAGGTTCTAAGTTAAAGAAATAACATAAGGAGGGGAAGGCGAGCGCAACCAAGACAAGCACGAGCTGAAAGTCTCAGCTGTGAAGGACGTTGGCGGATGTTCATGCATGTCGATGACGATACTGGCAAGACCATTGGACAATACGGTCAAACCACGATTCCAGAACGCAAAGCAACATTCCACACAACTTGTGTGGCTCAAGAGATGCGAAGATCAATAAAAGGGGAAGCTATGCGAACAAGAACCAGCTGAGTACATTCCTAAGCTAGTTTTCCAGATCGAAAAATGCATTTTGCACACTGTGTGGCATGGCATGGTTGAATTTAAGGTCGCGTTTTATTTTAGGTAAAAATTACCTGTACCGAAGTCACCGAAAATCAATCTCCACTGAAATGTTCCGGTTCTACAGTATGTGACTATGTGATCAGTTGAGGTGTTTTGAATAGAGTGGCAACAGAAACACCGGTTTGCCACTCCATACAACAACACCTGTGCAATAGTGTCATTCACATACCGGTAGTCTCTACGCTGATGATCTCTCTCACCTTGTCATCGCACCGCCAGCTGACTTTGGCAAGTTCTTCGTGCCGTGCCCGCACAGCCCTGTAGTGATCCACCTGCGATACGGGCACAAGGCCTGCACCAGCACGTCCCACATCACCAATGTCCAGCTTATCTAGCTTACAATTGAGATCCAGGAGGACATCAGCATAGCCTGCAGGCAGTGCCGGGGTCATTGCATCCAGTGAGTGTGTGGTTGTGTCATATGATTGTCCAGTGCTTTGCGAAGTTGGCCTGGCACTTTCGGGTGAGCCTCTTTGCGCCAGTTCGTTTGCAGTTGTTGTTTCTGAACTAGGTGTAGGAAGATATGAATGTGGTTCAATTTCTCGCAAGTCAGAGCTATGTGCACCAGCTATCATCTTCGAGTTCAATGTGGTCACTGCCGCTGTCACTGGTGACTTAGTCGATTTTCGTGGACTTTCTTCTAATCTGTTATGTCCTGTAGTGGGGTGGCTTGCCGCAGATCCAGCAGTCAATTCTTTTCGTTTCGTCTTCTTCTTTCCTTGTTTAGTGGCTTTCCTCACTCCAGCGCGTGGTGTCAACGTGCCGTCGTCCCGGAGGTAAACAGTGCGGGGCTTCCTCTCCGCCTGCTCACGGCCAATCTCCAGCCCGCATGTGTGTAATTCCGGCTGGTGGTATGCGTATTCGGCTGCGATGCGGTTTACATCAATCGATGTGCTCATAGCCGGCTGCAGTGCACCATGCATGTAACCGTATTCCAGAAACGAGGCACTGCCAGTGGCCAGCGCTGGCTCTTCATCAGCTGATGTTGTTGTTGTGATCTGTTGGTTGGGTGCGAGCGGTGGCAAGGCGCTACTGCTTGTCAGTTTCAGTTCACGCGCCCGATCCAGAGACGTCCAGCGCGGACCAGACGAACAGGCTTGCACCGTCGCGCTCTGTGCGTCCACAGCATGCCTGCTGCGGTCCAATGCCGCTCTGATGTTGTAGCGACCGTGCGTCAGTTGCGCTAGCTCTTCGCGGTGTGCGTCCTCATTGCTATCGAGCAGCTTGCCTAGTCGAGTGCGAGCAGTGCGTACTTGTGGTGTGGACATGTTTCTCGACTCGCGCACACAGCCAGGGACACTCACGAACCTAAGTATACAGTATCGCCTTCCGAGTTCTGACAGCGCGTTGCTAGCGGATCGCAGTGTGCCTCTAGGACTAAGGTTGTAGCGTTACTGATTACTGCGACTTGGGGAGTCAGATCATGGTGTGCGCCACTGATGCTCGGCCACGAATATCTGCAGGCTCTCTCGCGCTCCAATCAGCCAATGTTCTCGGTCCATGTGCTGTATCCAAGGTGCTCGCATCCATTTCGAGAATAAATTTTACGATCACACGATAAGTGCGCTCTGTGCCATGGCCATGGATCTACTCCCGACAACCACCAAGCATTTCTTTCAACCGGGTTCTCCAGGCCCACAGTTATTCTGGGTATCTCTTCCCGGGCTCTAGTAGCAACAGAAGGACATTAGGCTGGGGTCAAACTGCGCTGCTCACACACGGTCACTGCTAGTGCTAAAGTAACTTAGTTGGACAAAACTCAAAAGCAGACCAGATTCGGCGATAGGCGGTCAGAAGAACAGCATTTAGTATGATTTACCATGATTTACGACTACGATTCCGAACAAGTCAGTTGCACTTGCAGTGTAGTTTTGAATGACAGGTGCGTAGATCTACACAGTCAGTCATAATCAGGGAGTAGTATTTACTACTCCCTGGTCATAATACATAGCCTTGTGAGTGCCCCTACTGGCCCTAGCCAGTGTAGTGCCATGCATGGATGGCATGGTTACATGGTTACCACGATCTATTTTCGCCTTCTTTTCCGACAGAAGAAGAGCCAGAAACTCCCATTTGGGGTTCAAAAAATTAATAGATCTCTGGAGTCTAGTCTATACAGATCTCTCAAGAGAATGATCTGAGCTGATGATTTTGCGCTTCAGAAGTTCAGGCTTGGTTTCATCCTCACTGACCTCAGCCCCGAAGCCTCCCGATCCCAGGCTCCCACCACCACCAAGGTCTACGGTTCGGGAGCATTCAGAAAGCGTAGCAGCAGCTGCGCTGGAACAGTGCTCAATGCGTTACCGGGGCGGCGTCGCCTGTCGCTGGGCGTAAATGCCATAGACTGAGACAAGAACCGACTGGGAATTACAAGGTAGTTCCACTACTAGTACTACGCTGTAGTTGCAACTCAGAGAGGTTCATCATCTTCAGGCTACCATGGCTGCTGATGAGGAGAAAACATGCAGCAAGAAGGCCCCTTATAACTGGCATCGCGATATCACTAGGGGACACCTCTGGTACACAGGGAATTGGGTTATTGTCGCTAGTAGTAGTGGCAGTGTCCTGAGTCTCCTGATCAGGAACCTACATAATAATTATGTCATTGTACATATCACAGAATCGGGAGTGCAGTAGCTCAACCTCGAGTGCGAGTAAGGAAGAATTGAGCTCAAGCTGTGATTCTGTGAAGAGACATGAAGGGAGGGAATCGTAGAGGCCGATAACTGTCTCGGAGGGGGCCTGGGGGGGGGGGGGGGCGGGGGGGGGGGGCGACAGATCGGTGCAAACTATATAGGGAGGAGCATTGGGCACTTGTTTGGTGTCTCCGACACACAATTCCCTCCAGATCACGACTACACAAGATATTCATCAGCATGATGCCTCACACCCAAGGTCAGCTACAGCTGCATGCCGAACATGTCCGCAATGGTAACCCTAAGTCCTACGGGTACAGACTCAGTGCACAATTCAGTCAAACGAAGGAGTCAAAACGACGACCATCAGACCAAGGATAGACGATGCAACCGTGCAGCCAAAACACACGCAGTTCCCAATGGTCACTTCCACATCCCATGTATCGTCAGTCTACAAGGCAACTATCCAAATAACCCGCAACGACAAACGGAAAGAATGTACGTACCTCGGCCTTACGGGGCCACTGTTCAAGAATAGACACGCTACCCATTTGACGTTGACGAGACACGGACAAATGGGGAACGCCATGGAGGTTTCCAAGTGTATCTGGAAAAAGTGCAAGAACAACGAGCACAGCATTCGTTGGTCCATGGTCACCATGGTCACCCAGGCACCAGCCTAACTAAAACACTACAAAGTGCTGTCACTTGTCAGTGCCGATTATGATGTCTGAGAGAGAAGTAATTAGTTGGCGATCATGCAAGCAAGCAAGAGCGTGAACATTAGCAAGAGGCCTGAGCTTGTCGCCCAGTACAGGCACGAAAATCATCTCTCGAAATTCTCACCATAATGCGTCACATGAACTAAAACTCGAAGAAGAGATGCTGACATCCCTGGCCCTGCATAAAACTCGAAGAAGAGATGCTGACACCCCTGGCCCTGCATAAAACTCGAAGAAGAGATGCTGACATCCCTGGCCCTGCATAAAACTCGAAGAAGAGATGCTGACATCCCTGGCCCTGCATAAAACTCGAAGAAGAGATGCTGACATCCCTGGCCCTGCATAAAACTCGAAGAAGAGATGCTGACATCCCTGGCCCTGCATGCCGGGTGTGCATGTTTTGGTGCTTGTGGTGCTGGCCCAATCCATAGTTTCTCCCTCATTTTCAAGTTTCACCTTACCTTGCGTTATTGTTTTATCCTATTTCATCTCACCCAGCTCAAACACGTCGGTACACCATTTTTGCACATGCCGGTATTCACTCGCTCGAAGTCACTCACACATTACGCTGTTGCAGCAGCCTTCTGTATATTAGAGATCATGAATTTTGAGCATTGTGGTCAATTTTGTGTGACGATCACTTGTGTGTGAAACTCAGGGTCACAGCAATTATTTTATAATATAATATTCTCTCGATCGCAACGAGTATATTATTATACGGCTCTACAACCACCATGAGTGTTTCTAGCACTCTCTTGAGCTACCACATGTGTAACTCGCGCTGTGTGCAGAGTGACTCTCGGTTACATGTATGGCTCCCCTAGTTATGGTACCATTGACGATAAGACACATCGCTGGTCTTCACTACTTCAGCAAAGCAGAAAGGGAGAAGGCCTCTTGCAACCTGGATAGCGGATAAAACCATGAAATATCGTGAGCCTCTTGGCGAAACCGCGACGTAACCTCCACGTGTAGGCCAGACGGAAGGGAAGGCAGCTGGTCATACATGTCGGTGTGCGACGGGGTCAGCTTGAGCCCTGGTGACCCGTGTCCTAAAATTATCCTCCAAAGGACCAAAGCACGCAGATGCAGGGTGCTGAGGATCCGGGAGTACATGTATCGGTACTTCCCAATCCTGGTGCAGACACTACACAGTACAACAGTCAGTGGACATGGGTCGCGGCACGGACAGTTTGTAGTCACAATGTTTCGCTGTGCCAACGAGCAATGCCATCCGCCATCCTTTGTTTGTGTTACGGTTGGAACCGCAACGCTGTGGACTGTACCTGGTAATGGTATACAACCTAGCTGCAGTGCAGAGCTAACCGCATTACGAGTCGTGGATCTGCTGTACTGACATCAGCGACTCTTCTCCATTTACACGACTGTATGTCTGGCTCTGACTCTAAGTTTAGACTTGTACGAGAAGCGTAGTATCAGATGAGGCACCCGGCTCACTGACTTGCCATTCTAGGCATCATCAACAACAACAACACCTGTCAACACTGTTGGCATCGGGTGGACGCCCTTTGCACCAGACCTGTCAACTCCTAGTGCCAGTGGTGCTGTCGTTCTGTCCTTGCAGACACTAGCGCTGCCAGACCGGTTTGACAAGTAAGAGCAACCACTCTGCTTTGTCTGCATGTTCCGGATTGGAGACGTACCGGTGGTGGCAGTTGCAACAGTGCATGCAAACAAGAGCAACAGAATCACTGTGGTCTTGTGCCTGTGAGTGGAAACTATGCATGCTTCGTCCATGGATCCAGTCATAGTGAGACAGTTTGAGTGTAGGACTGTGTAGGTGACACCTAGCCTACACAGCCTGTCTGTCTGTCAGAGCCTTTCTCTCCTTAGTTGGAGTGCGGTGCATTGAACATCTCTCTGCATGTCGATAATATCAACTCGCAGAGTATTCAATCCTGACACTCCTATGAACCGTTGAAGGTTGTTCTATCCTCAGCAATACGCCATGGCCAGCCTCCAGCTGCGACAAATCCTACTCCCACGTGTGCCAGGTTGACTGCATGCTGCATACAACGCACAGTCCAGACCCCTAGCCCTGCGTCTGGATTCGTGCCGTCTTGGGTAAGGACTTGTCGCTGCCTTCAAGAATCGCAGAGGTTTCACGTGTCCCGCGGGCGAGACATACTGTCCATCGATATCATTGACGCTGGTAACCCGAAGCAAGTCTTGCTCATCTAGCCTAGGATCTAGGACTGAGTTGGCACCTAGTAGTAGTAGATCTACCTAGCATCTGTGTGATGTGAGGGCAGAGGAGGAGTCCCTAGCCTGGCCTAAGCCTACTGCATGCTGGCCCTAGACCCTTTGTATGTGTCCGATGCAACTGCATTGTCGTCACTGACTCACGGCGCGCGGCAGAGTCACAGTACAGTACAATCGTCATGTAGACCGTGCACTGCAAGCAACTCGGCCATTTTGTAACCAACACTATTACACGAGTCTATGCCCATGTATATGTATGCGTGATGTCCGTACTGGCACTCACGCACACGAACACCTGTTTATTCGGATTTCACAAGAAACAAGGCTTTTGCAAGTCAGCCTTGAAAGCGACCTTGTCGTGAGGCAGGCCAGAAAGGGTTGAGGCTGCGCGTCTTTCTCCCATCGTCAGTGTTGGCCTCCTAGGCTCCTAGGCGCAATAACGCGGTCAACTATTGCAGTAACCAGGTACTGGTAGCGCCATGGGGAGACCGGCAGTGGGTAGCACAGCCGGTGCTGGAGTAATGGACTACCGAGAGCCAACGGCCACCTTCCACACTCCTCCCGTGTTGTCGCCGCGCCAAGATACCATCTGGCAGCGCTTCAAGCGTTTCATTCTGCGAGGCGGAGGAAGGGTGCAGCCAACACGCCGCCGAGCGATATCGCGCAGGCAACAGAGAGCAGAAGCTATCGCCGCTGCTGGTTCGAAACAATCCGAATGGTTGCCACCAAGGCGAAGCGTTCAAACAGCACCCGCCGGTGGGCTTCCTGCTGGCCCCAGCTTGGGACATCGCCTGCGGAAAAGCGTGAGTAGGTCAAGCTTGGACGGAGTTTCACCGACAGTGCGCGAGGAGTTGGAGAATAGATGGCCGAAAGTAGCCGGAGTGAAGCCGATGGGCTCTCTGGCTGAGTCAAGGAACATTCCCCTGTCCACGTCGGACACATTCTTAGCTATGACCATGGGATCAGGACAAGCATCCGACTATGACTCAGTAGACGGAAGAGCGGAGAGTGAAGCGCCGCCGAACGAAGGTCGTCCCTATGCCTGGATGGATGCGCCTGTGGAGGGGTTCGACAATTTTATGATGTACTGAACCTGTGGCCCCTTGTGTGGGTGGCGTCTCTGCTGCAGTACGATGCCGCACAGTTCTAGTAACTTCTGAGTGTGCTGCGTTGAATTATCACTTGAAGCGTACAGCCTTGCCGGGGCAGGTATGGTATGTCTGATTGTCAGTTTGAACCATCTCCAGGGTTGACCCTGGATGCAAGGGTTTGTACGGACGAAAATGGCCCCTGATCCTATCCTAAGCTATTGCATAAGATACTGATATCAGTCTAGCTAAAGAAGCGTGCACACGACCTTCTCCATCAATGCATCTAAAACTAAGCGCTCACACTTGATTGGCCAGTGTATGGGATACGCCGCCTTGTACTAAGGCTATGTTATGCTTGCTGGTCAGATACATGCGATACTACAGTGCTGGCAACTGAAATCCAACCCCTGAGCGGTGCGGTGCGCTCACATTGCAAAGACCCAACACGGGATAGTAAAACTAGGAAATAGAGACCGCTAGAATGTGAACGCATCGCTCAGCCGGGTCGGATTTCAGTTGCCAGCACTGTAAAAGTAGTAGTAGTGGTATTCGGCCAACTGCCACCTACCTCGGCGGCGTGACTGCCACCTCGTACAACCATGTACTTTGTTCAGGAAAGGATTGAACATTGAGACTCGTAATGTGTTCTCGATCCCCTTCTCCTTCACCTACCTAGTACCTGCGCCTGCCATACTGCACTGTATGGAGAGCGTGCTACACCTTGACTGTCCTTGAGAGAATTGCCACATGATGCACGAAAGCAAGCGCTGCATCAGCAGCACCCCAGTGCACACAGTATTTCTAGGTGATTGCGATTGCCATAACCACTGCTAGCTAGCTCCTCAACGCTGACTGCTCTCGCAAGAATTCATACTCATAGCGCATGGGCCTTACTAGCGCAGAGATTTTGATTGCCATGCCGCCTGCATGCCATGTTGCTGCTGCTGTTGCCACTGGCCTCTTACTAGCTATACAAACTTGATTTTTCTCAGGTGCATCCTACATGGTTTTTCTGCTGCTGTAAATTATAACGCCATTGGTGTGATTAGTACTATGCCCTCAGACTGTTGAGCCTGTGCTCATGATGCATGCGAGTGGGGTGTGCACATCTCCTGGATCTGCAACTGTAATAATTTTAAATGCCTGGATGGGCATATTACAAGAATAGCAGACTCCAGCTTGCCAGTCCGCGGTACACATGCTGAACCTGAGAAGTGTAATGTTGAAGTAGTGCCCATGTACTAGTACAATCATACAATTGTTAGATTGACAGCATGAAACAAGGTGGAGGACACTGTGTTCGGAAACAGTGACCTTACTACAGGTCCTCCCTCATTATAACGAGTCCGGTTAGTACATAAACCCCGTTAGTAAATAGAAATCTGAAATCCCCTGGCAAAACGTGGTCTATACAACTGTTTACAGGTCCGGTTACAACATAATCTGTTAGTACATAAAATCCGTTATAACGACCCTTTGCCCAGGTCCCTGGAGTGCCAAACCCTCAGTATAAGATAATATTAACCATGCAGGACCAAGGCCAAAACATGTAGGATAAAGCAGAACGAGGAAATGTATGATGTCTATGTATTCGTGAATATGGACGATCCTTTGCATCCAAGGAAGAGTTATGGTGGAGTTGAAGCATCGATGATTTATGTTGTATCGAGGGTAGCCCCGGTAAGTACGAAGTGGTGCCTATTTCACCTTTAGCTGCAAGTCCTGCTACAAGATAAGTCTCGTTATAAGATAACTTTTTCGATGGCCCAGAGATTATCTACTAACGAGGGAGGACCTGTACAACCTTCCGCGGTTGGCAGAGCCCCGGTCCCTGCGGACCAACCGCGGAAGGTTGTAGTAACGTCACTGTTTCCGAACACAGTGTCCTCCACCTTGTTTCATGCTGTCAATCTAACAATTGCGTGAACTATAACAAGGTTTATCTAATACTGGTTTTTAACCAGTGTTAGGTTACATTATACGAGTACAATCATATACATGTACAGAGCTGGCAACTGAAATCCGACCCCCTGGCTGGTGCGCCGCCCAGGGGGTCGGATTTCAGTTGCCAGCACTGTATGCCATGTAGAGTTCTAATAGGTGAAGTCTGGACCTGTTTGCGTTTTCAGAGCCGTACATCCAAATTGTATGCTATGTATGCGCTATTGAAAGGCAAGTATTCTCGCAAGGCTGCACTTGCAAAAGAAGATTGTTTGTCTCGGGCCAGATCAGAGGGCACAGGATTTCATTGCATTAACAATATCATTCCGAGGAGTAGGCAATGATGTAGAATTTTGTTGTGATAAGCTGTTCCCATCCACCAGGTGTGCCAATTCGTGTGCACACACATTCTACCCTTTCATTTGAAGAAATGCGGGTTTTTGTTCTCTTCCACAATCGAAAAAAAAAAAGGTCCAGTTTACAAGGGCATACTTTTTTCTATGTGAGTACCTCCATGCTTGTGCTCAGCAGCTGTGTAATAATACTGACATACCGACATGGCATTTGCGAATGAAACTATAGTAGAGTTATGCTGTGTGCTGGAATCATTTTTTTGCTGAATCTCATAGTTAAATGCATCACGTGAGAGGAATATTTTCGTTCAACTTCCAGCGTCAATACTGTACAAAAAAATGCCTTGCCAGTGTTCGTAACGTAGTGTTTTCTGCTACAGTGAACAATCACCGATACCGGCATTCACTAGTAAAATAATGACTCTGTACATTCACTCTGTAAATGTACTGGCTACAGGACGTACGTACTAGTGTGTTGCCCCAGAGATCCCAGCATGGCTTGTCACGAAAACTGCATCAGCACGCACTCCACAGCAGGCTCAACATTAGTGCACGGAATGGAAGTGTTGATCAGTTGTGCAAAATAGAATAAGAATTTGTTATGTGCATTTGAGCGAGAAGGAAAAACAACGGAAATCGGAAACTCAGGCATGCTATTGTCACCTAAAGCCACACATGTACAGCGGAAACAATCACTGGCGTGTGATGTGAGTGAACCACTCGCTCACTGCAGGGAATGATAATACATGTATGTACATGCCAACACATAGCGAACAGGGGTGAAGCAGAGCACAGAGCACACTCAGCTACACAAGCCCGGTTACACTGCCCTGGCCAGACACAGCCAGTAGAGCTGACAAGACAGGACATAGGTACAGCCTGGTGGTTGCCAAGCAGGTGTGCGGAGTGCGCCGAGCAACACCGGCGAGTACAGAAACAAATAAAACGAAATGGCGTTGAAATGAGCAAGACCGATCCGAGGATGCTGGCCTAGGTATCCCAGTACCCGGTGTGCACTACCATACAATTGAGGTATCCCAGTGCCCGGTGTGCACTACCATACAATTGAGGGATCACGCATATGACAATGGTTACAGCACGCCACACTGACTCCACACAAACAATATGCTCGCTGTGCAGTGCTAACACGGGCCCACATGGGCAGTGATGGAAGAAAGTGAGCCGAGTGACCAGGCAACAGCATACACAATACCAAGTCAAGTGGAACGAAAGCAACGAGAGCAGGCCTTGCCAGGAACACTGACGAAGGCAATTACTTCATCAGGAAACTGTAGCAAACAACAACAGAATGGAGAAGTGCACCGTTGAACAAGATCAAAGTTAAAAGCTCAAGCAAAACATGATGCCCCAAAAACACCTTTGATCGGAGTTGAGCAGCTGAATAATGCATGCAAATCTCAGTTTACTTGAGCCAACTAACCAAATCCACTATAACCGGCGCAAACACAGAGTGAAATTCATGCACGGGTACAAAGCTACAAATCTATACAGTACATGCAAGAGGGCAGCAGAAATAGCAGCAGCAGACGGAGCAGCAGCAGCAGCAGTGGCGGCGGCAACAGCGGCATATTTACAACATCCACACACTGTGTGTTTGACCATTATTACACAGTGTGAGCTCAACTACACTAAAGCCATAGCCCGAAATGGAGAGGAACAAATTGCCAGATTGACAAGAAAACCAATAAAACAGTTGATTTCAGTCAAAACTTACTAGTACGGATATCCGCGGTTCTTCATTCTCATGGTGGATAGTAGCCAGGAAAAGACAAATCCGACGAGAGCAACACCAGCGATAATCATTGCTGTAAGCAAGAAAGACAAGAGCAACGAACACAGTGCACGCCTGGTGATTCAAGGGTCACATTAATATACCCACACACGGTTACACACTACACCGAAACTGGAGACAATGCTGTCATCAAGACATGACAAGCCAATGCTGAGACTACTCCACAGACGTCAAGACAACAACTACAATAGTTTGAAGCACTCTAAACGATGGCAGAACTTACTGCTCTGTGCATTCGGGCTGAACTTCATTGCAGCAGGACCTTGCTCAGAGAGCAGAATCCAGCCGAGGCCACCAAGGCCATCTGAGAAGAGCAGTACCGGTCAAGGAAGCCATCAGCAGCAGTAGACACACTCATCGATGGGGTACAGTACCAGAACTGCATGACAACTGGGTCAGAATGCCAGTCAACTAATAAATCACAGCAAGAATACTATACTGCAGCCTCACAGCATTGGAAGATAACAGCAAGAATACCAGCATGTATCATCACGGCATTGGAAACTGGAGCCATGCAGCACTATAGACATCATTCACAGTATCTGAGGATGGAAAAGAGAGCAACTGCCCGGCAAGAACTGGATTGGACTAGACCTGGACAATGCAGAACAAACTGTGTGAAGAAAAAAACAAAACAATAAGTGCTGTAGACGAAGTGGAGGATACACATCGCCATGATGATGTAGGACTCTGCGATGAACTGGAATTGACTGTTGCCAGAGATGTAGGCCTGCGGACAGGATGCACGCAAGAAAAAGGAACATCAAAACATTGCAAAAAAATCCACCGTAGGGAGAGCCAATGACAATACTATGGATAAGTGTGTACCAATGTCCAATGCACAAGCTATCGAGCTCAGTATGCGACTGCTGGCTACAGGCTAGAGGACAATGTAACTGTAGACTGAACTGTGAGGTAAACCAGTTGCATTGCTAACAAAGCCTAACACCAGTGTTCACCAGTATAAGCATAACTTACACACACACACACACACACACACACACACACACACACACACACACACACACACACACACACACACACACACACACACACACACACACACACACACACACACACACACACACACACACACACACACACACACACACACACACACACACACACACACACACACACACACACACACACACACACACACACACACACACACACACACACACACACACACACACACACACACACACACACACATACCACTTTGCCAGTGTTCGGGTCGGTTTGAGCCATTGGAGCACCACGAATCTGATTCCACATTTGACCCGACAGCATCATCAGGATGACAAACTGAAGATCAAAATAGAAAACACAGATTGCTTGTACTACAATGTTATATCTCTTAATTTGCTGGCCGAAAATCCTATATGTAGGATTTGAAAATAAGTGCCTTTTATGCCGTTGTTATTGGTCATCCCGACCAATAATAACGACATACTGGTTTTCATGGAAGTTGTAAATACTTGAAGTATGTTTGAGGCATGAATGTTTACATTTTAGATTCATAGGGTGATAATATTTCTTATGAATACCCACTTTCAGCAATAATTGGAAATTTGAGCATAATTGTTCAGCTGCTGTCATGGAAAGGACTGAAGCAGTGAATGTGCAGAAGAACATTGCAGGTGTGGCACGGGGTGGTTTCATGACGACATATCGCACATGCCGTCATGAAACTACCAGTTTTAAGGATAAAACAAGGTCCAATAAAATCTCAAATCCTATATATAAGTAAAGTAAAGTAAAGTTTGCACGTCCGCGTTACCACCGGCTATACAATTGCGTTGAGAAACACAACCAGCTTAGGAAGTTTCGCATAGGAATCGAAAAATAGGGCACAAGCCTAAGTAATATTGGGCAAGGAGATGAGCCTGAGATGTTAGTGTTTGAAAAAATTATCTTATTCAACTCTCGATATCTACTAAGACCTAGCAAGGAAGAATTGGTCACATACTTTTTGCTTTTCTCATGCCACACCCATTTTGAGTTGAAAAATATGACCAAAATCCTATATATAGGATTTAGCAAATTAAGAGATAGCAGCAGCAGCAATGTGATCTCCCTGTTAAACATGGGGAGAGGAGAGGAGAGAGAGAGAGAGAGAGAGAGAGAGAGAGAGAGAGAGAATCAGGAGTACTGGAAAGATTACACAAGCATAAGTTACATGTGTGGATGCACATATGCACGCACACACAAACGCAAATGCAGTCCCACATAGGCCTCACAGACAACACTTCAAAAGCACATCCCACCGGATAAAGGTGCATTACTGGCAATTTACTGCCCACCGGATCAATGCAGAGGCATGATTCGTACAGTTGGACATGTACATACATGTGCACGATTCCTAGCATTCCCTACTGCCACTGCACTACACCACACTGCAAACAAAGCAGAGCAGTGTTCGCCACAGACCGCAGCATACAGATCCGTGTGAGCAAGAGTACATAAACCAGAGTGTGCAACTCGGGATGGTTCCTGTGGGAGCGTAATTCGTGCACTACGTCATTTCTGACGGCATGGTAAGCCACAGGTACGGTGAAAAGTTGCGTAACCAGTCGCGGTGGTGCAGGTCAGTGAGTTTGTCCTGATTTCGGTTTTTGATACGGATAGCCTGGTGACTTTACTTGTCGGTGGATGTACGCAGCGTACACAGTCACACAAGACACCGAAATCCTGAAACAGGACGTCTAAAATCAAGCAAACTTGGCTGATTTCCGGGCTATGAAACATGAAAATTTGAGCTGTACGCAAGTCGCGGCTTGGCTGACCTCATCAGGATGACGTAGTGCACGAACTGCGCTGTTTCAGATCTGATATGCACAGTTGCACACTCTGGTTTATGTACTCTTGGTGTGAGTGACACACCATGAGAAACTGCATTCGGCTGCCTTACCAAGGACAGCACAGCACAGTTGTGACGGCTGATCAGCTGCTCCACAGCCTTGCGCTTGAAGTAGATAATGGCCAGAACAGCAACCACACCGACAGTTCCACCGATCAGCATCATGTAGTTCGGCGGACGCGCAACCTTGAACTGCACACCCATACACATGAGCATATGCACACGGTCATACAGACAGACAGACAGACAGACAGACACACACACAGGCATACACGGTCATACATACAGGCACAGGCACACACATACACACAGGCATGCACACACACAGACACACACATACACAAGTTCAGGGTTAATATTATGTCGGCAGCATCAAGAAAGTGGTAAGATACGACAAGAACATGATCAACAGCAGTATGAAAGTACCGGTAAGTTGCACTTTGAAAGAAAGAAAATAATACAACCTGTATACTTACATGAACATCAGTGCGCTCTTCGACCCACTTGGCAAGAGACTCAGCCGAGAACCCAAACCTAGCAAAAGAAAAAAGAGCGAGAAAAACAGTACACTGCAAATTCAAGTTTGCCACTTCAACCATGACTCTCTTCTTGGAAAACGCCAGCCGAATCCCACAAGGCATGTGGTGTCTGAGAGTGAGATTCATACAAACAGCATCTTTCCCCACAGACTGTGTGGCTGTGTACATGTAGTAGTAGTTAGAGTACCCACCTGCCCATGTCATACTGATCCAGGCGATTCTTCTTGCCACCCTTTGCTGGGAAATGATAGAAAACTGGAACAGTTTTCAATTGGAGCTGCAAGCAAACAGGAAAAAGATAAGAAGAACAAATCACTGGAGTTAGAAGTGAGCTGACCAAAGGCCCCTATGCTCAAGAACTGCTAATTGAATTTCAGAGTGAATGGTGAAACCAGCTTGCATCTTCAGTCAGGACAGGTACCATTGGCAGCCCCACGAAAACGGGCAATCATACACTTAAACAGAAAGCAAGCAGTAGCAAGATTACTGCGAATGCTGTTCTAAGAACAAAGCATCATCCACGCTACTCAAGCAACAGTTTCTCCACACGAACATCAGAAGGATGAGAGGGCTGTGGATTATGCTACTTCAAGGAATGGATGGGCGGACAGAAGTCGACCGAATAGCACAAAGAATACTTGTGCAGTCAACAGATACAACATTTACACTACGTCCTGAAGTATCAACAACACAAATAATAGTAGAAGTGACTAATACATGTCTGTTACGAATCATCATTGACATTACGGAAAGATAACCTACCGTTTGGAACACGCCTTGAGCTGAATCAAAGTCAGCCATGGCGAAAAACAGCCGGTTGGAAGCAGCATCGGAGCCGCTGTAGGAGCTGGCAACAGCATAGAATTCATCTGATGCTTGCCTGGGCAGTGGGACACATACGCATACAACCACAAATTCAAGGAACAAGGAATATGTTTCAGGAGCAGCGATGGGCAAATCAAATGAGTCCCTCGATGGACTGTGGAATACTCTGTGTGTGTGTGTGTGTGTGTGTGTGTGTGTGTGTGTGTGTGTGTATGTGTGTGTGTGCATGTGTGTGCGTGTCTGTGCCAACCTGTCGGAGGGCTACCCTCTTGCCAAAGCATTTGAAAGTTGGACTAGTTTCGGCTCCACAATCCAGTGTGTCGTTACTATATACAGTCAAACCTCAACTATTCGACGCATATTTATTTTCGGCTATTTTCGGCCTGGTCATATTTGGCCGTAAATTTGTTGCGGGCGAAAGTTTGTTCTCCAAGGTTCATTGTGACAGTGTATACATGTATACAGGCGGCAGCAGTACAGGCCGAAAATTTGATGCGGCCGAAAATTGAATGGGCGGAAATTTTGTCGACTTACAGTATGCAGATCATATGGATTGTATTTTACGTGGAGGTGCATGCTGTGGCGAATGTAAAACATTTTTTCATAACACAACCCAGCAACAGGTAAGTACAATGTGCAATGAATTCATGACAGCATGTCCTCCGCCTTGCAACACGTTTTGTAAAAAAGGTTCTGTTCCCTGCCCCCCCCCCCCCCCAACTATTTTTACCTAGGACCCTGGACAGGGTATACCGGTATTGCATCCTAACTGTACTTGGAATAACATGGAAAAACCTGCGTTGTGACGTGGAACACAGTGCATAGCTTGTATTAAACCATTAAAACCATTGATACATCATCTAGACAGACGTACTTGCAAATACTGCAGCGATGCTGAGCTCCAAGAGCAGTGGCCATCATAATGACCGAGTAGTTCCTGGGCTGGGTACGGAGATACTCCTTAAACTGGTCATTGTTCAGCTTAATAACAGGTCGCCGATCTGCCCATTTGCTCATCTGACTAACTTTTTCGGCCAAGATCTGTGAGTCAAGGAAAATATTGATAAAAATAATAAATTTTCAATTACGAATAAAACTCAATTGCTGTGATTACCACGACCAAACTTGCATTACCTCCGGTCGGGTCTTCTTGGCGGACAGTGCATAGCATCCATGAGCCACCAAGGCTAAAACTAGCAGTGTACTAAGATTCGCCATAACTAAAATGTAAAGTGAGCCTAAATTTCTTCCATAAGTATGCTCAGGATGGCAACAGCCTGGATCGACGCTGCTGGATCATGCAACTCGGCTCAAAGCAAGCTCGATGACACCTCAGCATTGAGAATAAATTTTGCGGGGAAATCCACGGAAAACCGAAATCAAGTGCGTCATTTTTTCATCATGTCTGTTCATGTTCTGTTTAGTTTTTTTTGATTTGGCGAGAAGTAGAAAAGTGAAGTATCCCCTGTATCCTGATATTCCGTTTCGGAGTGAATTGGGGTGTGCTTGCTTTTCTTTCATTACTCTCCTCTGCTTTTTGATTGCAATAGTTCGTCCTACACCGGACGCCTTTGTTGCAGTTGTAACTTCAGGGTTGATAATCGCTCTTGTAGTGTTTCAGCTGCTGAGTTCTGCGGGTGATTGAATTGTGCATTTCACTTTTCTGTACTTCAACTTTTGTTATTGACCTCGGACCGGGAGACCTGGAGGCGAGATGTCGGGCGCTCCGTTTCGAGTTGAGTTAGGAGACATCACTCCTCACAATATCAAGCAGTTGAAGAAGCTGAACAGCGTAATATTTCCCGTCTTCTATAATGATAAATTCTACCGGAATGTCCTTGAGCAAGGAGAATTCTCAAAGCTTGCTTATTTCAATGACGTAGTGGTTGGTGCAGTCTGCTGTCGACTGGAGAACTGTCCGAACGGTCCAGGCAAGCAGGTCTATATCATGACACTTGGATGCCTAGCTCCTTATCGCAGACTTGGAACTGGAACTCTGCTCTTGGAGCACATCTTCAAAATCTGTCGGCAGAGAAAAGACGTCGATAGTATCTGCTTGCATGTGCAAATCAACAACGAGGAAGCCATAGCATTTTATCAAAAGTTTGGATTCGAAATTACGGAAACAGAGGAGGCATATTACAAACGCATTGAGCCGGCATCAGCATACGTCCTTCGGAGAGACACCACAGGCCTGTAAGCCGGATATCATCCATTCTGCCGTACGTTGAGACTTGTTTCCCCCGGTCGATGTTTACTTGCTTTCCTACACCATCCATTGCCTTTGAGTTTATGCGTGGGCATGTGTGCGTGGTGCAATGGGTATTTGCCACTTGTCTAGTTTGGATCCCATCATATTCTTTTAGGTTTTTTTAAATACTTTATATATATAGAAACATGCATAGTTCTATTGAAGTGCAGATACAGGTGAGCAGAAAGGTGCATTGCTTGAGGCTGGCCTGAGTTTTCCAAGATGTACAACTCTGTTACTGTAGTTATTTGTAGTCTCTCTTTGTTTTGTACTCCGCGTAGCTCGTCCCGGTATTACTATGTGCGCAAATTCCGCTGCTTTTTTTCTCTAGTTTTGTTCCAGTCAGTTGTCGTGCTCGGTGAGATAATACGTTGCAGCAAACTCCCTGTGCGTGTTTCCACTCGGCTGCTGGGTTTGCTTGCGCTGTTTAGACTCTTTACTGTTATCACTGGCATCTCTCTCCCCCCGGACGTCTCTCGCGAACCGTGAACTGTTTTTCTAAAGCCTCTCCATATTCCTCATTTTGTTCTGGTAATACTGTTGAAGTCATCTGGGAAATTGAGCCAACCCAGATTCACTGGGTTATGTGGTTGGTAGTTGGTGTTAGGGTCACGGCACACTTGCTTAGCGCCCTCTAGCTGCTATCTTCCTTGTTGCCACTCACTTTTTTGAACAGTAATTTCTCAAACCTGAATAGCACTGTGTCTACGCTACTGGCTTCGTGTACTACTTCGGCAAGCTAAAAAAAAAGCTACGGGATGACATGATTGACAGAAGTGAGTACATGTACCTACAAAAGACACTGCACAACACTGGCTGTGCACAGACTCTACATGCTAGTGTAGGTATTTGAATAGAATCATGTACATGCACATGGTGCAGTGGTGGTACGTAATATGGGTATTGTGTCATGTCTTTGTGTGTATTCTAGTCCCACTTCTGACACCATGCTGTGATTTCGAACTTGTCAGTCACTGAACTGATTTTATTGTAAAGAAGACACAAACGTATGGTGTGTGAAGAAGAGCATAAATAGTGGGATGGAGAGCTCCTGGATAGCTGGATAGGGTATCAACAAGAGGCTGATCATGGTCAGGTCAGGTGATGCAGCTCCTGCAGCTTTGTAAAACTCATCATTTTTATGTTTGTAGGATCCTGCATGGTAACCTCCATGGTGGGTTATGAAGTCTTGATTATGGATATGCCATAAACATGATAAATGGATTATGGCAAATCAGTAGTTACTTGCCGGGCTAACTCATCGGTCACTGCTCTGTGCACCCGAGGTGCATCCCCGGCAATAACCAGGGCATCCCGGCCTAGCGCCTGGCATGGCACTCGTACTCGTACTCGCAGTCTCGCACTCACGTCACTCGCACTGATGTCGTCACGTGCTGTAGATCTACATTTTAAAATTTTTTTGTAGCATACCGGTACATATGTGGAGGCTCAATCATGCATGAGTACGAGTCAATGCCGGTTGCAACCGGTTGCCACCCGGCCTACCCGGCATATACTCAATGATACACTCAATGATGCAATAATTTTCTCAACAAACTGCTTTTCTTCCTTGAATCAGCTCAAATGAAAATAGTAAATTCTATTTTGCTACAACAGTACGCGTACATGTATGTTTCTTTAGCGCTTGGAAGTCGAAGTTTATGTTGCCTTCGCAGCTGATTTGTGCAGCGTTATTTCTAGCCTGGTGCTCTGGCTTTTTCTTGAGCTATCATCCACCATGCCAAGGACAGACAATGATTTCTTGATCCTCTATGGGTCACAAACAGGCCAAGCCAAAGCCATTGCTGAAGAAATTCACAACAACAGCGAATCTCAGGGACTAAGCTCGCGGATTTTCTGCCTTAGCCAAACAGACAAAAAGGTGAGTTCAATGATCGTTTTACCTCTGGCAGTATTTCTATTTGAAACACTTTTCCGAAGCACCGCGTTAGGGATCGTCTATACTATAGACTAGAAGTTGTCATTGTGTGTGCCTGCGGTGCTGTGGTCTCCCTGCACGTTTCTAAAAGCCTCTTCATACATGTAGCATCAGCTGTATAATACTCTGTATGGTATGAATGTACATGTACTGGGATGATGTACGTGATCATTGATTGATCTGCTTGTCTGTCCCACATTTGTGGATGTGAATGGGAAGTTACCTTAGTCTAAAGAAGATTAAACTTGCGTCCGCTGAGTGGGAGTGGGAAATGGGGGTATCTATCTGATCTGAGAGTAGTTGTTCAGCTGAGCCTCTCCTTTGTAGATCTATCAACACCAAGGGCTGCCCATATATAAACCGAAAGGCCGCACCTTGGAAACACACAATGACAGTATGAGCGGCCAGTAACTCTCATTTCTCATGATCGGATCGATATCGTTTTCAAGAACACGTGCACAAAATGGGAGATAGGAGTCGAGGATTGTGGCCGTATACTGTGCTGGGTGGAAAGCAAAAAAACTTCACGGCCCGTCAAGTGTGGGGTGCTGAGTTGAATGGTCTCGATCCGATGTGGCGGCAGTGGATTATTCACCAGGTATTGTCAGTCAAAATTGCGCATGCATACGCTAGACTCGCGCGATGACGTTTGATGGCAAATCAGGGTATCCCAATGTTCAATGATGTATTCGTTTGCATAGATATGAAGGAATATTCTAGAATACCGACACCAGAAAGAATATTCGAATGCAGGCAGTAACATTTGAATTATTATAAAATTATTACTTCAAAATCCGTGCACCATTCCTGTATTATGCAGCTCCAGTCATGATATCCTCCGTACTATTGAGGATGAGAGTGAAGAAATTATGTTCCGAGAACTGTGAAGCTTGTTCTTTGGTCAAATTTTCTCTTTCACCAGTGAATATTTACTATGCACGTGATCAGTAGACATCATTACTGTTGGGTCTGATTGAGTGAAATGACTGAGCCACATCAGAAGAACGTAGAGTATTCGTTTGTTCGCCAAAGCAACATTCGAGGGAATATTCGTTCAAAGAAAACACCATTTGTCGCATCACTGTTAACCCTTTATTACCGGCCTGCAGACTTTCGATCATATATGATCGAAAGTCTGCAGGCCGGTAATATCTTCGTAACTCCATCATTACTTGTGCGAATTCAACAATCGAAAGGTCTATTTGGTAGCGGAAACTCCAAGCTTTCCAATGCAACAATCGCCGAAGAGTTACGATGTCGGACACCAGAGATATCGTGCGCCGTATTCTCACCTCGGCAAATTCAAATTTTTGATCGATCACTTCGCCATTTTTTGGGAAAATCCCTTTTCGTGTGCTCTTTGAGCGACTAAGCACAAGATAATGACGTAGTCAGCTGAAGTTTGAATCGTCTCAAACAAATCTGAGCGTTCTACGATGAAGGAGAGTGGAATAGTGTTGATGAGACGAATTTGCTTGCATATCAGGCTTGGAGACGACTTTGCTGTGTTACCGCGCCTGATTTGTGGCGACTGGATAATGGAGCTTGGTACCCTGGCGTTGCTCTTGCCAAGAGCTTTCCAACGAGCCCTAGATTGTGAAAATCAAGAGGAGACCAAAGTTATGACCTGGAGAAGTTGGAAATTGTGCTGAAATTCGTAATCCTGGTGTATGCTGTGCAAGTAATCCGGTAAATAAAGGGTTAATAAATTAAAAATAAGACTTTTGTCACCAAGTTTCCTAAATTTCGTATACTTCGAAATATGTAAGGTAGCTGGTGCAGGTGTGAGATTGATGTATGAAACTGGGGACATGTCTTGTCTTTAGATCCACTACAATGCCCTGTTGATGAACTACCAGTACTTACATGACAACGTACACAAGTACTGAGATACAGCTTACATTCCCGGTGTTGTGTCCCCCTCCCCCTGAATAGTTTGCCGTTGACCGGGAACAGCTGGTGGTGTTTGTCTGTTCGACAACCGGCGATGGAGATCCTCCGGACACAGTGATGAAGTTCTGGCGGCGAGTGAAGAAGAAGACTCTGCCCAGTGACCAGCTAGCATCTCTGAGGTTCACTGTTCTTGGTAAGCAGCTGTTGGAACGTGTTTTACTCGCTGCATGTTTCCTGCCAGGTGCAATCGACTTGCGATAAGTGACATAAGTCACATCATTTTTCTTGTATGAACTTACGATAGGCTGTTGTGATCAGGACGACGACGACCTATGTCTATGAATGCTGTGTTCGTAGTGTCATGCAATCTTTTGCCTCCTGGACTGAATGTGTGATGTGCTGTGAGTACACTTAGTACTGTAGGGAAAACTGTGCCCACCAGTCCACTCTGCTTGCAGCAGTAAGCTCAAAATCCACTGGACACAAAGGAATTCACATACAGTCTGTATCGGCTATAGCGTACCCTTTTGATTTCCGTGATTTTATCACTATAACCGATGCATCACTCTATGCGATACGATCGATTTTTTTCGATCGACACATGAAAGGCAAGGAAATACTTCCAGCATGGCGTTTTGACAAATGAGCATGCTGCATAGTTGACAGTGCCAGCATTTCCATAAAAAAATTCTGTTATGTACGTACATGTATCACTATAAAAATAAGCAATGTGAAGAAAGTAAAAAAATAGGGCCTTTGATATTATTGCTACATGTATTTTAAAGTTATCACTATAGCCGATAATAATATAGTGTGTTATGTATGTTTTGATTCATTGTTGCCATCATAATATCCGATAAATCATTACGTCCGATAATATTGGTTATAGTGATATTTTTACTGGATAAAATACGCTTTGCTTTTGATATTTCGTACCAATATCACTGTAGCCGATATATTCTTATATCCGGTCACTCTATAGCCGATACAGACTGTAATACTATTCAATTCATGGGCAAGTTCGCACTTTTTGCCGCCGACGTGACTTGACAGTGGACTATTGACTTTACTTGACTTGACTATTTCGTTTTGTATGCTGCATACAAAATGTTGGAGAAAAAAAAACAGTACTGGAATTGTCGGGTAGAACTGACACTCTGTTTAAACAAATGTTTCTTGTGTGGACTGTTAGCTCTGGGTGACTCCAACTACGGCAACTTCTGTCGCATGGGCAAGCTGCTGGATTCGCGCTGTGCTGAGCTAGGAGCGGCTCACTTTTACCCGTCTGGCTTTGCGGATGATGGCATAGGGTGAGATCCGTTGAGCAGCTACATGCTTCTTGTGCTTCTGTTAGTATGTAGTTCTTCATGTGTGTATGGTGGCGTGTGCCATGGTCAGTGTTCAACATGTGCCATATGCCATTGTCTTCATGTCTTTATGCATGTGCAATATCTAAGTCACTGTTCAGTGCTGTTGCTGTCACTATGATTCATTGTCACTGTGCCTAGAGTGTGCTGTAGCCTGGGGTGGGCTTTAGTCATGTTGGCTTTGGACATAACCGATGCTGCTGATCCTGATAAGGACATTGTTTGTGTGTGGTGTATGTGGTCCTGTAGGCTAGAGGTTGTTGTAGATCCGTGGATCAGAGGACTATGGATCGCTCTGCGTGTTGAGCTTGGTCTACCTGAGCTGATTGACGGTTCAGCGGACACGCCTGAAGCAGCCGAGGGATCCGCTGCTGTTGCTGCTGCTCCACCTGCTGCTCCATCTGCTGCAGTAGTCAATGGACTGACGCAGGCTGCCAGTGATATGACCTTGCAGGAAAAGGTGGTTTCTGAATCGAACAGTGCTGGCATAGAGACGGCTGTGTCTGATGCTGCTGCTGCTGCTAGCGCTACTGCAGCTGTTGCCAGTCCCGTCACGGAGAGCGTCGTGACTAGCGACTCAGCAGCCAGTGCTGTAGGGAACGGTGTGCCAGCAGCAGTAGCTACAGGAAATGATGCAACTCGGAATGGTGCTGATGTCACTCAGAATGGCACCGGTGTAACTCAGAATGGCACCGGTGTAGCTCAGAATGGCACCGGTGTAGCTCAGAATGGTGCTGGTATGACTAAGAATGGTGCTGATCTCACCTACCTGCAGCGTGTGCTTCATCCCAGTCCAGCCCTGGATGGTGTTGGTAAGTTTTGTACTCATCCTTTCCTCTTGTCAAGACTATACCAAGAGTGTGCAACTCCTGTCTTGAGCTTTGATTTTTACCTGTCCGGCATTTCCACCTTGCAATGTGATCTCTGCCCAGCTAACGAGCAACGCACTAAGCTTACTTGTGGCTTTGTGTTCTCTTCTGTATTGTTTGTAGCCATTAGCCCACCAGCTTGCCCTGCACCATTCCTTGAGCTGAAGTGGCTTGAAGAGGTAAACTGCGCGGCTGCTTTTCTTGACGAATATTTGTGTTTGTGTGTGTCTTGTGTGTTTAACTTCTCATTCTTGGTACGTTCTAAGCCAGACCGACACTGCTGATTTACACTGAATGTCCCTTTAGAGAACCTGCATAAGAATAGCTGGGGATTTCCCTTACTGCTTCACCTGCACTGTCATGGAGGCCAATGCTGCTGCTGTTGCCTGTGCTTCCCTATCCGGCCACGCCAGCCGTAGATGATTTACGTGCATACAACCATATAGCTATCGTGCCCGGAGTGCGGATACAGTGTGTGTAGTGCGCATGGATTTGTCATGTGATGTGAAGTTCTGCCGTGGCAGATACAGTACCATGAACTATGTTGCATGTTTGGGATACTGCTGGGGGGGGTAGGCGGGGTATACATGTATACTCTGGATATTGTGCATTGCTGCGATTTGACCGTCTCCTTTTCGCCTGCTATTGTGTTTGATCGGATCGAATACAGGGCACCCCAGAGGAAGGATGCGGCAACATGCCATTCGCTGACTCGCCAATCTGCTCCATACCGGTTATATCTTCACGTTTGCTTACCAGAGATGGTGCTGTCAAAACAACATTTGAAGTAACTGCAGATTTGTCTGTAAGTCTCCAGTAGCTCCAGTTTTCCTGTCTCTATTTTCCAGTCTATGTTTACCAGTCCGCTTGCTTTCTAATGGTAATTACAGTCAGACCTCGCCTAACCGCACACATCCATTTTCCACAAATATATCCGGATAGGCGAGGGAACCGGATAATCGAACACCAGTTATGTTGGATGCATTACGTATGCTGTAAATCTGTAACCAGTTATTTTCTTCCGGATGGCGAGGGATCTGGATAAAAGAGGACCGGATAAGCGAGGTCTGACTGTACTCTCCTTCTGACTAGTTACCGTATCACTTGACCGCTCAGCGTCTTTCTTGACGAAGTGCTTGATGTTTTGTTGTTGTGTGTGTGTGTGTGTGCGTGCATGCATGCGTGCGTGCGTGCGTGTGTGTTTGTGTGTGCGTGCCTGTGTGTGTTTTTAGTAAAGGTGTGCTGTTGCAGCATGATGATTACACTGTAAAATAATATTATTGTGCATTGTATCTGCTTGTGTGCGTATGTGTGCACGTGTGTGCATATGTCTCCATGGACGTGGTGTTGTTGTTGTGTGTTTGCTAGGGCACGGAGCTCAAGTATGAGCCGGGTGACTCATTCAGTGTCATCTGTCAAAACTGTGACAAGGATGTGCAGACAGTGATAGACCGGTACGTGTGATTGTGTTTTGTACATACCGTATTTTCCGGAGTATACACCGCACTTTAAACACAAGTAATTCACCCCGAAAAATTGTGCGGCTTTACTTCAATGATCAAATTAACGGTGATAGATAGGATAGATATCTGTATTACAGGTACTGTAATTGAGACTACTTGTGCGCCTGGCTAAACTCCCAGCAATGTTATATAGCAATATTAGACACCCTTAGCAAAAAACGTTATGTTGTAACGGTATTATCGTAAGGGGGAAAATACCGTGATTTGGGTTCGACCTTTAGCAAGATGCACGCTATTTTTAGTACGCTGTTGCCACGAGAGTAGCTTTGATTTCGCGCGGTACAACCATTTTTGTCACCATATACGCGATACAAGGTGAAATGCGTACGGACTATGCAATATTTGGCCAAAACACGTACCGTTGGTCACAACGATAAATCAGCCCCCATAACGTTTATACGCTGCAGCTTCAACGCTATTTGGGTGATCAAGGTACGAGTACCGTAAAAAATAGCGTTACCGTTGTTTGCTAAGGGTGTCTAATGCCTCTTTACTAGTGCATACTTGGAGCTATGCAACCAGTGGCTGGTCTTTTTGCCTATTTACTTGAAGTACTTTTCTTGTACCTCTAATTTTGCATTGTCTTTAGCCTTGGCCTATCGGAGAAGCGGCGGCACTGTTGTCTGCAGGCGAATGTTAGGGCTGACACCAAGAAGAAAGGTACATCTATACGCTCGATACCAGTGCTTTGCTATGCTTTTGAAGTATGACTCTGAGCTGGATATGGCACCTTTCCCGGGGCCAGGCACCAGTGCATGCAATGCCTGCTTACTTGTGTTACACTGTGATGTATGTGTCTTGCCTTATCCACCTATGTTCTTGTACTGGTGCCGTGTTGGCATTTTCTTCTCTGTTTAATTTTTTGTACACTCGGAAACATAATTTTATCTGTGTGCTATGGTGTGTGTGTGTATATGTGTGTGTGTATGCGTGCGTGTGTGTGTGTGTGTGTGTGTGTGTGTGCGTGTGCTTCCAGCTGCAAGTGTGCCGGTGCATTGTACTGGCACTCGTACTGTGCAGCACCTCCTATCGCGATGCCTGGATATCCGAGCAGTGCCCAAAAAGGTAATTGTTGTACTTCGTTGTTTCAATGACGGTAAATATTGATACAAGGACAACATGCTTGCTGCACTTCGTTGCTTCGGTGATGATGGTGAATACTGATACAAGTATAACAAACGTGTTACTCTGAGTAGTATGATATCTTCGGAAGTTCCCATTGCTGTCTGACCTTGTGAGTATTGTTGTCTGTGTTTGTCTTCTCTTTGTCACATTGTAGCTATTTGTTCGCGCACTTGCAGAATTCACGAGTGAAAAAACAGAAAGACGGAGACTGCTTGAGCTGAGTAGCAGGGAAGGTAAATATGATCGTCATTAGAAGTTGCATTCTCACGGCTGCCACTTTTCTGTAGAGATACATCTGAAACGGGACTGGGGTGCATGGGCGTTCCCCGGCCAGGGGCCGAGGGGGGGGGGGGGTAAGAAGGCAGCACACCCTTCTGTGAATGACCAAGGTCCTGTAAAAATCGGCATGTTTCTGAAAAATCAGAACAAGTGGCAGCCCTGCCTTCTCTCTGGGAGCACTGTACAATGTGTCTGACCTTGATTAGTACACAGCTGGAAACGTCTCGCCGTCATATGTCAGTGCCATGCAGCAAAGGAAACAAGACAGCTGTGCTCAGGCCTAGTTCGTCGTCTGTGTATTTTCTTCTTCTTTTCAGCTTCATTGGTTGTGTGTGTTTGTGTGTACGTGTGTGTGTGTGTGTGTGTGTGTATGTATGTGCGTGTGTGTTTTTGTTACAGGAGCTAGTGAGTACCAGAGCTATGTACGCGAGGCTTGTCTCGGTCTGGTCGATTTTCTCAACGTGTTTTCCTCGTGCCGACCATCGCTAGAATGCTTACTGGGTAAGTGTTGTGCTGCATGTTTGGTCATCTGCGACGTTCAGACCGCCTAGCGGGGCGTGTGTGCATGTTTGGTCATCTCCAACGTTCAGACCGCCTAGCGGGGCGTGTGTGCATGTTTGGTCATCTCCAACGTTCAGACCGCCTAGCGGGGCGTGTGTGCATGTTTGGTCATCTCCAACGTTCAGACCGCCTAGCGGGGCGTGTGTGCATGTTTGGTCATCTCCAACGTTCAGACCGCCTAGCGGGGCGTGTGTGCATCACCATGTACACAGCAGTATGCATAGTTTCTTTGCAGTGACGTGCGCGTGTGTTAGTGCTCTGAATTCTAGACATGGTTCTTCAGTGGCGAGATGACGCTGGTCAACATGCCCCCGCACCTACTGTGTAGGAAGTACATGTAGTACATGTACTCGTAAGCAAAGCCTAAAACAAGCGTAATGAATTGTAGTGCATAACAAAAGAGAAAGACCAAGGAACTACAAGTGCATAACACCAAGAGTATATAATCCCCCCCCCCCCCCCCCAGGGTGTGCAACTCTGCATATTGGGTCTCTGACGGCGAAAACTCACATCACGTGTCTCAGGCAAGCTCATACTACGTACGAATGGAGGATAGCGTGCGCGCAATCCGATTATCTGCCATGATCATGCTGGGGATTTGCATACCCGCAGTGAGTTTCTGTCAGAGTGCTTTTTTATTACTCCGCTGCTCGCTAAAAACGGGCTGGAAACGTACAACTGCGACACTGCACCACGTGATGTGAGTTTTCGCCGTCGGCGTACCCAATAGAAAGGGTATCGGGAGTTGCACACTCTTGGGGGGTTATATACTCTTCATAACACCTATACCAAGAGTACATCCCCCCCCCAGACCAGCAGCCAAATTTGGAAAGTGGCTCCTATCACCAAGTCTGCTTCCTTTTTCTGCTGACAACCTGTTCTTGGCTCAGAACGTTCACATGGTCCAGCCGTCGGCCTTCAGGACTGGGTTGCTCCGGTTGACATTGCAGTGCTGATTTCCAGATTGCTGCCTGATAGGTGGAGCGACGCACATGCTGGAGAAGGGCATCCTGGGGGGGGGGGGGGAGTTGTCTTGGATCACGTGCCTTGTTGGGATCACGAAACAACTTGTACTGCAAGCCATTGACATCATCTTATGGTTTGGACGATCCATGGAGTGTACAAACAAACTGCTTGCAGCCGGTGAAAACAGAATCAGGCATTGTAAAGCTCTCTCCCAGAGCTGCCATTGCACTTTCGCGAGAAGCCGACGATTCCACCAGGTGTTTTGCTATCCCTGTTGAACGTTTGCTCAATGGTCTGATCAACAGGGACTTTCGCAAACGTTCGTGACGAGCGCGTTGCAGTGAAATCACCAGCCTTGAGGGCTTCTGAAGCAGCTGCGTTTGTTTCGGGCAATCGAATCATGTCACACCAGCACAGCGTCAGGTAGCGAGCATAATTCTGGTGGTGATATGCGAAGAACCACGGCAGGAGCTTCCGAACGCATGCCAGATGCAGATTCCAGTCTTTGGTGCGGGTTGCCCGGATGAATTGCAGCAACAGGCTAACCATTTCCAGGTACGATAGGCAGAAGGAAGCCATGGACTGCTTGCTGCCTTCCTGCTGGTTATCACTAGAGAAATCTGCCTTTAGTGCTGTGAATGCTGATGACTGTGTTATCGAACCCGCAGCATCATAAATGCCACGATCACGCAGAGCACAGATGGCGTCTTCAACGTGTTGGAGGTTGCCTCCATTCTCTGGTTGGGCCGCGTGGTTGCTTCTTTCAAACGCACTCCATCGACTGCGCCATAACGCGTCAAATGCCAGCTTGTGCAAGCGAATGGCTCGATTGTAGTGCTTGCCACTCATCGCAGCTTTACAAGCGCTCGGGCCGATGACACCGGCATCAAGGAGGAGGTCGCTCAGACCACTGTCGGCAAAGCGTTTCCCAATCACACCGAGGAATGAGCAGATGGTGTGGAAACTGCCCATGCGTAGCACAACTTCCGGTTAGACGTCTTTCTTCAGCGTCATCACCTGCACCGCCTTCGCATACACGGCTTGGTCACAAGTCAGGATGCAGTGTTGCTGGCCGTGGCTGCGTGCCATCAGCACACATCGCTGAATAACTTCTGCTATCACGGCAACATCTGTGGGTGGCTCTGGTATCAATGGCAGGTATGCGACACGGGTTACCTGCTGAACAAACGTTTAGTTAACAGCCACATTGAAGCCAGACCAGGACGGGACTTGCTGAACCTCGGTAGTGCTACGGCCGAAGCGTGACGCTGCCTGAGTGCTGCGCAACAACAGCCACACCACGTCCAAATCCTCTCCTGGGGGCTGGAGCAGGCTTTGAGCAGGGTCAGGTTGGTTGATGTACCGTCGCAAACTAGTGCACTCACCATCAAACCATAGGAATGAAAGAGCCAGAGGCTGTCCAGAACACAAGCAAATGTGAACTTGGCATCCATCGACTTAGAAGATGTGTAGTAGGGGCCAAAGATGTCGGTGCTTGACATCATGTCCCTCCAAAGGAACTGCAGGACATATTCCGTGCACTGCATGTCGTCATTCCTCAGCTCTTGAAAAACATCTTGCAGTGAGGAAAACTGGTCAGGGGTCATTGAAGGTCCATAAACTTCCTGACTACTCGAATTCCACAGAACTTTGCCAACGACTTTCACCTCATCGAATATCATCTTCAAAGGTCTTGTCTGTGCTACAGGTACCGGTGATAATTGACTGCCTGAAGAGCTAAGCTGTGCGCCTGTGTGGTGCGATCTGGATATAACAATGCATCCATGCAGTATATCTCTTTTTTTTTTACTGTCAAATCCTATAATATAGCGAATGATTAGAACACAACACCAAAATGATGCCGTCTGACTGTGGCTGCGTCTTCCCTTGTATCTAGCATTCCTTCTTCAGGCTGGTGTACTGCTGGAGCATTTCAATGATGTGCTCTTCGCACCATCCTGGTGGATCGTTGTGCCCCGAAGTGTAGTGCTGCAAGGAGCGGACACTTGGCAGCTTCAGGATGTCGAAGGACTTTAGGGCTTGGTAAGCCGAGGAGCTCCTGGTGTAAACTGCCACAGCCATCCTGTATGTGTTGCAAAAGAAGGATCCACGAGCGGGATTCGAACCCAGCACCCCTGTCTTTCCGGGACAGTGCCCTACCGATTGGCTACCGGGGATCACACACACTCATGGGTCCTTCTTGCTACACTGCTCCCCCGCCCCAACAGGCTGTGTCCTCACGCCGTACCTAGCTCGCGGGGGGTACGATGGGTCGTGGGTTCGAGCCATTGCCAGGCGCCAATGTTGCAAAAGAAGGATCCACGAGCGGGATTCGAACCCAGCACCCCTGTCTTTCCGGGACAGTGCCCTACCGATTGGGCTACCGGGGATCACGCACACTCATGGGTCCTTCTTGCTACACTGCTCCCCCGCCCCAACAGGCTGTCTATGTTGTCTATTCGATGTTGTCTACTCAGGTTTCGTTACGGTTCACACCAGACAATCAGAGATACCAGTTTATTAGAGTCTGTAAAGCATATATCTCACGGGACGAGGACAGAATTATTAGACCTCAACATTAGGGAATGTATTCGACTTCTGACTAGATTATCGAAGTCGGTAGAGCATGAGACTCTTAATCTCAGGGTCGTGGGTTCGAGCCCCACGTTGGGCGCCAATGTTGCAAAAGAAGGATCCACGAGCGGGATTCGAACCCAGCACCCCTGTCTTTCCGGGACAGTGCCCTACCGATTGGCTACCGGGGATCACACACACTCATGGGTCCTTCTTGCTACATATGTGATCATTGACCAGCGGTTTCCATGGCTACCATCAACATTTTGCTCCTGGTCCTGCATAAACTCAGTGTGATTCTGGTTGTCTTGTTCCCATGCCTCTCGAAGCACATGCGAGTTGCTACCTGCCTCTGACACGACTTCTTCAAACAATTCCAGCTGGTCTTGCTGGAGTGCTTTACAAGCACTGTGGAGCTCGCCACTTTGATCTTCACTTAGGTATAGGTCCAGCTTGGGAACGCTTCATGATTCGCCGATCTTGCCGTACATTAGCCAAGCGTTCCGTTTGACTGGCATGCGACAAGTGCATCCATTTGACCTTGGAGGATGATGCGGTCCTCAGCTGCTTCTCCTCACCCATCTTCTGCTCAGCATTGGTCTTCAGAACGGTGCACTGGCGCTGCAGCAGCTTGCACTCACGACACTGCACCATGGCAGCAGCTCTTTCGCTGTGTTCTTACTGAACTCATGGAGGATCTTGCACTTGCTCGAGTTTGTCCTGGTGACAGGAAAACTCCATGTTCTTACATCCCGGGAGTCAAACCCAACGCCCGCTTGTATGTCCTTATAGTTAGACAGGCCCGGGCAGAACTTAAATTCCCAAGCCATCGAGGGCGACGACCAGCCTGATGGCAGTGAACGGGGCACCTTGCTGCGTTTCCCTGGGTGTGTGGTTTGGTGACACTTCTATCCACTCCGTGCCATCGACAGAGGCTAATGTTCCTATTTGCAGCGATGAAGAATAGGTATCGTTTTGTGCTATCAGCGTTGACATGAGTTTAACCGAGATGTCAGGAAAGTGAAATGCTTTAGGGACTTTTGCGGGCAATACTAATTGGTCCGGGACATTAGCGGCTTGACCATCACTGTCGCTAGAAACACTGCATGCACTTGCCAGCAGACGCTTTGAGCCAGTCGAGGCAACGCATCTTCTGGTAGTTTCCATCACAAGAGCCGGCCCAAGGGCCGCTCTTGAAAATACTAGAACAGAACTAACGGCGTGACATTTGAAAACGCTAGAACAGAACTAACGGCGTGAAAATACTACAAGGGCCTCTCTTGAAAATACTTCAAGGGCCTCTCTTGAAAATACTACAAGGGCCTCTCTTGAAAATACTTCAAGGGCCTCTCTTGAAAATACTTCAAGGGCCTCTCTTGAAAATACTAGAACAGAACTATTAAACGGCGTGAAGTTGCTACACTGTACTGTAATTTCACGAATTTTCGGTGTACTTTTATTTTCGGTACTTTCGGTGCATCTGCTTCATACCTAAAATTTCAATACACCGAAAGAAACACTAACACGCATAATCGCATAGGGAACAGCTTCCCTGTACCGAAAATTTCTGTTCACCTAACCTGGCCTTTTGCCCTCATACCGAAAATATTGCGCACCTAAAATTTCTGAAATTAGAGTACCTCACTACCTCCTAGTCCTGCTCTGCGTGGAAACTCTGATTATACCGTCAGACCTCGCTTATCCAGTCCTCGCTTATCTGGATCCCTCGCCATCCGGAAAAAAATCGTTGGTTACCGATTTACAGCTGACGTCATGCATACATACAGTATGTGTGTTCGATTATCCGGTTTCCTCGCCTATCCGGATATTTTTGTGGAAAACGGATGTGTGCGGTTATGCGAGGTCTGACTGTACCACGATGCTTCTGCTACAGACGCTACCACTGTCACGACTTTCCAATTACGGAATAAAATCGACTGCTAGCGGCTGAACCAGCATGACAAGAAGTCAAAACTACACAAAGGAACCACGGACCACGGACAACTTTCAAAGCACAAAGTCTCACAAAGAAGACAACAATCCGTTTTGGTTTGCGATGCAAAATAAAACTTCAAACCAACAAAAGAGAAGCTACCCCATCCCATGGCCCATGGTGCCGGTGAACCGAAGGAAGTGACCGGTCATACGGTAAAATTCTTTCGAAAGTACCGCATGCGGGCTCTCGCCAAGATCGTACGCTCTACTGTAAAAGCCATTATTCTAACGAGGTGCATATCTAACGATTTCCCAAAATTGACTAGTTCACGTGTACCAAAGGTAACGATTCTCACTCATTCTCAACGCACGATAGGACAGTATATGTATCGATTTCTGGATAACGATTTCTATTTTAACGACAGATTTCTCCTCGTTAACTCGTTAGAGTTAGCACTTCGTATATATATATATATGGCTTTTACAGCATCGTACAACTACAACAAAGGTCGTTCTAGATCTTGTACAACTAACTCCGCGGACGCGTTGAGGTCCAGTGTCTACGTCTCAAAAGACGCGAGCAACTCCCATTACATCATAAATAATGACGTCAACTTGAAATTCTGACGGGACAGCACCCATAGTCGAATTGCACACTCTGGGGGGGGGGGGGGGGGGGGGGGGGGGGGGTTATGTATTCTTGCCTACTATACCCAATACTGAATTACACCCAAAAAATGTGTTGCTGGTCTGAGCAGTTCACCAGCCAGCAGAAGATGTCCCTAGGCCCTCAACACAAGTGTGTCATGCTTTGAAGCTTGGTGTTTCCTTTTTTAAAGCGTTTTTTTCTTTCTTTGGCTTGTTTTTGTGTGTTGCAGAACATTGTCCACGTCTTCTTCCTCGCCCGTACTCTGTTGCTTGGTAAGTTCAGGTAGAAGCAGGGCTATTCGTTGGTGGTTTGTTCATTCTGAATGTGCTGTAGGCCCTTCATGCTCATGGGTTTGTGAATCCTTTGCGTGCTGAGTGCGAGTTAACTCGCACTTTATGCATGACCTGATCCACTAAGTACGAGTTAACTCGCAAAAAACGCGCGATATATCGCAGTGCATAGACCAGTGTACAAACTTTCGTAGCTTTGTCAAACATAAACGCACCGCGACAATCAATACACCGTTGGAAAGGTCTTCACCTCATCTTTCCAGGGATATAAAGTTCTTCGCGATAAGAATTCATTGAGCGGCGACAAGATGAACACGGAAATCACGGCCCAGAGTGAACACGAATATTTTTGTTCATGACTTCTTTTTGTTGAGGAGCGTGCCAGGAAATTTCCCTTTGGCGCGGCGCAGCGTGATGGACATCAAATGAAGCGCTTGGATCTGAGCTTTGCAGCACAGTTTGAATTGTGAAAATCTGTTGAATTTGGGCAAGAAGCCGAACAAGAATGTGAAATTGAGTTGTTGTGCCGTTCCGAGGCACGGTGGAGTAGTTTGGAGAGGACGTGGAAGTGGCCCTGATGTGTCTATGGAGCTGAGAGCTGCCGGGATGGATTCGCTTGGTCCTGATCTTTCCAACTAGCTAAGGACGATGAAAATCCATCAAGGTGGAGTGAAATGAGAATACATTTTGTTCGGAGCTGTGAGTGCATACTCCACCAAAAGAGACAGTACGCTGGAAAGCCAGTGGATTGGAGAAAAGGGGCTCAGCATGCAAAGGGTTAAGGGTGTTTTTGTGCGGAAACCATGCTGCACTTGCTGTGGACAGTTTCTCCCAGTGTCTATGTTTGTGAAGGGTGTGTTTGTGCGGAAACCATGCTGCACTTGCTGTGGACAGTTTCTCCCAGTGTCTGTGTTTGTGAAAGGTGTGTTTGTGCGGAAACCATGCTGCACTTGCTGTGGACAGTTTCTCCCAGTGTCTGTGTTTGTGAAGGGTGTGTTTGTGCGGAAACCATGCTGCACTTGCTGTGGACAGTTTCTCCCAGTGTCTGTGTTTGTGAAGGGTGTGTTTGTGCGGAAACCATGCTGCACTTGCTGTGGACAGTTTCTCCTAGTGTCTGTGTTTGTGAAGGGTGTGTTTGTGCGGAAACCATGCTGCACTTGCTGTGGACAGTTTCTCCCAGTGTCTGTGTTTGTGAAGGGTGTGTTTGTGCGGAAACCATGCTGCACTTACTGTGGACAGTTTCTCCCAGTGTCTGTGTTTGTGAAGGGTGTGTTTGTGCGGAAACCATACTGCACTTGCTGTGGACAGTTTCTCCCAGTGTCTGTGTTTGTGAAGGGTGTGTTTGTGCGGAAACCATGCTGCACTTGCTGTGGACAGTTTCTCCCAGTGTCTGTGTTTGTGAAGGGTGTGTTTGTGCGGAAACCATGCTGCACTTGCTGTGGACAGTTTCTCCCAGTGTCTGTGTTTGTGAAGGGTGTGTTTGTGCGGAAACCATGCTGCACTTGCTGTGGACAGTTTCTCCCAGTGTCTGTGTTTGTGAAGGGTGTGTTTGTGCGGAAACCATGCTGCACTTGCTGTGGACAGTTTCTCCTAGTGTCTGTGTTTGTGAAGGGTGTGTTTGTGCGGAAACCATGCTGCACTTGCTGTGGACAGTTTCTCCTAGTGTCTGTGTTTGTGAAGGGTGTGTTTTTGCGGAAACCATGTTGCACTTGCTGTGGACAGTTTCTCCTAGTGTCTGTGTTTGTGAAGGGTGTGTTTGTACGGAAACCATGCTGCACTTGCTGTGGACAGTTTCTCCCAGTGTCTGTGTTTGTGAAGGGTGTGTTTGTGCGGAAATCATGCTGCACTTGCTGTGGACAGTTTCTCCCAGTGTCTGTGTTTGTGAAGGGTGTGTTTGTGCGGGAACCATGCTGCACTTGCTGTGGACAGTTTCTCCCAGTGTCTGTCCTGTCTTTGATCCTGTTACATGTATTCTGCTGTCTCTACTTTGTAGCTCACAAAGGTGTCACCCGAGCCAGTTCAAGTTTGCCTTGAATCTGGCCTACTCACCACAGCCTTTACAGTTGGAGAGCAGCACTGCACAGAGGTATGTTTTGTAACAATGCTATTGCTATATCTCAGCTTGACCTTTGTCAGTCGTGTGTGTATGGGGGTGTGTTGTGTGTGTGTGTGTGTGTGTGCGTGCGTGCGTGCGTGCGTGCGTGTGTGTGTGTGTGTGTGTGTGTGTGTGTGTGTGTGTGTGTGTGTGTGTGTGTGTGTGTGTGTGTGTGTGTGTACATGACTGCATACATAATGAAACTGTTATGGCCGTTGCATTCAATATGCCTGTGGAAATCAAGTACGTATACAGAACGCCGGTGGTAGTAACGCGGTTGCACGCAGATATCTTCCATCTTGGACTCTTGGTGCATGTACATGTATCCTGGAACTGTGTCTCATACGGTACTCAGTGCTATGTGTACCTATCTGTAGCTATCTGTATAGGAACAAGTGCATGGCAGTACATATACTGTGTACTGTGTACTGTGTACTGTGGGCTGCATGACTGTGCTGTATTGTACAGCGTGAAGCTAGTGTACATGTTTAAAAGCATAGTGTACATGTAGAATGCAGTGAAGTAGTGATGTGAGCATTGCATTGCATTGCATTGTTGTTGTGACTTGTACAGACCTGGTCTGTGCAGTCACTGGCTGTATTCCCTAACCACACCGCTACGTACACTGGCTACCAACGGTAGCGCTAGAGAAGGTACACCGTGTGTTGCTGATGGATCACTGCCGTGCATCAGTGTCTTCCACCGCAAGCCAACCAGCTTCAGGCTCCCGGTCACCGCCAGTACACCCATCATCATGGTCGGTCCCGGTACAGGTGTGGCACCGTTTGTTGGCTTTCTCGAAGAGCGGTGAGTGTTGTTGGCATTTCTACCATTGTGCATGTACATGTGTGTAACTTATGTGCAAGTGCATGTGTTTGTAGCTGTTTTGTCGTTTTCTTGCTGCAGGTGGTTTTGTGATGTAGTGTTTTGCCACCATACCCCTGGTGTTGTCTGTGGCCTTTTCGGTCTGCTCCCCTCTGTGAAATCCTCCCAGCCCTGGCCGTATTATGGGCGAGTGTGAATGCTACTAGAATCTGCATGCGTGGCATGCAATGTGAAGTTTAGTGTAGATGTCTGATGATAGAGCGAGGTGTAACTCCACCTCAGTGAACTCTAGGATCAGCGAATGCCATGTGTTGTACAGTGCAGTGGGGGTGGGGGTGGGGGTGGGGGTGGGGGTGGGTGGGTGGGTGTGGGTGTGTGGGTGGGTGTGTGGGGGTGTGTGTGGGTGTGGGTGTGTGTGTGGGTGTGTGTGGGTGTGTGTGTGTGTGTGTGTATGTGTGTGTGTGTGTGTGTGTGGGTGTGTGTGTGTGTGTGTGTGGACACGATCATGTTTAACAATGCACATGTGCATGTTCCACTATTCACTCTTTGCTCTTCTGTTACAGGCAAGCTATTCTTAATAGTTTCCCGCACCAAGAGGAGGACACGGATGAAAGCCGTTCACAGTGCACCCAGCGTGCTGCTGCTGCTGGCCTTGGTGACGCATGGCTATTCTTCGGATGTCGCCATCATGATCTTGATCACCTTTACCGGTGCGTTCTGTTGTGCTCAACGTTCTGTGGGGATGCACTCAATGTATGGTGTGCTGCACTTGACCATCACCCAGTCGGCTAATTTTTAATGCATTCACTAGTTTCGAGGAAATCACGGTGTCATATTTCTTGTAGTGTAGTATGTTCAAGTACTCGGTGTCTCGTACATAATTATTATTCCTTGGCTTGCCCGGCCGTAGGACGTCTCTACAAATGCTGCTAAATGGTATGCGAACTACTTTCAGTTGGCTCTACTTCAAGTATTTTTTCATCGTAAATATTCGTAATGTTCTGTGTTTGCACGTGATGTTGATTCCGTTTTTTTCAGGTCAGAACTTGAAGGCTTTGTCCAGAATGGCTCACTCTCACGCCTCCTCGTTGCCGTATCTCGCAGTGAGGACACGCCAAAGGCATACGTCCAGGATGAGATAACAAGACACGCTAAGGAACTAGGCCATCTCCTGGTTGAGAAGGCAGCCATTATCTACGTGTGTGGGTAAGTCAATGATTTTTTTCCTGAGAAAAGCAGTTGCTTCGCGTGCATTCATTTACAGCTGTCCTCACCAGGTACTTCCCACTGTACTGCATTGGTAATATCTGTTGTTTTACTCTTTTTTTTATTTCTTCTCTTCTGTTCTGTCGTGATGGCCATTGCTTGGTCACAGAGATGCTAAGAACATGTCGAAAGACGTATCCGCGGCCTTTGCGAATGTCTTGGCAAGCTACAAGAGCTGCTCGGAGGCAGAGGGACAAGCCTCGGTGGCCGTGCTGCGCAAGGAACGCCGCTACCTGGAGGACGTCTGGACGTAAGGCGGAGATGCGAGGACTTCTGCTGACAGCCAATATGCCATATGTCAGAATCACTTACCTTGCCAAAGCTACCATGGGTGTATTTAGGCGTATTCTATGTACGTGAGTCACGAGCCATGCATGAGCCACCTGACAGTTTTAGGTTTATTGAACATTGGACATTCTTATCCAGTACCTATTTATTCTCAACAAATTGGTCCATTACTCTTGTCGTGCGGGAGATTTCCATTAGGTGGTCACCAAGACGACGTTTAGTGTCACAGCTCTAGTGTTGATTTCTGGACATCCTATTCTCTCGTGCGACTCATCTGAAAGATCGCTTGAGACGCTGAACTTGAGCAGGATTTAGTCCATTTCCATGTCGACTGACTGGCAGTTTTCGGCTCTCTCTTTCTGTCGCTCTCATTCTCTCTCTCTCTCTCTCTCTCTCTCTCTCTCCTTTCTTTTTTTCTTGGGTATTTTTCAATGATTTTTATGCCTTTTTGGTATTTATTTTTATACTTCCACAAATAGCACTAGTACTGGCGAAAGCGTTCCATTCTACAACTACTTTGAGAAGTATCAGGTAGTGAGTTTATTCATTACCCAAAAGACTACCAGAGTCTAGCTATGCGATGGTATTCAGCCATATTTAGGGGTCGTCGCAAAAGTTTTCTGTCGTCCCTGAAACGAACATCGTTCATTTCGTACTCGGACCCCATCCCCTCCGTCTGAAATGAACACAGCTTGCTATGCTAGACGACGAAAATCGCATGCATGTACATGTCATATGTACAGTGTCGGTCGACTTGCGATTTTGGCTCGCACCCCCTTTCCCCCAACGAATCATGTTCGTTTCAGGGACGACAAAAAACTTTTGCGATGACCCCTTAGCCGCCTTGTGATTTGGGTGTACGGTACTTGGCAGCCAGGAGAAGACGGGAATGGACTGTATTGTTCCCGGCTTGCTCTGGAGATTGTCGACAAAAGCCTGTGCCCCCCCCCCCCCCCCCCGCACACACACAACAGGCTCTTTCTCAACGTATGCACTAACGTTCATGCCGCCTGAGACACTGACTGTCAGCAGCGAGAAATTTCTCAGCGCTCAGTATTGTGAAACATTTATAAGTATAGGCAAGAGTCCATAAACAAGAGTATGCAACTGTGATCTCTTTTCTATGGGCCAGATGCGCGGCGCGCTGCCTTCATTACATCATTCAGCTGCAGTCCGCGCACTGAGGAAAATCAAACACCGCACTTTCCCACTGGTTTGAAATGAACTTTCGTACGGAACTGGAGTTCACGCGCCATAATTTAGATATCGCGTAGGTACCGGAACGAATCGAGCAAAAACGGACTGGCTCGCACGAGAAATTGTGAGTTTGATGCATGCTTTCAGAGCGTGATGAAGGCAAGTTACGTAATGAAGGCAGCGCGCCGCGCACTGACCCATCACCACAGTTGCATACTCTTGTTTATGCACTCTTGGTATAGGAATTATCCGTTACACTGCGTCACAGCCATCACATGATTATGTACATACATAGGGCACAGTGTAAACATAATTATAGTCACCATGGATACACTGACCAACAATGAGACTAATGGCTGCAGCCTGAAAAATAACCACGGCATGTGATGTAAAATTGACAAAACAATAGAACCATACAAGTAGGCTTGTTAGAAAACCACTCGATCAAGACCCTATCAAAAAGGACACAAGGTGTACCCTAGGCCTAGCTCTGTAGGCATGTGTACACAAGACACTACAGTGTAGCTAATGTCAGCAGCACTGGTCGCTAGCTTGCAATGCCAGACTATCAGAGATCTCTCCGGCACTTGCGTAAAAGCTTCACATGAATCCCGACTTTGCACACCAACTACAGTCTACTCATGTACCGACTTACCGAAGAGATTAAAATTGGCTGTATATGTGATCTATACAACTATGAAGCTCAAGCTGCAATCTCAGTTTGATGGCAGAATGCTTACGGGTGGGCTGTGCTGGTACGGTCTGACGCAGCTTATCACTCTCTCGCCGGTTGAGCATTTGAGACGATGTTGAGCTACTCTGGTTGGAGATTGTGCATTCCCTCTTGCTCGTAGCTGTTACAGTGAATCGGCCTTTGAGTGGAGTGAGCAATGTTGTCCCTGGACAGCTACTGTTGGTACAAAAGTCAAGTATACAGTCTTGTCGCCCAGCCGTGGTAATACCAATAAGGGTGCGGTCAGTGTACACTATTATGTACATGTAGTCGCTCAGCCATGCTGATACCAATAGCAATAATATTATGTGTGCGTTCTGTATACAGTATGTATGCAGGTCGCTCAGCCATGCTGGTACCAGTAGCAATACGTGTGCGTTCCGTATGCAGTATTATGCAGGTCGCTCAGCCATGGTGATACCAATAGCAATACGTGTGCGTTCCGTATGCAGTATGTATGCAGGTCACTCAGCCATGGTGATACCAATAGCTGTGTGCTCCGTGTATTGTGTGGCGCGTGTTACCTGGAAAGTGTTGGTTATCACGCACGTCAGGAGGCCTCTCCGGGAAGTCCTTGTTCAGCTGATCGTGCACGGAGGACTTGTGGAACGCGTCTTGCCGTTCGTGAAACGTCGATCTCGGGCGAGGCACTCCGGTACCCGGTCGCCATCCGTCAGCAAAGTTAGATGTATCATAGCGGCACGCCGACTTCTGTCTATTGTCTAAACCAGACCAGGGCCGCTGTGCAGGCCCACCACTGGATCCATCAGCAGTTCGCGGCGTGCTGTTAGCAGTATCCACTTCATCCTCGCTGCCGTCGTCGTCATCACCATCCGTCTCACCGTCACCACCTGAAGTGGTTGCTGGTTTGTCGTCTTCGTCTGATGAATCACCGCGATACCGACCTGTACCGGGTCGCTTTACCCAGGGTGTTCCTGGTCGGCTCCCACTGATCAGTTTCTTACTGGCCATCGTCGGCGGGTTGTCACCGGAGTTGCTGAATCGAACAGCTCCCGCCGACCTACATCGCGCCGTGCCCGGTCTCATGTGTCCCTCCGCCGTGATCTCTCCGTACTCTTCGGCCGCAGCGTCGTCCTCCACTTTCAGGTTGGCCGCAGTGGTGCGCGAGTGGCGTCCTTCGCGGGGCTTGGCAACGTGGTAACCACTCGTGTAGCCATCACCACCGAACCGTGCCGGAGGGATTGCCGAGTTGCGCGAGATTGCTGATGCCGGTTTCAGAGAGCTGGCGTGATTGGTTGTCAGCTTCAGTCCAGGCTTCCAAGTTTGAGCCTACACACATGCACACATGTTTACAGAACAGTCAGGTGTACATGCATTCATAAAGACACGCACGCATGCACGTACACAAACACACACACACACACACACACACACACACACACACCGTCACACACGGCTTGTGTTTGAGGATAGGCATACATGTTTATGACTGTATAGCTTCAGTTATAAACTAACATGATAATATCATACGAATAGACTGTCAAGGTCTAGCTGGATGGCAACGAGTGAAGAGAAAACAAGGGGAGACATGACATGCATACACAGCAGGCTTACATCTGAATTTCCACCGCCACTGTCCTCGGGAAACATGTCGGCAATCTCCTTGTTCGTCTTCTTCTCCTCGTAGTCGTCAATGTGGCTGATGTGCTGCGGCCCTCTTCCAGTGTGCTGTCCACCGTACGTCGTAGTGCCGAACGCCTTGTCCTGCATGTTGGCCAGGGCGTTGGCCGTTCGCGGCCGCACCGTCATGCTTGTGCGCTGCTCGGGACGAGCGCTGTATAGTACTTGTGGTGCGGGGTACGTCAGTGCTCTCTGTGTGTGCGTGTGTGTTCAGTGTGCACACACATACATGTACAGACACACAGCATGTCAAACAGTCAAGCACATAACAGATTTATAGCCCCCCCCCCCCCCCTACTCTAGTCTTAATTAAAATTAAGACTAGAGTAGGCCAAAGTGAAGTGAATTCGGGTGAGAAATTTTGCACAAGAACAACAGGCCACACAAACAGATATTTTTTATAAGCAGACAGACTTCTGCACAACCTTGCAGAGATACCGTGGAGGTAGAGGGGTTGACGTCGATATTATGACGGGAGACTGATACGCGAGACAAGTGTGGGCAGGGCAATAATGAGCACTGCTGCGGACGGGGGACAACGGTGTGCACACGCAGGCACCCCCAGGCCAACAGCGCATGCACATGCACAAATCCAGGACAGTGTCAAATCCAGGACAGTGTCAAAGCCACTACAATTATGTACAGTAACACATGTCTTTTACGACCTCTGCCTTGGGGGACCACCTTTTTTCTTCTTTCTAACGCAATGTAATGTATATGGCTGTTCTGAACTGATACAATCATGTACCGGTAGCAGCTCTAGACCAGGGAGAACTATAAATCAATAGATGCAGCGGCGTACCGACTGCCGGCCGCTTCTTACCGTACTTTCCCGAGTATAAGCCGCACCCAGATTTATTGTCACGAAATACAGACATCTACCTTATTTTATCACCGTCAATTTGACCATCATTATTATAAGCCGCGGCACCGGCTCGGCTTATTTCTGGGTGAATTAGTACTGGTGTTTAAACTTTAAAGAGCGGCTTATATTCCGGAAATACGTCAGTTCTTACCTTGTGCCGCTCAGACCGATCCACATCCCAGACGTCGTTCGGAAGCGGTCGGCTCTGGTTGACCTTGACTTTCTCCTCCTCGTCGAACAAGATGAGCTTCTCGTGTCTGGCAGACGCTCCCCTGGTCTTGTGTCGCACCGTAGTCTGTGCACTGAGCGGTGGAATGGGACCTGCATAGCACACAGTCACATGCACGATGCACGGAGCAAATTGTCGCCGTGGTGATTTGCACCAAGAAACACCACGCTGATACGGATATAGATGGCGTGATGATGGCAAGAGGAGATTGTTCTTGTCTTTGCCAACACGCTCGTGTAAGTGTGTTGAGACTGCTGCACTGGGTTGCCAGTACTGCAGCAACCTCAACCTGCTAACAATGACTCATACTGTGGTAGGATATCCTTACTGTGTCTGCTGCTGCCACTGGGCAATGTATACAGTAGTCATGTAATGAGCGGGATGATGTGATATCTCTAACAGCTCACCCGTGTTCCTCCTGAGCGGCAGGCCAGTGTCTTCATCGAGTACACCCTCCGGGGGTGGCTCAACACGGGGGAACATTTCACGCTGCAGGGTGTGCGAGGTGAACGGATGGTCGGCTGGAAATCTCTTCTTCACCTGATCCTTACTGAACAAAGGTAGCAGCATTAATCGTATCATACGCAGTACCAGCAGCACCACCACCAAAAGCAGCCGCGACAACAATAATCACACCATTAACAGAGACAGGTTGCTGAAGACTCTGTGACGAGGGCATAACACACGTACTTGCATCCATTGCATGTACACGTAAGTTACATGTGCAGTGTATTATCCATCCTGCACCAGGCATAGAATGACTAAATTCCAAGCTGCTCAAGGCAAGATACTCGCGAGTGCATGCATGTACATGTATGCAACTCCTAGTCAAACATGTCCCAAACATGTGTGTGTGTGTGTGTGTGTGTGTGTGTGTGTGTGTGTGTGTGTGTGTGTGTGTGTGTGTGTGTGTGTGTGTACCTGCAGTTGGATCCCAGGATGGATACCCTGATGCCGTCAATCCTTTTTCTGCACCTTGTCCTCACCCACTTACTGAGGTGTGGTGAGCCCATAAGTGGGATCATTTCAAGTCCACCCTAGTTTGGGGATTTCAGGGGGTGTCGGCCGTTGGGTGGTTCAATGGCCAATTGAGTCATCTTTCCAAGATTCCTTTTGAGTCTCTCTCCCCTCTCCCGGGGAGACCCACGTGACCAGTTTTGGCAGTGAGCAAGTACAAGTGTGTGTGTGTGTGTGTGTGTGTGTGTGTGTGTGTGTGTGTGTGTGTGTGTGTATTATGTGCCTAGATTCACTGCTTCCGAATCAAACGGAGGAAAGTGCCTGATGTACTTACGCTAGATTGACGGAGAGTGGTCGTGGTACCCTGCAGAGAGTCAGGTAAGAACAAGAACAGGTTAGATTACCACAAAATGGCACAAACCATCACCGAACACAACACATCATTTACAAAGAACGATATGGCAAACTGCCAGAAAGTACTCTATACGCAGACCTTCTATTTTTTTTATCTCCGGTCGAAAGGTCAAGTACCCCCTACATATACGTCCTATGGCTGTGTGATGCTAGCACTCTGTACAGTATTGAACCCGCAGGAGTCCCGCAGCTCAGCAGAAGTCGACTGCAGTCTGGGATATTGTACCTGCACTCTGTACAGTATTGAACCCAGGAGTCCCGCAGCTCAGCAGAAGTCGACTGCAGCCTGGGATATTGTACCTGGTGAGTAGAATGTGTGCTGTGACTGACGGTACATGCGTGGCTCGGGGAATGTTAATGTTCGGCTGCTTCATCATTCAAATATTCATCAGTTTGAGAGATTCCCTTTTTTTAAAGGAGCTATGCCAAAACAAGCGCATGTTGAAGAAAAGACACCCTCGCCATTCATACAATGATACTCATAGTGTGGCATTGTGTGAGTGCCTTTTTACGTGAAATTCAAAGTCACTTTTTAAGCACCACTGCGTCACACCTGGACACGTCGTATCAGGCAGGGCCGGTGCCACTGGTACGGCGAATAGGGCCATGGCTACCGTATTTCCCCGATTATAAGGCGCACCCCCACTTTGAGGTTTGAACCACATTGTGAACTTTCAATACATGCATATAAGTAGGATGTCACTCTCGATTGTAAGTCGCATCCCCTTCTTTGCCCTTGAAGTTTAGTGTAAAACGGTGCGACTTATATTCAGGGAAATATGGTATACCAGTTTTGTTTTTGTTTGTAGCATATATATAGCTAGAGGTTCATCCTCCGATGATGCTGAGATTGGGCCGCATAGGGCAATGATCGGCCCTGTGGCCGACCAGGGGCCATACCACCTTTCAGGAGCTGGCTCCGGGCCAGGCTAAGGTAAATAACATATTCGGGTGCATCCTGTAGTGACATGGAGCACATGATCGGTACTCTTTTAAAGTATTCATTGCCGATAGCATGCAGCTTGTGCTGTCGCTTACAGTTCGTCGTTGGGCCTGACGTCACTACGCTTCATGTCGGTCAGTTTGTAGCTTTCATCAATGTTGACATCCCTATAGGCACATACACAGCAACATGCAGGGATTGTATCAGGATGACGCCGCTAGAGACTTGAAGAACAGAATGCCGAACTGGCAGTGGCTTTGAATGAACATGATTGTCCAGGAGCATGACCCGACCACAGTATATGTACATGCAACAAGAAATCAGCCGAGTATGGCCATCTGTACACTGTACTGTGAGTCTGTGTGCCTACCTCTTCTTACTTTCTAGTACTCTGCAAGCATGCCAATGTGTATGGTGTACATTGCATGCATGGCAACCCATTCTACTCTACAAGCATGCCACTCTGCACTAACAGTGGTATAATGTGGCGAGCTATCCGTTCTCACGACTGCCAACATCAATGGCAAGATGCTCGTACCTTGGTAGAACCGATGCTCCTGTCGTCCAGTGATCATGTCCACGGATGCCGAACGGCCGTCCGTAAGGATCGTACTGAGTGAACTCGTGCGCTACGTTGGAGCCAATGCCTCCGTAGCTCCAGTGCCGTCCCCATTGATGCCCGGCTGTTCCCGGTCGGGGCCGATCCACCTCGGTCGTGTCCGGGGAGTGCTTTTTCCCCGACTTGGCCGGTCCCCCGCTAGACAGGTACCTTGAGTAGCTGAGTGGGATGGAAGACGCAGTTGTGCATACATGTATGCTCACCCTGTGTGTGACTTAGTACGTGACTACGCATGTGCTTATGCATGTGCCAGGCATGGATACCAGGCAAGTGCTACAACCATGGTCTAAAAAAACATAGCAGGCCACTGGCTCAGGAAAGTGGTGGAGTTTCACACCAAGCAAGTACTACTAGTACACTACATGCTCCACTACAAGCTGTAAACAAGACTAACTTAACTCACATGTACTTGTACATGAGCATTGTAGGTCACTGAGCCATGCGTTATGAACGTCTCAGTTCATGTCACCAGTCTCCATGCTACGCACTGTAGTAGCATGCCAGTTGCCACGGCAACCAAGAGTACATAACCCCTCCCCAAGAGTGTGCACCTTCCGCATACCCTGCAAGTTGACGCCATTTTTTTTAAATGATGCAATGCTCCTTGCACCAGTGATTGGCGGAATTTGTACGAGGGCGTCAACGCAACACACGTGTTTCTGTGGCCTAGGGTGGAGCTTTGTCCGCCACGGGTCCAGGATACGAGTCGGTAATACGTGTATAATACAAATTCCATCATAAAAATGACGTCAACTTGAAATTCTGTCGGGACAGCACCCATAGTGGAGTTGCACACTCTTGGGAGATTATGTACTCTTGGGCCAACTGATGCTAACAAAGCAGCAGAGCCCAAGACTAGTAGTGGACAAACTTGTGCCATTGAACCAGGAATACTACCCCCACCTACCTACCTACCCCCTGAAGCCCTACCACCGTGATTTCTGCAGTATTTTGTGGTTTGTTTGTTAGAAGGACCCCTGGTCCCCTAGTCGCCCTACCCTCTTTCCCCAAGGAAACACGACTCATATGCCAGGCGTTACAAGAGAAATTTCGTCGAGGCCTTGCTATGATTACCGTACCAGCATGATAGATGATCATAGTGTAACTTTACCATGGACCTATGAACATGATCAAGCCGGTGCTTACTTGGGATCAGAGATAGTAGCTCGTCGGACATCACTGGGAGCGTGCAGAGCGCTGGACTGGAACGTGGGCGAAAGGTACGCCTGCTCAGCATCCACGCTCGTCATCTCGATATCTACGGCGGCCAACGCTCAACCGGTGTCCAGTGGTGATCGTCGACAAAGTGTAGTACCACTAGTGGTAGTCGTGTCCTGCACTCTTTGGCTCGGCTTTAGTCCCAGCTTGAGCAGTAGAGGTGAGGTCGTACTCCGACAAGACGTAGATCTACGCACATCGGCAATGAAACTTCGAAAGGTAAAATTAATAATAATTGCTAATAGCCGAAATAGGAATTATTTTCGCACAGTCAGTTCAGTGCTGTCCGGACTGAGGATCTAGAAGTAAGTTAGAACAGAGGTGATTTAGCATGCTCACACCTCAACGGAGCTACATGTAGCTAACAGTAACACACCGCGTACCGTCGACATCGACCGTGCACCACGACTATGCTTGGCTTTTTTCCTCTGCTTGATTCTGCAGCACGTAGAATCTACCGATAACCGTCGCTCTTCCGAAGCCAACCAATGTTGCCGAGCGCCGCTCATCGACGAGGGAAATACGAACCGTCCACGAGGACGGTAGCGGCCTGGACGGACGTACAGGACGTCAGGAGGACAACTGCTGGCGAGCGCGATCGGGCCGGCGGGTGAGCGGACACCATTGGCCACCACATCGGTATCACAGACACACGCACGTAAGTACAAGTAACGGTGCTGCCACGTAAAGCTAGTGCCGACGCTTGGGTCTTGTTGTTTTAGCTGTGACTGACCGTGTACCATGGTATTGCTCACCACGGTTACTAGAACTACAGACTGTCTGTATGTGTGATAGTACTAGTACTTAGTAGTACTACAACAGTACAACTTTACAAGTACAAGTGTAGTATCCGTGGGAGGAGGATAGGAACGATCGGTTTGCCCCATCCCCCAACTACATTGTAACTAATATTTTTATTTACTCCTCACGTCACGTCACTGTCTTGACTTTAGTCTTAAGTTTAGACACCAGCACTGCAGCGGCGCTACCGGTAGACCATGGTAGACCTACCGCGGCGAGTAGCGTTCATCATCAGACTTACTGATTCTGTACACCCGCCGCTGCTAGTGCTCTGACTGCTGAGTAAACCATACTGACCAACCATCACAATCTCAATCCCTTGACAAGACATGCAGAATCCCTGGATTTCTCTCAAAATCCCTGGATGGCACAAAAACAAGTGAAATTGAGCTTTTCCCGCCAAAAAAACGTTCGACTCTACAGCTGTGCGTACAGCACAGATCGACCCTAGGCCATAGGCTGTACGAGAGCTCGTAGACATAGTGCAGTTTGATCAGTCGGCGCCCGCCTGTCACTTTGTCAGTGCAGATCTTGCAGGCATGGTCAGGTCTTCAAAGTGCTGTGCACTGTTCCAAGTAGGGAGTAGTACAATACCCGGTATTGTACTACTCCCTGGTTCGAAGTGCGAATGAGCACCGTACATACCTTTGAAAAAAGTTCAAAAAACCGGGACATTCAGGCAGAAACCATGGAGTTTTCTAGAAAATCCGGTATCAGACAAAACTTTGGTTTTTCCGGGAGTTTGCTTGAAATCCCCGGGACCCCGGGAGGAGTGTCGATTTTCCGGGATTTTCCCGGGAAAAACGGGAGGGTTGGCCAGTATGGTAAACAAAAACTTACTTGAGTCGACTCGACAGTCAGTGCACTGTCATGTAAAGGAGGTAAGTAGTTAGTGTATTTTAAATCCTCTCGGAAAAGTTGGAGACTCTCGGAAAAGTTCGAGAGCTGTTCTTATATTCCCTCCAAATTTTAGGAGGCTCTCCAAAGACCAAAGCTCTCCAAGCTTCAGAGGTGGTTGAAACTAATGGTAAATGGAGATTCCCGCGGTTTGGGATCAGCGCATGCGAACTACAGCTAAAAGCAAGAGTACATAAACCAGAGACAGCTGAGTCGAGTGTGCAACTGTGCATATCTGAAACAGCGCAGTTCGTGCACTACGTCACCCTGGTGAGGTCAGCCAAGCCGCGACTTGCGTACAGCTCAAATTTTCGTGTTTCACAGACCGGAAATCAACCAAGTTTACATGATTTTAGTCGTCTTGTTTGAGGATTTCGGTGTTTTTGTGTGACTTCGTATGCTGCGTACATCCGCTGACAAGTAAATTCACCAGGCTATCCGTTTCAAAAAACCGAAATCAGGACAAACTCAGTGACCTGCACCACCGTGACTGGTTACGCAACCTTTCACTGTACCTGTGGCTTACCATGCCGTCAGAAATGACGTAGTGCACGAATTACGCTCTCACAGGAACCATCCCGAGTTGCACACTCTGGTTTATGTACTCTTGCTAAAAGCACATTGTGTTGATCATGAGTGTACGCATTCCCTTTTCGCATACGCACAGTGCGCACTACATTCGTAACACGCAAGATCACGGCCCGTTTGGCGCTTCATATTGCTTCACATGTGCCGCAAAATATCTCCGAATTCTTGGAGACCCATTCTTGCATTATACCGCTTTCTTCACTGAGCAATGCACTGAGCAATGCACTGAGCAATGCCGCTATGATATTGTCATGATAATTACAGTAAGGAATCCGGCCACAAAGCCTGCACAAATACACATGAATAATAAAGTTCTACTTTGAAGTAAAAAGAAATACTAAACAGTAGTAAACACCAATAGCTGCCTCAGAAACGCCAGCGTGCTGGGAGGCTCTTGTTAATCAATTCTTTGTTGATATTTTCCAAAATAATAATGTTCTAGACCCTCTAAGGCACACTATACAGGACCATAGGAGGGCAAAGGAAATGCGGCACCTGACAAATGCCATGATACATGTACATGTACATGTATGTGCATACGGTTCATTACGCTTGTCAGTCAGCAGCGATGTGATTCTCTTGTCCAGGCTGGCTGCCGAACGCCCAAAACCACCTGGTGCCGTCATGACCGCCGGGGCAAACGACGCATCGACCAGTTTCTTCGACTTCTCTTTTGCTTCTTCTCCGAGAAGAACGCACCCTAAGGTTGACACAACGCAGACACTGATCATGTACGTATTATGACTTTAATATGAAGTTATGTGCTTGTACAAGCCGAAAGCCAAACTCCTACAGTACTCCTCATGCATGACCTCATGTATGACCTCATGCATGACCTCATGCATGACATTGTGATGGACTACATGTGATGGACTACATGAGTCGTGTGAAACAACTTGTTTTGTAGTCAACTAGTCCATCACAATGTCATGCATGAGGAGTACTGAAGGAGTTTGGCTTTCGGCTTGTACAATTCGTTTTCGCAAAGCTTCCCCCTTCTTTACTTATCTTTGCTATTTATGTGCTTGTCTTTTGTTTATCGTTCTGCCCGCGCGGTCCAAACGACGTTACATGCTGGCCCGCTGGCCCTGGAATGAATCAGCACCCGGGTTACGTTAACATTATTCATTGACTGAGCGTTCTTTGCTTTGTACTACACCCTGCTTATTTCCTACAATATTGTATTGTTTCCATTCGCTTCCATGTAATTGGGCGACACCGCCCGTTTGGTTCTGCGCATTCAAAATAAAAATGTACCTACCTACCTGGGTACCCGCTACTACTAGTACTAGCAAGAGTACATAACCCCGGGGGTTATGTACTCTTGGTACTAGTGTAGCGTTGGTCACGCGTTGGTCACGCTACAAGCTCAGCATTTGCGTATACGCTCAGCGTACTGTTCAATACGACGTTAACGCGTTCGCTACAAGCTCAGCATTTGCGTATACGCTCAGCGTACTGTTCAATACGACGTTTGTTCTACCATACAACGTGTTAACGGTCGCATGACAGTACGTTGCTGTTTGTGATTATTTTCCATAAATTGCGTTTATTTTATCTTTCACAGTGAGTTCAGAGTTTTACTGCTAAAGACAGTTTTGCCGTTCTAGAGAGAGAGAGAATTGTTAAAGGGGAAGTTAAGGCAAAAATTTAAATTTCACCAGCTGCGATGCAGCGTTCCTCCTTTATTCCCAATCGAACATGGTTGAACAAGCGGTCACGTGCTCCTGGGTGCCCAAATCACCTGGTCACCACGCCAGCAGGCGAGAACTTTCACACCAAGGTTCAACTCGAGTTCAACTCGAGTGACAGGATTGCACCCAAAAAAGGTCAAACAGGCTAGTAAGTTGTACCCTGCAGGCACGGTGACCAGGTGACTGGCGTACGCAGGAGCACGTGACCGCTTGTTCAACCATGTTCGATTGGGAATAAAGGAGGAACGCTGCATCGCAGCCTTTTCGGACCAAAACCAATCGACTCAGCGTCCAAAAGACTACAACATATGGGCCAATCGCGGTCATCCATGCTTTTATGAGAACGAAATGGCGCTTTTAGTGACATTTTGCATACAAATCCCCATCTAGTAGGGCGCAGTCACCCAGTTTCGGTGGAAGTGCGCGAGTTCGATTGGGATTCAGGTAGGAAGGGAGCGTCTCAGCTTCCTCGGACCACGACCATTCGACTCAGCACCCCGAAGACTACAACTGGTGAAATTTTAATTTTTGCCTTAACTTCCCCTTTAATAACGTTAGTAACGAGTTGTTAGGTTGTTTTGCCTCCAGGCCCGCTACACTAGTACTATAATTATAGTATACTATAGCGCTAGTCGACGAAGGGAAAATCCCCCACTAAAAGTCGGTAAATAAAAAAAGTAAATATTAATTATCGTGTCCGTTCCCGAAGGGAACTCACGACGGCCGCTAACACCCGGTAAACCCTAGGCCTAGCGGCAGATGCAGCGCCTAACGGTGGGGTGAGTGAATAAGTCTCACAACCACTGGCACAAGTGCCGAGAAACCCCATTAGCCGCATCCATGTACCCCTTGTGCCTGGCGACAAGTTCCCAGTTGACTGTGGGTACGGCTGGAAAAACCGCTCCCAGGCAGGACTTGAACCAGGTACCTCTCGTATCTCAATCATGGTCTTTGACCAACCCACTGAGCTCCCAGACCCAGGCAGGACTTGAACCAGGTACCTCTCGTACCTCAATCATGGTCTTTGACCAACCCACTGAGCCTGCATCAAGAGTACATAACATATTTGCCGTCTCCTGGGTAGTCCTGGCGCCATGGCCCTGTTGTTTGCGAACAATGTAACTAAAGGCGGTCAATGAGAAAAAATCACATTTTTTTTGCGATACGAACATTTTATTGCATGCGCATCAGGGAGTCGTAAAATACCTGGTATTTTACGACTCCCTGATGCGCATGCATATCCACGACGCAGCTCACCAGATCAAGGTGTGGGTCCTCTGCACTCAGTAGAGTCAAGTCGAGCGAGCTGCAACTCCCGGTGCCGAAAGGCGGGCTCATGCCCCGACATGGCTACTTCCCCTTGTCTAGCCCCCAAGACGAAAATGATAGTAGCCGACTGGCCGAAATTAAAAATATATATTATAATCCATCGACCGCCGCGCCATGTACTGCATGTAGTACAGTGCTGGCAACTAAAATCCGACCCCCTTGGCGGCTTAAGGTAGCAGTACTGGAATATGCCATTCGCAAATACACACAACTAAAATCGGGTATTACTTCGGTGTCTGTGAATCTTTTCCCACAAAATTTTGAGCACAGATTCATGATTCACGCCATCACCTAATAAAAGTACTACCTTGAACTTATTTACTTTGCATCGTCCCAAAAGTTCACTGCACTGGAGAGTAAAAAAAATGCCGTCATCTCAGATTTTTGGTACATGCTAGCAGCAACATAATATCAGCTGAAGTGTTAAAATTGCATCACAAGCAACAGTCTACAACAGTAGCAGATGCTGAATAGAACAGATTGGAGATAGGACATAAATAGCACCACCCAGTCAACATCATCCGTGAAGATGCCCGTCACCGTCGAAAAAGATTATTACTACTGAGGCAGCTAACATCCGCCAAACAAAAAACTATGGCTTTATAAATATATTCAGCATCTGGGAAATTTTCCACTGATCAATCTACATATAAGGTTTATTGGGCTGTGATGAGCCAGTCTGGAGATAAAGTGTACCAAAGTTTGGTCGGAAGGCCAAAAAACACTAACTTTTGGCACTCTGAGAACCCTCCAGCAATGTATGTGACTACCTCTGCTTGCTGTGTCGTGTCAGCAAATCCCTTTCAAATGGCTCTTCTTCTCTTCCTGGCCGACTTTTGCTCCTCACTGGACCTTCTCCTCCTGTGATACTGCTTCTCTCCATCCAACTTGAGAAGACCAGAGCTGGCAAGTGAAACTTAGAGCAGCTCATCATTTCCAGCACAGCCGAAAACATTTCCATTGTTCGTACTCAGCATTAGAAATTTTTCCTGCTTGCCATCTGTTCTTCCAAGTTTCACATCCACTGCAGTGTTTTGATAGCACCTCCGCGTCCAGAACCTTTCCTGTCTCATCGGACAACAGTTGGCATACCAAACATTGATGAGAACCCGCGCTTCATCCACGTTCCATCGGTGCTAACTGCAACATGCTCCGGGTGGGAATGCTGTTCTGTTGTTCGCCGAACAAGAAGACGCTGTGCAGCATTCTTCACGCTGCCCCTAGCATCAGTTTCCACAGCAGTGTGTAGTGCATCGCTGTGCTCAGAATTGGACTTGCTAACAGGAGGCGGCATATCCAATATCCAACAGATACTGTTCAGACCTTCTCGTCCACTACCAATAAGGCGCATGGCAAGCACACTGCGGCGGCGGTTTATATCGTACAATTTAGCAAGTGGGTGTCTTTCTGCCAGGGCTACACTGGTTGATGAGCAGCACGATTCGCACTGCAAACTAATTGTTGAGGCGAGGCCAGGACGAAAATTATCTTTGATAGTCAGGTTGCCCTCTTGATAATTACTACATACACACGCTGACGTCACCAATTGCTGTTAGCTCTCCATGTGAACAATTCGATTTCCTGATGGAATATCATCGCAATCCTCTTCAGACTAATCTCCATCGTTATCACACGAGGCATCACTGGATAACAAATCACCTGGAAGATCAGAGTCATCTTCTACGCCCTCACCAGCTCCATCAGCCTGCGACTCGTGTTCGCTTTCACTCCCCTCAATTGGCTCAAATAATTCAGGACTTGAAATGAGCTTGGACGTAGCTCTAGGAAATTTGCTTTTCCTTGGCCTGCTGAGCGACCTTCGTTTGTGTTCATCACCCATCTCCTGACCAAGTAGCGCCAGCACAACAACTCAAGCGCAGAGTTCCAACGTCGATGACAAACGCTCGTCGCACTGGCAAACAGTTTGAGAACAAAGAATTTTTTTATCATTTTTTGAAAATACAATTGCGTGGGTTGAGCCTGCAGTGCAGGCCAGCCAGGCCAGCTAGCGTGCTGCGTAGGCCAGGCAGGCGCTGCATGTGGCGATCGCGACGCTCAGCCCAGCTCTAAACTGGTTTTAGCTGGACAGACAGTGTGAATCAGGCCGAGATTGGGAAGGATGCGCCGATATTGTACAGAAACCCTCTCGAAATAGATTGACAGCGATCAGCTGATCAGTGCAATTTTGAAATTTTGACGGGTATTTTCAGTTTTCGCAGGGCCATATCTCTTCTTTGGCTGGTTCGAATGCCAAAAAAATTAATTTGTAAAGCCTTTGGTATTCCTTCTTTCAGAAAAATCACACTTGAAGCAGTTCCCGTGAAATTGATATTTTGGCTAAATCTGACACCCGTTTTCCAGTACTGCTACCTTAAAGGGGAAGTTAAGGCAAAAATTAAAATTTCACCAGTTGTAGTCTTCGGGGTGCTGAGTCGAATGGTCTTGGTCCGAGGAAGCTGAGACGCTCCCTTCCTACTTGAATCCCAATCGAACTCGCGCACTTCCACCGAAACTGGGTGACTGCGCCCTACGAGATGGGGATTTGTATGTAAAATGTCACTAAAAGCGCCATTTCGTTCTTATAAAAGCACGGATGACCGCGATTGGCCCATATGTTGTAGTCTTTTGGACGCTGAGTCGACTGGTTTTGGTCCGAAAAGGCTGCGATGCAGCGTTCCTCCTTTATTCCCAATCGAACATGGTTGAACAAGCGGTCACGTGCTCCTGGGTGCCCAAATCACCTGGTCACCACGCCAGCAGGCGACAACTTTCACACCAAGGTTTGTGATTGTACTGTACTGGACAAGGTGCCATCCTTGCATGTCCTGCATTGACTAGCGAGTAACTCAGTTGCATGGTACATCTATGTATGACTATGACTGTACTACGTACTGCTGACAGGTACATGCCCTGCCGTGCTTGTGCTAGAACCATAGATGTGCATTGTTTGGTGTTCTATGTAGGTGTAGGTATCGCTATTCCACCAGATGGTCGCCAGATTTCCCTCCTTGTGACGACCCCTTAGAAATATAGTTGATTATGGTTGATTAGGTCTGCTGATGTTCTTGCCGACACATTGTGTGATTATGTAGCTTTCTATTCCTGGTCAGCCTGCTGTCTGTTATGTGCAAGCACCGTACTGATCCTAGCCTAAGCTCCGTAGTCCATGACATGATATAATGCATAACATATCCATGAAAGATTAGTTTTTGAGTTAGACTCTCCAGACGACGTTGTGTGA